TTTTATTTACAATTGCGTAAATATTAATATAAAATTTTATATAATTATAGTTTAAATATTTATAGTTTAAATTATTAAAAATAACTGCGGTAATGGTGTTATTATTACCAAATTTAGTTTAATTATAATATTTTTTACTATAATTTTTAATAAACATATATATATTAGGTTAATTATAAATTTAAACTTAAAAAAGTAGATTTTTAATAATTTAAACATTTTTTTTTTAAAATATATTAGAAATAATTCTACATTAATAATATTTATTAATATTTAATAATTATTAATTATTTTTTTTATGTAAATATTATAAAATATAATATATTTTTTTACTTTAACGCAAAATAAACGTTTAATTTTATTAAAATAGATTTTGGTTTAATTATTAAAATTAATTTTAAAAATATATTATAAAGTTTTATTAATTATATTTTTATTATAGTTTTATATATTTTTAATTATATATATTTTAATTTAAATTATTAAAATTCTTATTATATTATTAATTATAAACTTAACGCTAAATTTTTTATTATTAATATATTTTTATTAAAGGTTTTATGTTTATTTAGTTATATTAAGTATATATTAGTTTAAAAAAATTAAATAAAATAAAGTTAATAATAATATTAATTATTATAATAGAAAAATAAATAAAAAAAATAATAAAAAAGATATTATTATTAAAATATATATTATAAAAGAAAAGTTTATTTAACCTTATTTTTATAAATTATTTTTAAAAAAAAATAATGTTATTATATACCTTTATAATTTTTAAATACTATTATTTCCTTAAATATTAAATTTTTAAATAATATTAATAAATAAAACTTTTTAAATAAGGTTAAAAATTTTTAAATAAAGTATAAAATTTATTAATAAGGTAAGATTATAACATAATTTATATTATTATTACCTTTTTTTAATATTTTATATATTATAAATAAAAACACATAATAAATGTGTAAATTAATTGATATAAATTTCTTTAAAATTATTTATTTAATAAAATAAAATTTTAATATTATTTATTTATACGTAATAAATATAAACTTAAAATTTAAGATTTAACGCATAAATTATTTTTTTTATTTAAAAATCTTAAATTAATATAAAATTTTCTAAAACTATATATAAAATTATAAAATTTTAGGCTTAAAATTATATATAAAAATATAAAATCTTAAAATTATTTATTTCTTTTTATTAAAATTTAATATATAAATTATTTCCTTTTTTTCAAATACCTAATTAATTTATAATTAATTTATCATTAATTATTAATTAATATTAAATAAATAAAAATATTATATATAATATAAAAAAATATTATATATATAATGGGTAAAAGTTATTATTAATAATATTTAATATATATTCTAATTATAAATTAGAATATATGGGAATATATATAGGATAAGTGGGTCTGTCCTACCCAGGTCACATGACCAACGTTCCCACATTTCTAAGTACCTAGGTATATATTCGCACGGTATACAATTGTAAGGCAGGTAATATATATAAATAAATAAATGTTGTGCAACACAAGTCCCGCGAAATCCGTTTGTACGTAGGTGTGGTTTGATTTAAGCCGTTACTGGTTTCTTGAAATTGGCATATTTCTGCATGGGTATTGCTTGACATATGATACTATCAGGTAGGTACCTATACCCATGTTGTATATACAGGTACTGTTTATGTGACACCACCAGCTATCACGCTGCGCAGCCGGCCTGATATGTCACCTTCCCAGTAAAAAGGGGCTGAATGGCCATTTGTGTAAGTGTAACCAATATGTGTTCTCGACCCAGTTGACGAGTCAGATACCAATAACGGCTCCATTACCCAACATTTTCGATACAATAACTTTGCTTCTATCTTATCTCAAGTATTTTACACAATGCGAGAGCACGGGTTATATGTGAAATGGCTGATATAACTGGATATTGGGGACTCTATTAAGGGTGATATCGTTTGTGATAACGGTTTCCATACCGTGAATATATCGTGCAAATAGTATTGTAATAAAATTATATAAAACACATGTATAGGTAAATAAAGTGGTTGTATTTTAAATACATATTTTCTACATTATCACCCATAGTATCGCCCATAACGCCACTGCTCCCAATTTAATGAATATCGAGCCATCTCAAAGCCGAAGGTAAGTGTACCACCAAGAGCTCCAACTTCAACCCCTTAAAGGTTCAAGGAAAATTGAAACTGAAAGTCATGGTCATACTTGTAAATGTGCCTGGTCCACATTCTGGACCATTTTGGGGCGGTCATCCGACCGATTCCATGCTATCCAGCTATCCGCCCAGCCCAGTTCGCTTGAGTTATGGTTAGCTGACATCGTATTACCTTGTGTTTTGCCCTCTGATTGAGGCATTATGTGCGTTTGGTCTGAGTCATGTAACTCGTATGAGTCTACCTCAGACGTGCCTTCCAACTCAATACAGGTGTCTACGAGGCTATCATACATGTTCCACCTCGCCTTCCCCTTCTTCCCAATCATCCACGACCTGCCGAACGTAGGTGGGTTATCGGAACTAAGTACTGGAGGCTTATAACTTGGTTTCGCCCTCCTCGTCTGTGTGAAGAGGGATCTGAATGATACGAGGCAAGCAACTAGGATGGCTACCAAATGCGTTAATATACGGTTCAATTATATAGGAAAAGACTGCAATATTGTAACATTGGCGAGAGAAGAAAAGACGGTTGAACTCACAGACGGCTAATTCCATATACAGCCAAAACCAAATCCATGAGATGTTTTGGGATTGCGTATAGTCACTAGCGATGCGGCCATAACTGATAGTGCCTCGAATTATGGCCATAGCCACAGTAAACAGCGTCATCATAAATATCAATGATAGATATAACTTCTTCTTCAAGCTAATCCGGACTCTCCACAAAATCGAGATTGGGAAGATCATTACTAATTATCAACGTAGTCAGTTATAGAATCTTCAATCAAGTATTTGGCGGGAATATCTGCGAATTGTAAGGGAACAGTGGCAGCGACATACTCAAGACGTCGTTGAAAGCATCAATAGCGGATGTTGCTTGAACCTGTATCCACTCGAGGCGTATTGCGGGTGGTTCGGTACATTCTGTGAGAATAATTTGTACGTCGCTAGCCACGCATTTGTAAGACCCGAGGCCAACGAAGGCTCCGAAGCACAATATAGTTACAACGACAACAGCCCACCAAAGGCGTCGATACAAGGGGTCTGCCGAACAAAAGATGCGATAGAAGAAAAGAAGAAAGTTAAATTTGACACCCCAAAGGCCCAGTTCGCTGAGGATATTCACTGCTAAGAGTGCGCGTAATCCCTTTGGCACATCCTCAAGGAAAGTCGTTGGGGGTGCTCTCAGCCCGTTGGCAACTTCCTCCATCATGTATATGTAATGGAGACGGAGCTGGCAGATGATAGTGCTAGCAATCAAGGTGCATAAGACGAATATCATAATAAAGTCCTCTGCGATTAGCTTGCGTAGGGAGATCCAGCGGACCCAAAGTCGGCCGATGAAAACAAGGACACACAATCCAGACAATCCCCAAATAACGCCCTATGTTAACAAAAGGTTTAGCCGTCCACCACAGCATACTTGACGATGTGTATATAAGAGGGCTTACATAGAAAGCATGTAGCGACATCAATTCGCTCGTCGTGCTGAGTACGCCGACTTCTGGAGAAGCCATGATATCAAATCTCAAAAGCTTAGGTACCTAGATAGGTATACGCTGTCGAATAGGGATAGGTAAGGATGGGAAGAAAATGACCATAGGTGTTTGATTTCGACACATAACCTGCAATAGATATAGTAAGCGGATAGGCTGTCTTGAAAACTTCAACAGAAATCGCCGCCATAAAGACCAGTGACTAGTGGCCAATAGAGCTGAGAATATTTGGAGAGATCTCGGGAAGATGCGCCGGAGCTTAGATCATAGTGTCCGTCTACACCCATTTCTCGTGTTGCTATGAAAAGACATATAATGCGTATATACTGATAAGACTAGCTACCTCGAAGTACATGTGAGGCATATAGGAGGGTTAGGTAGCTGACCGCTGAAGCACGGCACAGCCTTACACACCTAAGGTATATATTTGGAGGTTGAGATGGGGTCAAATATATTACCTAAACACCGAAGTTTAGATAGTGTTGCATCAGTCAGTTACATTGAAATATTTTGCAACCATCGTGTTGAGTGTTACCAAAAGTTTGGGGGCCTTAAAGAAAAATTCAGAAGTATTGCGCCGTCTCTGGTGTAGGTAACATCTTGCCTGCTTATTTGCATACGGCTCGGGAACGTGCAGAAGTGGCACGTACGTACTGGATACTTCTATTACTTCTAGGCAGTGCACGACCTAGAGTCCAGATCACTTACAAGGGTTACACGGCATAAAAGATTTAAATTAACTAAATCCTCATGCAGCCTAGAGTCTACATTGACCATTAGTACCCCTTGCATAGGTATCACCTAGATACCGCAGCGGAGGTATACGGCTTCCAACAATGATTGTAATACGTCTCATTGAGTGTGCTACATGCCAGCCAAGGAATGCCCACAGGGAGCTCAGATAGGGATAATCAAACTTAGAGGTTAGTTTTTTATTCGAAATAGGTAGCTATCGAACGTTTGCTTCTGAAGAGACAGAGTCGGGAACGAGGACTCAGCACGTACCTAGCGAACTACCTCCAAAGGCACATCTATCAATTTTAAAATACTAGGTATACTTTTCTAATAAAGCCCCTACATAACAAAATCTAGAGTTTAGACAACCAAACAAGTAAACCCTCAGCTTTAGATAACAGGTCCAAACAACAGCGACAAGGCGAAGAAGATGAATAATAATGATGTTGACAACAATATTACAGTCGGTGCCTTAGACCGTTGGCTCGATGGGTCGGGAAAATTCAAGCATAGATCTAGTAAACATCATGCTGAAGCCGGAGTATCATTTAAGGATTTGAATTGCTATGGATTCATGACAGTTGACCAGTATCAGTCGACTCTCGCTACTTGGCTACTTGAAACTCCGAAGCTTCTACTTCGTCTCCTCCTGGCGAGACCACGCCAACCTCAGAGGGTCGAGATTCTTCGCGGTCTGCACGGTATTGTCCGTCCTGGCGAGCTACTCCTCGTACTTGGCAGGCCAGGTAGTGGATGCTCAACGTTCCTCAAGGCACTGGCCGGGGACACATACGGATTCCATGTTGATGATGACGGGATCAACTATGAAGGTGTGTCAAGCTATATCTAGGTTCTAACTATCCAACAAACTGAGTTACTTTGGACTGACGAAAATATAGGTACTACTTATCATAAAATGCAGCGCGAACAAAGCGGCAATCGCATATACATCGCAGAGCTTGACGTGCACTTCCCCGAACTTACTCTCGGTCAAACTATCGCGTTTGCCGTAAGCACTAGACCGACCGGTCTGGATCACAAGTATCCTGGAACTGCAACGTCATTAGATGGCCCAAGTCGAGATATATGTTCATTCTTCAACCTGGAGCAGGCGTTTGACACGAAAGTCGGCAATACCATGATTCGTGGAATCAGCGGAGGCGAGAAACGACGGGCTAGTCTGGCTGAAGCTTTCGTCGGCGGAGCACAGTTCCAGTGTTGGGATAATAGCACTAGAGGATTAGATAGTTCTACTGCCCTCAGCTTCATCCAACTTCTTCGGAAGTCGGCTGATAAGCTTCGCTTGGTCATCATGATGAGTATATATCAAGTATCTGAGGCTCAGTATAATGTAAGTTAAGTACTTTTTATCCAAGATATCTTCAAACTATCTCCAACGTCGTTTGGTCACCAACTGACCATACGCGCTATAGCACTTCGATAAAGTCATGCTTCTATATGAAGGGCGTCAAATATATTTCGGCTCGACTAAAGAAGCGACTGGCTACTTCCAAGATCTTGGTTTTGTGAGACTAAGCCATTCAACCACGGCGGACTTTCTAACATCACTCACAAACCCATCCGAACGCGTTGTTCAACAGGGCTATGAAAACCGAGTGCCCAGAACCCCTGATGACTTCGCGCTCGCCTGGAGACAAAGTAAGCAAGCCAGGGAGGTACTACAAAAAGTCCAAGACTTTGAGACAGCCACCTTGCATCCAAAGGGTCCGAAAACCAACAGCAACCCCACCCCAGCTCTTGAGACAATGATGCCAGTTCATCTACAAATGCTTACCTGCCTCAGAAGAGGTTTCCAACGACTGCGTAATAATTACGATGTCGTAGTCGCCAGTATTGTCGCCAATTCGATTCTTGCACTGATTCTGAGCAGTGCCTTCTACAACTTGCCCCACACAGCCGACAGCATGGACAAGCGTGCCGTGCTGCTTTTCTTCTCGCTCATTGTCAATGCATGTACCCCAGCATTTGAGGTATATATGCCCTTACCTTAATTAAATACTAATTATATATTAACCGCGAAAGGTACTTACTATGTGGGCTCAACGTCCCATCGTCGAAAAGCACAACCGTTACGCCTACTATTACCCTTTCACTGAAGGTGTCACGTCGATGCTCTGCGACTTGCCGAATAAACTAGGGACTTCAATTCTCTTCAACGTTACTCTCTACTTCATGACCAACCTCCGGCGGACGGTCTCTGCTTTTTTTGTCTATTATTTGTTCAACTTCGTTGTGTTACTGACTATGTCTATGTACTTCCGTATGGTCGGTTCCGTATCCCGAAGGATGGAACAGACTATGGCTCCATCCTCTATCGCCATCTTATTGTGTTCCATATATGCCGGATTCGTTATACCCGTCCCTTACATGGTACCATGGCTTGGGTGGTTTCGGTTCATCAACCCTCTGGCATACGTCTATGAGAGTTTGATGATCAATGAGGTGAGTCTGCAGGTGTCGCTATAGAGCATTTTGTCAGTGTGGTCTTGCGACTAATACTAAATACTTGTCATTTAGTTTCGTGATAGAAATTTCCCATGTTTAGTTACAATACCTATAGGCCCTACATACCCATCTACAGCCGACCTTGAGGGAAAGGTTTGTCCTGTCATAGGAAGCGTTCCGGGTGAGAGCACAGTTCAGGGCTCGGCGTATCTTGCAGTAAAATATAGTTATGTCTCCAGTCACATTTGGCGGTATGGATCGCAGTCTTTTCCTAAAGACTCCCTTCCCCCTACACTAGTTATTCATTACGTGATAAAAACTAACTAAATATCTACCATAGTAACCTTCCTATCACATTTGCATTTATGATCGTTTTCTGCGCGATTCACCTCCTCGCAACGCAATTCATACCTGCCCAGAGATCCAAGGGGGATATCCTCATCTTTCGGCGTCGGCCTACTCTTGGTTCGAAAGGTCGCAGTTTCATGTCAGACAATGTACCAAACTCAGATCTATTGACTACATTCGCCCAGGATATTACCAAAGTGCAAGATGAAAAGGCTCATGAGAACCCCGATAAAGAGGTTACAGGCATATCCATCCAGGCGGTTCCTAAACAGTCTGCTGTATTCCACTGGAAAAACCTCAGCTATGATGTCAAGACCGAAAGAGGCACGAAACGCGTTTTAAATAACATAAATGGCTGGGTAAAACCTGGAACTATGACGGCGCTTATGGTGAGAACAGACCTCACCCCTAGATCCCTATACTGCTCTCACTTGATCTTTCCAGTGATATTTCCTATGTGACATCTTTTACTCTCAGATTCTCCCTTTAGCTTTCTGTCACCTAACTAACTATTTCAACTCCCAGGGCGTAAGCGGTGCCGGGAAGACTACGCTCCTTGACGTCCTTGCCAACCGTGCCAGCTCCGGAACAGCCAGTGGTGATGTTTTTATCGGTAACAGCCCGCGAGATTCCAGCTTTCAGCGGAGAGTCGGCTATGTACAGCAGGAAGACGTGCACCCCCCAATGGCGACTGTGCGTGAGACTTTGCAGCTCAGCGCGCTTCTGCGCCAGTCTGGTACCGAAACCGAGCAGGAGAAGTCAGCATATGTCGATATGATTCTGGGTATGCTAGATATGGAATCCTGTGCTGATGCTATGGTTGGGATTCCAGGCCAAGGTACGTTATCATTTAGCCCATTACCCCTTTAATTGGTCATTGGTAGCAATTTAGTTACAATTGCATAGAACACATGTACTCACATCGGGAATAGGACTCAACATTGAACAACGCAAACGTCTAAGCATTGGCGTAGAATTGGTGGCCAAACCGGAATTACTTCTCTTTTTAGGTATGTTTACTATTTTTGATAGAAGTGCAACTGGTTTTTAATCATCATATCCACCGTCCTTACAAGCAACTCCTTTTTAACAAGTATTCGTAGACGAGCCTACTTCCGGCCTCGACAGCCAGACCGCTTGGTCGATCTGCACACTCCTACGAAAGCTAGCAGACCACGGTCAGGCGATTCTGTGTACAATTCACCAGCCTTCGTCCCAGATCTTCCAAATGTTCGACCGTCTACTGCTTTTAAGCCGAAATGGACAGACACTGTATTTCGGAGACATTGGACCGCAAGCCACCACCGTAATCGACTATTTTGAGCAAAATAACGCACCAAAGTACCAAACAACATTGGCTAATCCAGCTGAATGGATGCTGGATGTTACTAGTATTCCTAGCGACGTTAGCGAATGGAGTGCTAAATACAATAACAGTACACAGCATAAGGAGATGCTGATACATCAGGCTGAGCTACTCCAAACCAACTACGAAACGACGACAGAAGGCGTCTCTGAAGCTCAAAAAGGAAAAAGTGAGTATGCCGTATCTTACACTGGCCAGTTACGCCTTGTTACCACGCATGTGTTCCGCGAGTACTGGAGGGATCCGACATACATGTATTCCAAATTTGCCTTATGCGCAGGACTCGTACGTATTTTTCCACATCAGGTTTCCCTTCTTAATTTCTTCATGCATATGAATTAAACCTAATCGTTAATCTCCGGGATAGGCACTCTTCAACGGCCTTTCATTTACCAATACTCCTCTAGACGTACAAGGCCTGACCAACATACTCTTCTCTATATTTCTGCTCTCTATGCTCTTTAGTACTGTAGACCAACAAATAATCCCGCGTTTAACTGATAGTAGAGCACTCTACGAGTCGCGCGAGGGCCGCTCCAAATCATACTCTTGGGTGGTGTTCCTTTCCGCTAATATTCTGGTCGAGCTTGTCTGGCAGACATTCGCTGCAGTGCTTGTATATATCGCATGGTGGTTACCCATTGGGATCTGGAGAAACGCCGACCCAAGTATCGATTGGGTTGATCGTAGCGCATTGGCTTTTGTTCTGGTTTGGCTATTCTGTCTGTGGATCTCGACGTTTTCCCAGGCCGTCGCAGCAGGGATCAATCATGCTGAGACAGCTGTTCAGGTTGCAACGTTGTCCTTCTGGCTTTGTTTAGTGTTCTGTGGGTAAGTGAATCGAAACCCTTGATTTTCTTCTTCCTTATGTTAGGTACCTAAGGTACTTGCGATACATTTGGTAATTTTGACGTTTATTTCAGAGTCCTCGTCCAGCCCGGTGCCCTTCCCGGGTTTTGGGTATTCATGTACCGTGCATCGCCCCTAACCTACTTTTTAAACGGTATGGTCCTGGCCGGCCTCAAAGGCACGAACCTCCACTGCTCTGCCGCGCAGCTATACCATATGGACCCACCTAATAACGACAGTAACTCTTTAACGTGCGGTGGCTACCTCGCGAGTTACATTCAGTTCGCTGGGGGATACGTCGATAATCCCACAGATTTCAGTGATTGCCGCTATTGTCCTGTCCTGGAAACTGATAGGGCGTTGCAAGACATTCTAGGCATGAGTACGACCGATCCATGGCGCAATGCAGGATACATGGCTGTATATATCGTCTTTAATATTTTAGCTACCTTTTTGGTATATTGGGTAGCAAGAGTACCCAAGAAGAAGACAGGGACTTCCGCATAGACTATATATCTAAGGTACGCAGATTGTAAGGAGAGGGCTTAATATGGGGGTTTAATAGGGGGTAAAGTTATTTGTATATTGCGTGTTTACATCATCTAGGTTAGTTACTTGTCATTGATAAGATAAAGAGGAGGACTTAGATTATGTAAGCAGCAGAGGATAAAGATGTGGTGTTTCTTGAATAACTAACTAGTCTAAAAATAGTTCTAATTAATAGGTATATTTCGACAAGCGTATGGAAGTCCTTTTCAAAAGTTAGGAAGACCTCTCCCCCCCCCGGTAAGCTTTGACCAAGTACGGTTGACCAGACAGGGTACTGTGCCAAAATGAAAAAAAAGATCACACACTAGACTGAGATGGGTAAAAGGTCACGGACTACAATTTAATATATACTTTTAAGCCTCATACGGTTATTTTTATAATATCAATATTCAATTAATCAAAAACAACCGCATCCACACATACCCATACTTAGGTATATATACATATGAATTCAACGATAGCTTCATAAATACTGGTCTTAAAATGACATAATATATATCGTTTGATAGCCCAAATTGATGCGAAAATGACAATATCAATTGCAGTATCATACCTATGATACGAATCAAGTATTATATGACTTAACTACCTACCCAATAAATTGTAATATTGTATTAAAAATTGTCTTGTCAAAAGGTATCACGTGCTTGCTTGCGAAGCAACACAATTCAATTATATCTTACCTTTATAAAAGCCCAAATAACATGCAACTTAAGTTACTAAATAACATGCACCTTAGGTTATTATTTTCGCATTAGTTATGGCTATCTATTGATAGTAATTATATTATTTAAAATTGGGTAGTGGTAAAGTTATTTAAATTTGGAAAAATTACGTGTGGTATGTAAAAAGTTGATTTTTCCATTAGTGTTTTGTACTTTGTATATATATTTATATGTAAAGATACTTACTAGCTATACCTAGCTAAACAGCCCCACCTAGCGCTGCGCTACATACCTACCTAGGTATATAATCATCCCTAAGGTAATCACGTGATACCCTTTGCTGGGACAATTTTCAACATAATATTACTGGGTAAGTCATATAATACCTGATTCGTATCATACAATACTGTAATTGATATCGTTATTTTCGCATCAATTCGGGCTATTAAATGATATATATCATGTCATTTTAAGACCAGTATTCATGAAGCTATCCTTGAATTTATATAGGTATAGGTATAACTAACTAGATATAAGTATAAGTATGGGATTTTTGAATACAATTATATATATTACGTATAAGGTAATGAGATATGTACTTAAGTAAAATAAGTCTTTTTCCCACTTCAAGGTGTAAAGTACCAAGCTAATTGGATAAACCCGTGCTTAACTACCCGTTTAGGCTTAATTTTCATATTTTTTTCATTTTGGCACAGTACCCTGTCTGGTCAACCGTACCAAGCTTGACAACAACTGCTCACCTATTTAACATGTATATATTATTTTACTCTACTATTTTAACAAGGTATATTTTTTTTAATCTCAACTCTAGGATTGTTCAAAAATGTTCATTATGAGTACAAAAGAATTGTTTTTAATATGTTATTTTTTTTGTTTTATTTCAGGATTATATTTGACTGTAAAACCTAGTAGTTAACCTAGGGGATAATAATGTATACATCCTTACATCACCCGACAGCTGCTGGCCAAGTATCAGACAATCTTGACAGGGGTTCGGGACATCCGTAGATACTTCACGCATGAATGATTTTCCGATGGACGGACTTTACCCCGACGGTAAAGTACAAAGCCCCATTTCAATCCCCCGATTCCAAAGATGCCATCCGAATTTGTGGACCACCGACTGGAGGCCGAATTATTGTGTATGGTCTATGCTGAGCCGGCAGGATTGATGCTTGCCTGCCGCTATTTAGCTGTGGCGTAGGTACGCAGGATGAAACTAGCTGAAGATTCATCCCCTCGGTATCGTTTAGCATTATAGGGGTCGTCTATAATCATACAAACCTACTTTGTTTTTTCCATTTGTATAGAGTCGCTAGTTGTATAAATATGATATTGATTTCGTCTAAATTTTTATTCATCATGCCAGACAAGCTACTATACCATCATCCGATTATATATACAAAGCCTCCGTTTATAAGTCTTTATCATAAAGATTCAACTTGAGTTTACATATTTTTTCCCCCTCCTCGCATCAACTTATTATCTCCTATCGACCTCTCTAGAGACAATGGCAGCCATTCGTAAAGTTGTTATTGCCGAGTTCGGTGATGTCGACGTTGTCAAAGTAGTTGACGACGTCTGCCCACCTCCACCACCAGGCCACGTCCAAATAGCAGTTGAATATGCAGCCTTTACTGGCGGCGATGTCAACATGCGAAAGGGTATTTACCCTTTTCAGAAGAGCCCACCTTTCACTCCCGGGTATAGCTTGGTAGGGACCGTCCGCGCCAATGGTGAAGGTTGCAAAGCATTTCAGATTGGCGATGTTGTAACTATCCTGTCCAAGTACGACGCCGAAGCACAACTTGTCAACCAACCCGAAAAATATTGCGTTAAAGTGCCCGATGGCGTGGACCACCAGCAAGCAACGGTGCTGCCGTGCGACTGGAATACGGCGTATTCGATGGTTATGGATACGGCAAAGGTTTCTGAAGGTCAAAGAGTATTCATCCACGGTATCAGCGGGTCCGTTGGTACGGCGATCATGACTCTTTGCAAGTTAAGGGGCGCCGAAGTATACGGCACGGCTAGTGAGCGCAATCACGATGACATCCGCGCATACGGCTCCACACCGTTCGTATACACGGATAAGAAGTGGATGGACAAGATGAAAGAAATGGGGGGTGCGCACGCCGTCTTCGACCCGCTAGGCTTTGACAGCTTCGACGAAAGCTTCTCCATATTAGCACCGGACGGCATACTTGTAGCCTACGGAAACAACGGGAGAGCTCTTGACGGACATAATAAGAGCCCAACGTGCCATATCATCAAAATGTTTGCGCGCGGTCTTAATCCGATGAACAATAAACGCACCACCTTCTACGGGGTCTTCCGTCAATCATCCACGTATAAACCCCATGTCACAACCTTGTTGAACATGGTGAAGGATGGAACCATCAAGGTCCCAATCAAGAAAATTTGGGATTTGGAGGATATTCAGAGTGCGCATCGGGAATGGGGTACCGGGAGCGGGATCGGGTCTCTGCTCATTAGGATTCCTCAAAAGCAAGGCTAATTGGCGAGCTATTTAACTCAGAAATTTCTTTTTGTTTGGAGTGTTCATTAGCGAGGAATATAGTAACGTATGGGGTGTTTGATGATAGCGAGGCGAGTACGTGGTTGGATTGGATTGTTAATGGAATTATTACGATATATACCTATAGAAGATAACTATTTGCTTCATAAACGCGAGCGATAATATATTGTGATAAATGTGGTTAGTTTGATAGTCCATTTATAAGCGCCTGGCCGGAGTGAGATGGGCCCGATACTTGCTCCGTTCTTAATTGCTCGGACCGAAGAAGGGACTAGAAAACGGGGTTAACGAGACATATCACGGGAATAAACGGGTGTTACGTAGGTAGGCATACAAAAAGGTTAAGAACTTCAGAAGTTATATAAACCAAAGCTTAAAGAGCAATTGAGATCTTCTGATTACAATTTTGAGCATTCTAGACAGCAATACATATAATGTTTGACTAATCAGTTATTGTTACGTATGCCATATACTTAAGTACTATGCTTGATTTTCCACTAATGGATATTCAATGGATGGTAGCGCTGTAAGCATGTCTTCATAGGACACAAGTGCTTACGAATATTACGGCGTCTCGGAGTGCCGAAAGCCAGAGTCCGTCTAGAGATCCACTTACAATAAACCCATAAACCTGAGTGGTTAAAAAATAGGTAACCAGCGATGCAATAGTGTCTGACTATTCACTTATAGACTCTCGGTGATTAGAAATACTCTACAGATAGATATACACGTGGGGACATATGGCTCCATTACTCTAAGTGGTAGGGGTGGATGAATACCTCATATGTACGTAGATGCCATAGATGTCCATACATAAACTTCCATTATAGAATACATAACAAATACCTAAGTCTTTAACTTACTCAACTACAAACTGTCTTTCCGTCTATACATCAAAATGTCAAAATCTACATTCTCCAACCCGACAATCCCTCAGGGTTCTACCGTTCTCGTTACCGGCGCTAATGGTTTAATTGCTTCACATGCTGTTGATCGTCTCCTGGAAGCGGGCTATAATGTCCGGGGCACCGTTCGCACCCCTTCAAAATGCACGTGGATGGTGCCGTTATTCTCATCGCGTCACCCATCAAGTCAATTAGAGATCGTGCAGGTCTCGGACTTTGGCGTTCCCGGCGCATGGAATGATGCTGTCAAAGGAGTCGCCGCCGTTGTAGCCGTAGCTGGCGGTGTAGGCATAGCAGTTTCGGATATCGACAAGGCACTCGAGGAGGAAGTGCCGTGGAATGAAGCGCTCCTACAGGCAGCGAAGAACGAGCCTACCGTAAAGGCGTTTATCTATACAAGCAGTGCATGGGCGACATGGACACCGGATCAAACCAAGAAGGTCAAATTGACGGAATGGACTTATAATGACAATGCCGTGCGGATAGTTAGGAGCGACGCTACTCCCGAGGAGAAAGGAATCCGGCCGTATATGGCATTCAAAGCATTACTCGAGCAGCGGATTTGGGATTGGGTTAAAAGGGAGAACCCCTCCTTCACCTTCAACACAATTCTCCCCGAGACGGTCATCGGCGAATGTCTCGACCCCGAGCATCAGGGCATCCTAAGCACTTGCGGAATGGTGAAGTCTCTCTACGAGGGCAAAAATCTAGAAGTGCTATCCATGCTACCACCGCAATGGGTTTCCGACACGCGCGACACCGGCTTGCTTTACGTAGCGGCCCTGATTACCCCCGGCGTAGACAGGGAGAGGCTGTATCCGTGGAGCGACCGGTATAGCTGGCCTAGGATCGCCCAGATACTGAAAAAGCTGTATCCGCAGAAAGAGATCCCAGTCTTGGAGGACAACGGGTGGGATCAGACGGAAGTGCCGAATAAGAGGGCTGAGGAATTGCTGCGCGGCTTAGGACAGGATAAGTGGACCAGTCTTGAGGAGAGTGTGGAGGCTTGTGCTAAGGGCTTCGTAAAGGATTGATCGTGGATGAATATGGCTATAACAAACATTTAATTAAGCGATTGAGCATATGATATCTAAACCCATAAACACTACTTCGGAGTTAAATACGGTAGTTTAATTAAACTAGGCAAGTATACGTGGCAAAGTAAGATAAATTATTTTCATTAATCCATCCTATATTTAGATATCAAGTACCTGGTACGAACCCCTTTTTTATTTACGCAGCCTTCAGCACTATCTCTGCCCCCTTGAGTCCCTCTGCCTCTGCACGAACTATAATATCTCCAGAACCCCCTGATTCCGAGCGGACAACAGCAAGGGCAAGTCCGCCAAAGGCATCACGCGTCAAGCTCGGGAATGCAGTGAAGTCGGCTGGGTTGCCATTATCGGTTGACAGAATCTCGGCAGGGCCAGAGATAGAGAACGTGATGGCATTGGTGGCCTCAGGTACGGTTGTACCGCTCTCGTCGGTAACAGTAACAGTGATGAACGATAAATCGCGACCGTCGCCGCTGATTGTCGTGCGGTCCGCTGCGATATTCAGTTTCGCAGGCTCGGTAGCCGTCTTTACCGTGTCTTCGGCCCATTTAGAACCGTCTTTATACGTGACGACGTGTAGCTCGCCCGGCGCATAGGTAATATTATCCCATCGGAAGCGGTAGTTGGATGGTTCCCTTTGGAGTTTACCAACGGACTTTCCGTTGACGAATAATTCGGCCTCGTCGGCGCCTGAGAAGACGTGGACTGGTGTTACCTCGCCGACACGGCTGGGCCAGGTCCAGTGAGGTAGGATGTGCGCCATGGGACTAGAAATACGGTTAGTAACCACTCGATCAAGGATGGTATATTGCATAGAGGGCTTATCATGGTCTTGCCTGCTTGTTGATATAAGCGGCAAGACATGAATTATTTATGGGATATTAAGGAGCTTGCTTTACGTACTATGAATCGGTTAGTTTATCCGTATATGACAGGGAAATAATACTCATCGAATACCAAGGGGAAGCAGAAATACGATGTACTTACCAAATCAGGGCGCCAACGGGCTTGATACAGGTAGAAGCGGTCCTTCTTAAACCCGGCAAGATCAATAATTCCGAAGTAAGAACTGCGAGCCTCGGTATCAAACGGCGATGGCTCGCCCAGATAGTCCCATCCAGTCCACACGAACTCGCCTGCAACATAGGGGAATCTATCCTGCATTCCAAACACCTTATCTGGCGACGAACCCCAGGAGACAGCGTAAAGTTCGTAAGCACTAACGAATAGCGTCGTAGGATCCGAACCCGAAGTGTCGCTGACAGTCGTGCTATTGGCGCTTGTAACCGGGAATATGTAAGTCCCGCGCGAGCTGACGCCCGACGAGCTCTCGGTGCTCCAAAGCACCTTTCCTGGGTACGTAGAATGGTAACTCGGGTACGCCGAATCGAACGACGTGCCGCGGCCCTCGCCCTGGTAGTTCAAACCGGGGATATCGACGGCGTCAGAGAACTCACTACCAGCCTTTGCGTTGTTGATGCCGGCGCTGATTTGTCGCGTTGGGTCCTCTTCCTTCATGATGCTGTGCAGTTCGCGGGCTGTTGCACCGCCGGAGGGTGTTGATTGCTCAACGATTTCGTTGCCGAAGCTCCAGGCGATGATGGAGGGGTCTGCGATGGAAAGTGTTAGTTAGGTAGGTTTTTATATCCCCTTTTTACTGCCATTGTAGGAATATTTATGAGTCCAATATGACTTGGAGACTAAAGAGGTAGCTATATACTACTCCTTAAACAGGATGGAAATTCGAACTTAAAATGGATATAAGTGTTACTTACGGTTACGGTCACGTCGGATGAAGTTTCGGATATCCGGCTCGTGCCACTCCTCGAAATATACGTGGTAGTCATCGTCAATCTTTTGCTGTTTCCAGACGTCGAAGATTTCGTCTAAGACTACAAAGCCGTACGTATCCGCCAAGTCAAGCAGCTCAGGGGCCGGTGGGTTGTGAGACATTCGAAGCGCATTGCAGCCCATCTCCTGTAATAGGTCTAGCTGGCGTTCAGCTGCTCTGAGGTGGAATGCAGCGCCGATTGAACCGTGGTCGTGGTGATTGTTGGTCCCTTGGATATAAACTCTCTTGCCGTTGACATGAATTCCCGTGTTAGCGTCGTAGGTGATTGATCGGATACCAAAGCGCGTCTCGTAGGTGTCGATGACGGTACCATTGGAGAGAAGCTTCGTAACTGCGACGTATAGGTTAGGTTCTTGATCCGGCTTAGGTCCCCAGAGTCGTGGATTTTCTACCGTCACCGAAGCATTCACAGACGTTTTGCTGCTAGCTGACACGCTCGCAGTCGATTGTGGGAAGGATGCAATTACGTCTGCTCCAGCTTTCCCTGTTTCCGCGTCAAGGACGTAGACGTCAGTCTTTACCTCCACCCGGCGACTAGAATTCCCCTTGTTTTCAATCTCAACAGTTAGGTCGACATCGGCCGATTCTGCAGATACGACTGGGGTCGTAATATAAGTGCCATATTGACCAATATGAGTTTGCTCAACCTTAACAAGCCATATATTGCGGTAGAGACCAGCGCCGGGGTACCAGCGTGAGAAGTTGAGAGGGTTGTCAATTCGAATCGCTAAAAGATTCTCCCCAGCCTTTACGTACGGAGTGAGGTCCAAACGAAAGGAATTGTATCCGTAGGGCCATCCACCAATAATTTGACCATTGATCCACACTGCGGAATTGGACATGGCACCGTCGATATCCAAGAAAATAGACTTGTTGGCGTCGCTTGGTGATATTGTTAGGTTGCGACGATACCATCCTACACCATTGATAGGCAAAGCACCCATGCTATTCGGAATTCCAGGGGCATGGAAAGGCCCTTTGATAGCCCAATCGTGCGGAACGTTCACACTTTCCCACTCGCTATCACCGAATGACGCTTGCACGTACTCGACGTTTGCACCCGGAGCGGTCTTTTCAGGACGTTCATGCTTGGCACCGTTGACGATGAAGTCGTTGCCGGAAGGGAGAATCCATTCCTTCAATGTGTCGTATGACAGCGAATCCGGATTTGATTCAAAACGAGAAAAGCGCCAGCCATCGTTAACGCTAACGCGCTCACGACCTACCGATGCGACTTGATATTCGTTAGGAAGTCTCCTAACGAGACCTGCTTCAGTAGCTGAAGGATATCCTAACAGCAGGAACCCCGATAGGAGCAGCCCGCAGGCGTTGTACACCGTTCGCGCAAGTGGTGACATGTTGCGATGTGCGTGGACGATAAAAACAAATTGACCTACCTTCGACTCTTAATTATAGAGCGAAAGCTTGCTCCGCACAGGGAAACCGGAACTCCATTCTCGGTGAGAAACTAGACCGTAAGAGCTACGGCGCCGAGGAACCCAAGAAATGGACCTTGAAAGAATCCTAGTCTAGAATCCGTAGGGAGTCGAATTTGGATACCAATTCTTCGGGACCCGGGTTATTTCTAGTCGAATAGCCGGAAAGCAAGCTATGGGAGCTCGGCTTTCTTCTGATTTAAACGTCTCCATTTAGCCTACGATTGGTGGGAATATCACATTAAATGTTACGATTATAACAGGGATTAAATCATATGAGGTAATCTCCACATTAGCTAGATGGCACCATGCATGTGAATGGTCATTATGCGGTGGGAGGACCATATTGGTTGATATTAAATAAGATAGGTATCAGTTTATAAGCAATAAAGAGAAGCCATTAGCTTAATAGAAGGGTTAACCAGTTGCATCCAAACTACGGTTCTCGAAGTTCAAGAGAAACGAAGTTCGAGTCAACTTGATTGAAATCATCGTAGTAGAACTGGATGAACATATTAATAATCGCGTTTAACAACCAAATTTCCACTTTCTATTATAAAGCCTTTCATTATGACTGTTCTTATATATATGAGTCTCACTGTAATGTGATATAAGTAACCAGAGGTTATAGAAAATGATAGGTAATATTCTGTGATGTATCCTTGAGTGCCTTAGTAAGTGCCACCGAAGTATTTGAATAATTAGACAAAGACCTTGTCCTGAAAAGAAGTAAAGACCATGAAGTATGATAACTGTTTCGTCACATAGCAAACCAAGTACATTGTAAAAGATAAGTAGCGCAATAGTATAAAGCCGTATAAATTTTATGGCGCCCAGATTTAATAACCGAAAGTCGCTCAGGTTGGATTTACGTCGTTTAATTGAGTTGTAAGTTTCTTCTAAAATTGTCATAAAATTCAAACAGCCGATAACCATGCATCTTTGGATCGATACTCTTAGCGACAACGATGATAGTAGCAGTGATGGTAACACATGGAGAGGAGGCGATAGTTGGCAAACCCAGAAGAGTCCTGGAGAAGAAGAGTCTGAAAAAACCCTGAACGCAATACAGAAAGCATTTAGAAATGATACTCGCTTTATGTGTGAAGGATTACTTGGGGATATTCATAACGGCGCAGCGATGATTATTAGGGAAGATTATACTGTAGAAGGACAACCGAAAGTACGAAGATTTGTCGTTAAAGCTGGAATCACCGGTGCCCATCAAAGCGTTAGAAAGGAGACGCAGTACTTAAATGTGAGTCTACTAAACTTGAGCAGCTTAATCCTCACTTGCTACTCTTTGCTAATGTTATCATAGAGTCTCGCCTTCGCAGAGCACATACCTCGTATTATCTCATTCCAAGATCATCCACTTATGAACCTTAGGGTTCCTTTTTTCGTCTCGGAGTATATGGAGCATGGCACTCTAAGAAGATTTCAGGAGAGGTTAAGAAAAGCAGACCAAATCTTACCGAATCGTATTATATGGTCTATATTCCTTTGTTGTAAGGCTGAACCTAAACTGTCATTAACATAGACTAATTAGCATATAGTAGTACGCGCATGCATAGGGATGGCTTGGCCTCCGCCCGGTCCAAATGTAGAGCCAGAGAAAACTGGACCAAATGACCCGACAGCACTCGCACATAACGACATGCATGATGAAAACTGTGAGTGATCTTTACGCTTACCCTTATTATATTTGCTTTTAATAGGCTTATAGCTAATTGTTTTAGTTGTTTTTGGAGACCTAGACGTGGCTTCGAGCGACCATTCCCTCGTGCCGGTATTGAAACTAATCGACTTTGGTGAGTCGGTTGAGATGCCTGGAGGGACTGATAGATCCAGTTTAAACGAGAACCTTTTTAACCAGCACGATAAGGTTTTGAATTTAGCAGCATAGTAAGTATATTAAACGACTTTAGATACCATGAATCATCGTTACTAATATCAATATATAGTCGACTAGACAAGTATACCAGACGCAATCGTGGTACAGACAAGAACATACTAGATGTAGGGGTTGTAAGTCACCCTCCCTATCCTGATATCAATCGTGTTGTTGAAACTAATAGGTACATGAAATAATAGAATATGAGCCAAATCATTGCTCAACGTGGGTCAGTTTTCCCTAACCAATCCCGCACATTGATTCGGATCCCTAATATCCATCCCAGCCTGGATCCAGACCTTCGGTTGTTAGTGCAAAGGTGTATTGCTGTTGACCCTCTTAACAGGCCCTCGCTAGACGAATTGATGGAGTTGATTAATAATTCCTACTTTAACAGTCACGCATGTTACTATGGCGCCGCTGGGGAGGGAGACGGGCTTGAATCTGACGAAACTATAAGGAAAATCGTTTCCACATGCATTTTGAGTACTGATACATCGTGAGTTAGACCGGAATGGTGCTATTATTCACTAAGACCTTAGCCGGGATGAATCAACTCGGACTTGTTGAGATTGATTTCATCAGGTAGGTTTAGCTCATGTCCAACTGAGTTTAGGTATATCATTAACTTAGAAGTGGCCAAGTTTTGGCATCTTGAAACTGAACTATCGGTAGGTACCTCTTAATATATAGATGTACATAAAGTAGCTCTTTTACTTGAGAAATCTTAATATATTTATCAATAATATGAACGCTATTGTGAGTAGTTCAAATCCCTTAGTTAAGCAAGTGAATCATAACCTTGAAAATTTTTATGAAAATAAACTATAATTAAAAGTCTTTGCAAAAATACCCGCTTAATTCCCTTCTTATTTCAATTATATGGTTCCTTATCAAATCCTATAGCCCTTTTATGAGCAATGAAAACCCGCGTACGATTGGTACTCAAGACTTTACCTAGAAAGTAAAGCGTAGCATAAGCGCGACAGCAACTGTTGTGGTAAAGATAAAGTGTTGCTCTTTGCTACCGTATTCAAATCCTATTAGCCAGGAATACAACGCGTAAGGCAGCATAGGTGAAAAGATGGATATGAATGCTTTTGACAAGGGCCCAGATTATGGAACTGGAAGCTGTGGGAAAACGTAGGTGTTTATAACCAACCACTGGCAAGCAAATAGAATGAAGTATGTTATGCGAGAAGAGATCTGGAGGCGAAAACGGAGATCTTCAACTGTTAATTCACTCATCGCGGTTGAGTTAGACTGGGAATTTTAAATAGAATAATGAGAAGGGCTAAACAAGCTGAAAGTCAGACCGTTTTATAATACATCTCGGGAGTAAGATTGTCTTAGGGGCCGAAATTTGAAAGAGAGCGGAAGTATTTCTATAAATCAATTCCTTCCTACCTCCTCAGCCACGAAGGCTGTTAAAATTTACCTCCCTGATTGGTTTCCGCTCAAGTGTAAGGGAGATCATGAATAGGTAGGTAGATTGTGGCTCACTACATGTAGGATTACGTAAATAATACCGATATGGAATGGTTCAGTACCTAGGTACATATCTAGTACTTAATTGATATTTGTGAGATGTACCTAAGTACATCTCAACACGTGACCTTCGGTCACGTGTCATCCAAACGCTCATCATAGATGAGTGTTTGTAAAAAAAAAAAAAATAATAATTGTATCATTAGATTTTATTCAATCAATTATCTATTATCCAACAATATTTCGCGTATCAATTGCAACAGGAGTCGTTATCTCAACTAACTATTGATCTAGTAAACAATGTTGACAACAGTATTAATATTTAAGGATTATCCAGCGACTTGAACTAAACAATATTGTCTTTCAAATATACCCACCTAGGTACCTTGGGTACCTACTTAAGTCGGTATTAAGCAGTTGAGGTCAGTGGCTTCTGACAATCAGATGTGACGTCACTCAGATTTATGCAGCGACATGACGTCAACGGGTGGAAATATAGCGAGAATAAAATATAATAAATAAAGCATCGACCAAAGCATGACAACAACTTATCTACTTCCACATTACCGACATCTCTACTAGAAAAATAAGATTAATCATTTGAAACTATTATTACATCTATAAAGACGTTGCCTAAAGGGTCACTAGTTTTATATTATCACCATAATGGCTTCCACCGGAAACCCAACCAACGGCCTCCAGAGAGAAGCGCAAATTCAGTCATCAGGAGCTGGAAAGAGCACCATTACCACCGACGGCTCTGTAGTTACCTCCTCCGATCCTACCACCAACCCGTCCGCCAGTGTCGGCCAGAAGCTCAAAGGCGACGTAAGCGGTGCCATCAGTGGAAGCATCGGAAGCATGCAAGCTGCTACAGGCTCACTTATAAGGAACAAGGGGTTGGAAGAGAAAGGCATGACGAAGATGCAAGAAGAAGACGAGCGGTTAGGTGCGAAGCGAGGCGTCATGCCGGTAGGTTCGGGACAGAGACACACTAAAGGGGACGTGTGAAGTTGTATTTGTATCGCGTTTTGTATGCGATGGTACGGGTGGCCGCGTAAATTGTACGAATATAAACGATAGCCATAGATGATTCATAGGAGGTCTAAGCTAAATCATTTCCTAATTCCCATATTTTATAAAATTTTCGTTATCAACGAAATATTTTTAGGAACCTATCCTCTTGGCTGGCATAAGACAGCAACTCCATAACTTTTAGTATTAGTACATAAGGCTTAACGTCATTCATTAACATAATAGGAAAAGGTCTTATAATTAGTCTCTAAAACCGCAACTCGCAAATAGTATTGGTCGATTTAGTATCGCACGAGTCTTTCTTTCTTTTCTAGCTAATCCGTATGTATCAATACTGAAAGTTATAGAGTTGCTGTCTTATGCCAGCCAAGGGGATAGGTACAGAGATTCATTACTGCTATCCGAGAATAACCCATGAATGGTGGAGAAATGATATGCATGAGAGGGATAAGCGAACAATGATGTAGTAATTGAACAGTTCCAACAGATTATAAGCACTTAAATTTGTTTCAGTTAACCATTAAATCTTTTTTTCTATATTTGCCTATGTAGGTATTGTTTATAATTGTATCCACTGTATTACATAATCAGCTGAACCTCTATAAAACGATCTCTTAACTATACGTAGTAGATAGATTATTTGAGGGGCGCTACACTCTCTTACCAAGATAGATGATAGGCATTACCTAACAGATTGACTCTATCTATCCTACTAAATATAACAAGGGGCGTAAATATTAATATCTTCGTAGTGAATATCCTGGGAGTGCTCACGGTCCTCGAGGACTAAAAAACTATGTTTATAATACATAGTCTTTGCTAAACCGTTCCAAGTACTTATATGTCATATCTACTACAAGAGCTATGATACTGTCTAATTCTATCAGCTTACCTTATAACCTTGGCTAGTTTCTAGCTAGAATAAAATTTTACAACACAATAAAAGTGCTCGATGTTCCAGACTCAAGAAATCCATCATAATAGATAATGGATGGTACTTTCTAATTTCAGCTTCATGATACATGTCATTGATAAATGGTGAACAGTTTTTTATTTCCTGGCGCGAAGACGGAAAGAAGGAACAATAAATAATAAAACCAAAGAGAAAAGTCCAAAAAAAAGAATTGCCGGGAGCTGGATTCGAACCAGCAGTATTCTGAATAATAACCTGTCTTCTGTATAGATCGATTAAAGTTTACATCATACCTCTGAGTACATCACACAGTAAACTGTGCGTGTAGCGTCCATGAGCATTACCCATGAACATCTCCTTCCTCGGTATGGATTAACTGGAATCGAGCTAACATCGAGATTAAATCCAGCGACTACACCACTGAGCCAAAGCCCATTAGTCCGTCCCGGCTTGTTAAAATACAGGTACGCTATTGCAGTATATAACCATACCTTAGGTAGGTAGCCTAGGTGGGGTATTGCAAAATGACACTGTCATGACAACTTGTTACTCCTGTCATCCACTGACCCGGCAACCGGTTAACCCCTGAACCCCTGAACCCCCCCTCCCCCTTTTTTTTTTCATACAGTCATTAAATGTGGTTCGCAAGGTTACAACTACGCGTTCTACCATTATATTGGAAATATATTCCGAAATCATTATAGATTACCTATGATTAAATACATATGCCTGTGAAAGTTAAGTACCAATGTAAATAAAAATAAATGTCGGCATTATCAATACAAGCAGTGCTCTTTTCATGTGTACCTACGTACCTAACGTACGTACCTCAAGTACCTACATAGGCACGGACAGTTAGAAAGTCGCATCCTAAAACTGAATTTGACCTGAGGTAGTAAACAGTTACCGACTGAGATTATAGTCAAAAAAAAAAAAGTGTTTAAATATTATTGACCCAGAGAGTCTCTTAAATTAAAAATTTTCACTTAGCATCCTTAGTTTCTAACGACCACTCACAACTTAAAAGATGTAAGTAACTAGGTTATACCCTTATGAAAACATCACGGCAATTATTATCCTCATATTTTCTACTTGGAACTTTAAACATTTCTAAATATATCTATTTTAACAGGTCGACTTCCAATATGGACGTACCAAGTAAAAAGAGAAAAGCGCCTCAGATCTCTTTGATAGAGACCAAGGGAGATGCTTTCCCCTTAAGCCAAAACACAATTACGAAATCTGGATTCAAAGAGTTATTTACCTTTGCCAGCTATGAGGTAGAACCATATGACCCGAACGAAAATCATCCAGAACTTGGAAAGCGTATGAGGCAAGAGGATACTGAGTCGCAACCTCATTCAGAAGGAAAGCGTATCAAACGAACGGACACCGTAGCAGAAACCGAATCTGGAACTGGGACTCAACCATCCCAGTGTGCCTTCACTTCGGCCAGCCATCTTTCTTCCCCTACTCCTAAGGCTGTTTCCTCGTTAACTTCCATACATAGCAAAGCTGCTGCACCATTACAGAAAACCCCACAAGGTTCCTCTCGGAGTCAGAATACTATATTGACCCATGCTCCAGGTTCACATATTCTCATCCTTCCTAGTCAGTACTTATTGATATTAATGTTTTTTCTTCTTTTTAGAACCGTCCGTATCCGCCACCCTTATGACTAACAATATAGATAGGTCATCTACCCAACAGTACAAAGCTGCCTCCAAACAACCGTAAAGCTAAGGTCCCCGATTACTATAATATGGACCGACCATACCTTGCATTTGATTGTATGTGCCGAGCAGCTCTAGAAATAAAAAAATCGAAGTCTATCAAGTCAGCAGCCTTCGTTACCGACATAGATACAATGTGGGGTCTCTTCTCTACTATGAAAGGTGTAGGCACCTCTTATAGCAAGCTCAGCCACAAACAGAAACAAGCTAAAGGAATATGCCTGACAGTTCAGGTAGTGGATGGTACCATATTTATGAAGATACTCAACAGCCATCATGTCGATGGCAATCACCACTACAAGGCTGCAACACAGCATCTAAATAAAAACGGTCCCCAATGGTGCTGGAGTCCACGTGTTGATATTAAGCGTAACAAACGGAATGAGCTCAACACTTTTAAGCGTATCATCTCATACGAATTTAGTGGTTTAACTATGGTGGTTGAGGATCCTTACCAGACACTCGCAGCTCCCCATAGTTGCGGGGGAATATCTAAGAAGGATCTGAAAGTTCAGGATGATTGGAATTAGGAAACTTCCCATTCTAACGAAGATCCTACTAAGATTAGTCCGCCGTACGATATTTACCATCAAAAAGCGGTCGTTAGCCATAAACGAATTATAGTCTTTGCAAGTAAAACAGAAAGTCCCGATATACCGTACCTGAAGAACATCGGATTAATGTGTCGTTTATGGTTGTCGCAAAGTAGAATGGCTATGATATTCCCCTACGAAATATCTGGGAAGAATGTTGTATTCTTGGACCGTACCGAGCTATTTGATTCCGGGTCAGTAGTGGAGGACTCTAGCAACTCTAGGGAGAACTCCAAGAAGAACTCCGCACAGAAGTCAACACTCGATATCTGGGCAGAGCAGGTAGACATTCAGAAGACACTCAAGCTTCTCCACCGCCTCTTACAGCATGTGAAGCAGATGGCTGAGGCTATGCAGAGCCAGGGCGTCTACACATTTGCCTTGAAGCAACTACGTAAGAATGATAAGATACTAAAGGTTGAGACAAAGGGAAGCCCCTCGGCACATTTGGTGATTGATCTAATATCGCCGAAGGTTCAGCATGATCTTGGCCAGGTCCGGGACGGCGACGAAAGAGAAGGTGTCGATACGGAAGTTGACGATGAGACGAAGGATAGGGGCGAAGGGGTGGAGAACAAGAAAGAAAGTGATGATGAGAATGGAGATGATGGTCAGGGGGCGACGATTGAAATAACTGATGGAACTACAAGTTTCTAAAATCTATTATAATCTATTTTCATTAGTCCCCCTAAAACATGAAACGCTTCTTTATTTGGAAGTGATAAAAAAGAAAAAGAAAAAAAGGAAGTTCTACTGTCTACCCTAACCCTACGATAAAACACTATAAAATGGCAAAGATTAATGATTCTAATACACTTTAAATAGATAAAGGTATTTACTCCCTATCCTGACATCTAGGTTTCTTCAACCGTGGCAATGAGGTGCTTAGATCACAATACCTTATAGCGATCCCTAGACAACAAGGATCATGGATGGTGATAGATAAATCGGAAAAACATAACAATAATGAAAATCCCGTGTATTTTATTAAGTACTTTGAGATCTAAGACGAGTCGAACGTTTTCACATATTCTTCGATTAAGCTAGCAGTGTCAGGATTCTAGATGAGACATCTAGAACAAATAACAGGTTTAGTATGTATAGACTTAGAATTTTATAGATAGGCGGTTAGAGTTCTTTGCGGAACAAGGAAGTTGTTTCCATGCTGTTTGGTTCTACCTTGTGATAAGCAGTATATGAGCGAATTCACCCCTGACACGACGACCCGAGTTCTAGCTACTTCAAAGCTATCCTTCGAAGTTGCTATCTTTAAAAGTAGACTAATAACCATTATAATATTGACAATACATATGTACGATTAAACGATAATGAAGCTAGATATAGTAGTTATGGATATAAAGGTACCAGACAGCCAATGAAATTACTCCGCGAAGAGCTCCCGGAGCCCTCCACAATGATGTAAACAACAAGACGAAGAGGCGTTCAATTTCGTCATGACTCGCTCACCTTGAGCTCTGTTTGCTATTCAATAAGGTAGCAATCTGTTGATACAAGACCCGGACACTCCCATCCGCTCTAGCTAAAATACATTCTCGGATTTCGATGAAAACACCGAGATGTCATGATCTCACCATAAGAAGCCCCTGGCTGACACCGTTCTTCGAGCCGGTGCTTTACTTAATCATTCATCGGCGCTTTGTGCAACACCATCGTTCTACTTACAATCACAACAGCCGCAGTTCCTTAGATCAGTATATCCACTCCAGACAGTCAGAATGGCGGCAAACAGCCGTAACGAGCCCTTCATTCGGGACAAGCTCTTCGACCTGAAGGGGCACGTAGCGCTCGTGACGGGGACGGATGTTGTCGACATACCGCTACACCACTAAAAGGTTATTTGGTAACAGATTTTATTCTATTACATATTATATATGTCGGACAGATATTTTTATATCTGACAGATGTGTACCGCACCAACGTCGCGCAGATCTTGTATTGGCCATTTAAAACGCATATTATAAGCCACCTACGCAACCGAGTCGTTAAGCCGTGCGAAATTGTTTAGTTAGCATTCTGTACTATAAATAGAAGCAGAGCCTCAGAAAAATTACGCGTAATAAACAACTACGCAAATGCCGCGTCTTAGGATAAAACCCCCCCTCGTCAGCATCACATACATATTCTTCAATTACGCCGGTTCCGTGTACAAGTCCAAAAGAGATACATCAATTTTATAAGGCGCCTGCATATGCTAACGAAGTATTATTATAGGCCACCTGTATAGACCCCTTGTGACTACAGAATACGTTGGTTAATCCTGCGAAAGAAGCAAATTTTATCCTAGATTTCGCTATAGCCTAACTGCTAGGCCTTGATCCCCGCCTCACACTATGGCGCGTCGAAATAATGGGCAAATGCACCATAATACCAACTCGCTACCTACCAAGAGACAACACTCTCCTTCGCCTGAACAGAGAAGGCAACCAATTTCACAAATAATTGAAACTACTGCTATACCATCTCCATCGTCCTTCAACAACACGTCGTTAACTACACTACTTATACCATTTACATCAAGCTATATAAATAGCTGGCGTGAAAATATCGAACCAGATTTGCAAGATCCGAATCAAATACCTCCAAGTCCGAAAGAACCATATATACCCGAAGATCTAATATCCTCCTTAAATACTATGGGTCGAAATCGAGTAGCTCATCTTGCAAATAGAGATGATCAGTCAATACCACCAGAGGCATCGGTGTCAGCAGTAGCAGCAAAGTATCCTTCCCATGGTGCCTCGAGCGCCCACCAATCCGGCAACGCTCGGTATAGGGAGATCTACTTGGAGCCGAACTTGATAATATTTCAGGAAGGGCTATTCGAATGTCCCAAACCTGTCAAGAAATTTTACAGTAAATTTCTACAGTCTACTCGGGATATACTTAATCCTAAAGCAGAGAGGAAAAGGAGATTTCATTGGTATTTCTCAGCACAAAATCAACGCCACCGTGCAGAGATTGAGGTGCAACTGAGGGTAATGCGTCTATTGGATCTCGATCTATTGAAGGTCCAACCCTACGAGGTAAACACTCCATTTTGGGGTAGTATGACTAGTACGTGGCTATTGCAGCACGTAGTCAGACAATGTCCCCCAAAAGAACTTTGCCAACCTATTGTCCCCAAACCTGACCTAGCCTACGGATACGACGCCAAATACATCCCATATCTTGACCAACTGTCAAGATTCCTAAGAAAGGATCAAGAGTTCACTACTACTACCTACGGCTTCTGTTTCCCGTACCTTATATTCGAATTTAAGGGTTCTCGGAGCTTGGAAGAAGCGGAGAACCAAATTCTCAATAGTACCTCGTCGGCTTTGTTTGTATACAACAAAATTATCCAAGGCGGATATGTTTTCGGTGCTACTGTGAGAGAAAACATTATACACTTCTATATTATGTGGCCAATACCGAACGTATCTGTACCAACCAATCCAAGAGCACGGCTTACGAGATATACAATGATATGTTTCGCATCATTTTTATTGAGGAAGCAAGTGGAATATAAGAAATGTCTTATGTTGATTAGCAACATCCAACGGTGGGGCCAAGGAGAGCGATTTAAGAAGATTTGCGAGACTGTCGAAAAGTTCTATATGGAACGACAGGTTTTATCGGGGTACTTACAGCAAGAACCGCTAAACCCAATAGCGGCAATAGAGCCAGATTTAGAGTCTGGACTTGATCAGACCGAGGATGAAGACCATACTCAATACAATGAATCCGATAGTGCCTCTAAGGGGCAGGCCGAGGCGCAGACCGTAAGCATGTCTGTATGATGTGTGAATTAACTAGGTGCTCCAGTGACTACCGACGGTAGCAATGAGGGCCAGAAGAGCCACATCGAGAAGGAAAAGTATGAGAGCAAGGTGCCGGCGGGTCGTCCCGGGAAGGACGATGACATGGCGCAGGCGGTGCTATTCTTTGCCGCGAACCAGTATTTGAACGGTCAAACCGTTGCAGTAAATGGCCGATATGCACTTGCAGCCGGAGAATAAGACAAGGGATTATTACTAAAAGGAATGAATTATTAAGGTGATGGCGTTTGTGTTTAAGTTATAAAATATATGTTGGTATAATGAAGATACGAAATGAACCAATAAAATGCTCCCTTGGAAATAATACATGTATGCCTACGAACACCTAGAACTATGCCCCCAGTACGATTATCTATAACTAGTTTGAACAATTCAAAGATATCTCTCATCGTATGCCTAAGCCAAGTTGAAACTATAAACCAACCCTTCCTGTATATATTAATCCCCCTGCAGTTGAACCATCTCAAAATATACACGATTTCTTCCCCATCCCCGCCAAGCCAAGCCATACCATGCAAGTACGGTGCCGTCGCATCGAGCTTATCTAAACCCGCGTCCTTGGCTACATTGCGCTCGCAGATCCGATCTGCTGCTGCTGCTGCTGCGACGCAATAGCGAGGCGTAGATATAGCCACGACTGATGTCATGTCATATCACCCATACATACATACAATTGTTCCGCCGGGGAAACGGTTCGACGGGGCGCACGCATGCGGCCTATAATCGTTCGATACCAAACAATTTTGACGGGCGGCGCAATCCATTCTATTTTTCTACCTTTTTTATCCTATCATTGCCTGCCTGGCGCGATAACGGAGGGAGGGGGCTATATCGTTGAGCTATAATTTTATTGTTTTTTTATTGCGCAGTGAACTTCGCATGGATCGAGCATTTATCGTACTATCTCAACATGCAAAGAGTTGAGGTATGCTTTGGTAAAAGGTACGAAAAGCAAAAAGATAAATAGGGCAAATAACGGGTAGCAATTAAACCTTAAAACCAATCTTTACGAATAACCTTCGTCTTCAAACTATAACCTAGGTTAGTATGTAACAAGAGCCTATCTAGTACATATCCAAGTGTCCGGCATGTAATAGGATAATCCATGTCCCGTCAGCGTTACTAATCCATGTCCGGCCACGATGTGACGCGGCAGCCCATTTGCGGGGCCCCGTCTGTTGAAAAGATCCACGTAGGCATGTATGTATGCTGCAGCGTGCTGCGTTACCCAAAAACCCTTACCCGTACAGACTCCACGGAACTAAGCGCGATACGTAAGCAACTGTAACCCAGCCCACGTAGCTGTAGGCTGACCTCACACTGCAGCGGAAACCGGAGTGAGAATTAGATGGCGTACGATATGAACCGAGATTTGGAATATCCAGGAATATATATTTTACATATATAGTATATAGTATATAGTATATACCTCATCCTATATTTTTTTACCCTTGGTAGTTAGCAATCTGGATATTATGCGCGTATATATAAATGTTCAAAACGATACACCCCTAAGGTGTTCAAGTAACAATGTGACATCACTAAAAAATATATTTCCAAACTAAAAAGATCTACGTCCCGAATCCCACTTCACCGGTGCTGATCCGGTAGACGGCAAGGCGGCACGCCAACGACGCTAAGTTAAAGACAAGTCGACAGGGGCGGGGATTACAGCTTCGTAGCGTGTACCATAGGGCTGGGACGTGGATAACGCAGATTTGACCTCGAGACTTGACCTTGGCTTGCATTCCTGTCGCTTGATAATTGTCATAACCTATAGAGATTAGTATCATACATATTTTATAAGTTGGTTATAAATCACGTAAATATTTCCGTACGCTTGTTTAGAATGATATAGTAGTAGGATGAGACTGTATATTCGGTTGGGAACTGACTACCAAACCGGTGATGATATGACAGACGAGGTAACCATAAAAGTAGACCGTAGAAGACCGTAGTACCACACACGAGAGAAATCTTGCCAAATATTTGAGAAATACCCAAATAACTAACATTTCAAAATTTCGCTGTGGGTTTACCTACCACTTGCCTGTGGTAGCTTCTAACATTGGTGTGCATCTCTGTCAATTCTCTGCCAAGAATCTCATTCTGCCCATGAAAACAAATCAAGGTCCATCCCACTCTGCTAGGTCAATATAACGCCACACATAATGCAAAGGTATCCCCTCAATGGGGGAAAGCCCAATCTGGCCAAAACCCCAACCAATGAACCAACCGACCAATAGACCAACCAATCCCCTAGCCTCCCCTAAACCAGAAAAAAAAAAGAAACATGTGTGGAGTGGGGGTAATCATAGGGGTATGAACCTGCTCGCTCCGGGTATCATTGCAATCCCGTTATGCTATGTATCAATGAAAACCAATTCTCTCTTCCATGATCTGATACCGTTGATGAGTTGATGTCTGTGAAACAAATAGAACCGAGTGAACAAAATGAAAATATGTATCTCTGAGACCAATCCGATGGTCATAATGCAACCGCCGATAACCAGGCAACTAAAGCCTAACCGAAACCAATATGCACAAATCATTAAGAAAAACACGGGTCTGAAAGACCCGACAACGCTATACGTTGGCTAGGTTGCCCCCAGTAGTTAGGTTACCCCTAGATGATTCGACCCATACCCAACGGGTCATGGCTTAGGGGATTCGTTGGTCAATTACATAAAGTCGGCCATCCAGGTCTTCTCAAGCCAGCCGACCTTGTCGAAGGCTGTCCACAGCTTGGAGGCTTTGTTGACGTCAATTTTACAGGCCTGCTGTGCATCCGTCTTGCGGAACTCCTTTCCCATCTTAAGACACTCCCGACGACGTATAAACATCCGTCGCTTGCTCGTCAAGTAGGTAGCACAATCGAGTCGAAGATTGGCGGCGAGTGTAATCTCATCAGGGTGTAGGAGGTAACGATGCGGATCATTGCTCAAATCGATTGGTGTTCCTTTCCAATCCACCTTGAGGCTGTTGGATCGTTCCGGAAGCGAATTCAAAGGCGGGCAGTAGTTAGGAAGCGAGGCAAAATCCTTATCTTCCCGGTTCGGGGCAACTGCACGACGTGGTGAAGGATCAGGCGTCGCGCTTGGTGGGCGATTGGCAGATTGACCCGGATTCGTCGTTGGATATGATCGAATTGGTCGCGGAGCTGCGGTGTTAGACTGTGTTGCTTTGACTACCTTTGCTGGCTTCGCAGTCTTTGCACGCTGTGTCTCCTTTCGAATCTGGGGGAGTTTCGCCGGAAGAATTGGCTTCGGTTGGAGCTTGAACTGATTGTTGCGTGCCCCAGCTCGTCGGTCTGCTAGTAAAAGTTCACGTTCACGCTTAAGCCACGCCTTCGGATCCCGTTGGTAGATATTCAATACCTGGGAGTTAAAGTATAGGATCAATTCATAATCCTCTCGCTTGGGTGGGCTCGTATTTCCAAACAGACCCGCCGGTCGTACATTCACATGTTCATCTACAATTCTGCGAACGTCGATAGAGTCGTCTTGACTGAATAATGGTTGTTGCTGTGGTGAGCGAGTAACGTCCTGCGGGGGGTATAGGATAGGATCCTGCACGGTAATACTTGTGGATGACGCAGGATTGACAGAATGATCATCAGTCTTCGTGGCAGGTGAGATAGGAGGCGAGATGGGCGAAATGGGATGCAACCGTCGAACATCGGAAATAGTTGGGCCTATAGATTTCGATTCGCGTCCATGTGAAAATGAATCGAGTCGAGGAGGCTCAGGAGGCGACATTAGGTTGCTAATATCAAGAGGATTCTTAAATCCCGACTCCGTTGAAGAAGCGATTGGGGCCTTCGCATTCTTATCCATGTTGCGCGAGGAAGCTGATGTTGAAAGTAAATGAGTTGGGAACTTGGTGCCGAATGTAGAAAACTTGATACCGGTTGTCGACATTGGTTTGTCAGCCATGGACTCTTGATGCCAGGCAATGTGTGGGTCGATATGAGCACGAAGTGGCAAACCAGGCAGAAATTCAATTGCGTAGCAATTAATTAATTCGGTAGAATTAGGGAAAATATCTCGTCGTTAATGCGACCGTGATCGCGGTTGCAATCGCAGTGGATTAATTATGTTTTGGGAACCAAGTTTGAAAGAGTTGAGTTAGGTGTGGTGTGGTGTGTTGATGGTTCCTAGATATAAGTACCTAAGGGTTGATTTGTTGTTGGAAACTTAGAGAAGAAGGCAGAGCTAAGTTTCGGAGATAAGGTGGCGGGTGGAATTAGAATTCCCTCGTCGTTACTAGTGTGGTATTGTCCCAAAGTGTTGGAAAGTTAATTGAGCTGTGGAATGATGAACAATAAGCAGCTAAGTTATATTTGTATTGTTATCCTCGTGGCGGCGGCGATTGAGTTGAACGCTGTAAACTACTACTAACAAGAGAGCCACCATTTGCGGGGACTGGGTCTGGTTAGGGTAATCAGGGGTAGCGATTATAAAGATTCGATAGGCTTGTCTAAACTCCGAGACCAATGCGCATTGAAGATTGAAGAGAATATAATGAATTTAATAGTATAACCCACGGGTGGCAAACAATTCTCTGTGCTGTGTTTGTGAGTTTTGGTAAGATGAGAATTGAAGGTTAAGACGGCGAGGGAGAGGACAAGATTGAGAAGAAGAAAAAGAGGAAAGAAGTGTAAACCTAGACAGGTTGGTCCTGGTGGATAGATGAAGTATCTAAGTAAGAGAAGGGGTGTGTGGGAGAAGGACAAAACAGCCTCTCATTAGGCTGGTGACTTTAGAACGGTCTTGTTCTGTGTTTGGGGTCCGTACCTCGTCGGATATAGACGTGGATGCGTTTTGGTGGTGGTGTCGTCAAGGAGTCACACCCCCATCCTCCAATAGTCATCGATGTCAGTCATAGGGCAGGGCCAGACAGGGCAGACGCGGCGTGGCGGGCGCAGGGGTGTGCAGCATTTGGCGTTGGCTTTATTTTTGGGACCTGTCCTGCGTGAAGAGACCCAGGAAGCCAAGGAAGTCCATGTCCCCAGACTGAGTACCCCAAAGTACCTCAGCTGAATTGGTACTTTGGTGCTTGGAGGAGTAACTCCACTCCACCTTGGCTTTCATCGGCCACCAACGGGATAGACCTGGTAGTTCAGGTTTGGAAAGAACATTTCTCACCTTCATAGGTATGCCATGTACATATTGGCATACCGTACCGTACCTTGGGTTTTGCCGACATATACCCATCCATTTCTGTTAAGCATGGACACAGGGTTAGGTACAGATCTAATGCTGTGAACAAGATTCGAACCTATTTGAATTTTAAGATAAGACGAGATAGGACGAATGACAATAAGATCTGTCATATAATTGACAAGTTTTCCAACTGAATTGTATTTCGAAAGGAGCGCAATTGGAAGGACAAAGCTTGATGGCTTTTGCAACGTGATCAGGCTTCAATGGAGAACAGTTGCAAATGTGAAAAGCGTCGTTAGAAAGTGGGGGGAGGGGGGGGCTCACGGAACATACAGAACAGACAGAGAGGGGTGTGTATATGTGTGTATAGGTATGTGTGTGTGTGTGGGAGTGGGAGTGTGTGCGGTGCGTGCACCATATACACTCCCACACGAATACAAGTCCCTCGCCAATCTACCACTTGGTAGACTAAACTAGCTCTAGTTGGCATGTACATGCCTACTGAGATAATGTCAGGTCTGTTCTGATTTGTATTGAGGGTGCTTCCCCTCTCTTCTAGATAGAAGCCCAACTAGGACACAACAATTTGTCACGCCAACGGATCTTGCAACGCGGGGTCCAATAACACCAACGAATTGGAGTGGCGCAGGTCTCCCGGTTCGCAGGAGAAAAACTCAACGGGAAGATTAAAAGCTGCAACGCTGGCACGCATGGTAAGTTGATGTCGACGGGAATAACCTAGGCGCACAAGATTTGCGCCAGATTAGGCACCGTAAATGACTTAAGTTGGACGAATGCGCCTTTTCCCCGTTTACAAGAGACCTTTCCCAGCGAATTGACCTTTATGTTTTCCTGGGGAGATCCTGATGCCCAAACTTTAGTACCTTCAAGTGGACCAGAAGTTCGATTGAACATGGCGAATTTTGCATCGTGTCACGCAGCGTCTGGCTCGCGTTTCTCCATGGACACTGTATAAGATTCGCAAACCAGGTGTTAAGAAACGGTTGGCCAATTGTTAGGCGTATGAGGTGGGCGATGCCAACTACCAACCAAGGTCATAGCACATTGGTGAATATGAGGTTTTGCAAGCTTCATTATCTGACCTATATCTGACATGTCATCGTCCTGTTAGCCAGCAACGTTGCCAAGCCAGAGCTATACGGAGGGTAGACGAAAATACATGTATATTAAGATCCGACGGCTGGAGCTACGATAAACAGGTACATAAGACAATAACATGCGGGCTTTTTGATTGAGGACAATTGTGCAAATAAAAATTTTATACAAAGGATTAGGAAACTTAATGATAGGAGATACTTAATTCATTAATTATTTGACTCCGTTCCAGCAACTGCCGGCCTTCATTCCCCCCCGAGCCGACTTGGGATGATAGAAGGATCCTAGATTTATTGCCAAGGTGGGTAGGTATTAGAGCTGACGCGACCGCGTTTCGATGGCGCAGACATACAGTCGTCATCCGTACGGTGTAGCATAAAAAACTAAAACCACCAAAGAAACGAGATGTCATTGCTCGCATTGACAGAAAACGAGAAATTCGAAAAAGCGGGCTAGGGTATGCGGATATGGCGGCTATCCAGGAGGGATTCGGGCTTCTGCGTAGAAGTACCTGAGACAGACAACTCGCCTCCGAAAGCAAACGCGATTAGAGCAAGTAATTGACCAGCAGCAAGAAGAGAAAAAAACTGCCACCTCAGCGCTATGTAGACCGAAGTGAATGAGGGGACAATCTAGAAAATTGATGAGACGAATTGGCCAATCAAAAGATCAATTGGTAGATAAGAGTGTCCATAATTGGGTGGATTTAACTGAGCTGAAGATGCCGAGAAGCCTTTTTTTGTCTGTGAGTCATATGTATAGTGCAAGGACAGTGAGGCAAAGAAGTGAAAAGAATCAGACAAAAAGGAAAATAAGGGGACGTAGAACAATAGCATTAAGCATTACTTAGCAAATTCTACTGACGGGGAATTATATTATTACATATTAGGTACATATTGAAAAATCTCTTATCTAACTGTTTAAAAAGAGCCAATCGTCTCTCTAACTAGGCTTGCTATTGGGCAACATGGACTTCAGGTGAAACTATATTACCCTTTAAAGTATAGCATATACTTATTTTAAAGGCCTTCTAACTTATTAAAATATTCCAAATTCAAGCATCTCATGCCAAGCTTTTATTCAGGTGTCCGGTCGTGAAATGTACCTTTTTGGAATTTTAAGTACCGATACTATTCCCCACCCCAATCGATACATGTCATATTAACCACTCACAATTTGTGTCATACGCTAAAGTCACAAGCCACTTCCCACCATACATTTTTATGTACCTCATTAACGGGTTGCGCCCGCGTGGGGCAGACTTACAGATCTGTTTTACACCCAAACCCCAACATGATGGCGTCCCCAGATCTCGAATGCGTCGATTCTGTAGTAGCTAAGTACCTTTGCCTACCTACCCTACCTAGGTACCCTACCTCCTACTTCTACAGCATTGGCCATTAACGTGCTGCCTAAAGGTGGCCATGCTTTTGTCAATCACAAAGCAGACCGGCGATAATATGTAACCACATAAGTACCTACTTACCTACTTTCCTTCTAGGTATAGCTTTTACGCATGGCTTATCAGCGCGGAGTGATTGTAGCACAACCGCAGCAATGCTGACGATGCTCTCTGTTGCCTAGTCTCCTAGATTCGTGGAGTAAGGGATCATTACCCTCGTGGCAATAGCAACACTAATACCGATGATCCGACCTAGGCTGACTAGCTTCTATCTAATCCTATTTAACCCGTATAATTTGTCAACATGTCAACGTCTTATTCGGACTTTGGCGGACTTATTATCCACCACAAGCTTCGTTTTTATATCGCCATGGATAGACTATTCTACAGTTTTCCCGACGGATCCGGGACAACGTCAATTCGAGCTGTCGAATCCCTCTATTAATGAATTAGACATCCTAGACGATCTACCTGGACAGCCTGCCTCGCCTGATTCTCGACTGTCTGGTCTCCATTCCATTACGTTATGTTTGCCCCAGCTCCGCCTCATATCTCTTATCGTTAGCATTAACATATGACAGATATAAAGCGGGAAGCTGCTCAATGCAGATCCGAAAGCGCCCGAGTTATGAGTGTTGTATGTGAGATGTTCTCGAAGCTTACAGCCTAGGAGTCCTACGAGCTGCTGTACAACATCGTTTCCCGTATGCCTAGGTAGGCTTCTTATTAATTCCACTTACCTCGAGATATCATAGCGTACCCTGCAGAAATGCGCCTACCGGGATGGGACTTGAATCAAGGGCAACAACACTTAACATCTCGTAGCCGTTCTCAGCATTCTCATTCAACTATCTTGAGACGAAAAAGCAAGCCTCGTACCATTATTTATATTACAAGCATTCGTGACTCATAAATTGAGCGAAGTGAGCTTCCGATACAGTTAACGGTATGTCAATTGATATTCACAATGGCGGCTCTATTCGCAAATCAATCAGAGCCAACCAATTCTCTACCACTTACAAGAGCATGATACATTGCTCAATTCAATTGGCTACAACAGGCAGATTATTCCTCAATTGAGACCCAATTGCCGGTATAACTACGTTATTCGATCTTAGCAAAAACGGCCTAGCAAATAGCAATACACAACCTTGCCGAGGCCGTATGTGTCGCACAGTTATCGCCTCACTTCAGATGAAGCAGCAGGCAGGCAGTTGATTCTGCCCTTAAGTACCGAAAATGATATAATATGTCAAGTCCAGCCGAGTGTAAAAGAAGATGCCTAAAAGCAATTGCCTGACGATCTCTTCAATCAAAGCTGTATGACTTGAACAACTCCAATTAATCGATATTGATTATCTTAGGTACGGCAGCGTGGCTGGCGCATTCACGCTTATTACCTACCTAAAAAGAGACAATATCGAATACCTAAGGTATCATCTATACACAATAATACGCAGTCATGTATCCAGGCACTACACATCCATAAATCCACATGACCGCCTACATAGAAAAGAGGACAGCTCGAACTTTGGGGCAGAACATAAGGTGGTTCGCCTAGATCCGCCCTAGCCGTCTCTCGTGCTTAGACGTCGTACAATGCCTCCTAATACCTTTTAGGTACCCTCCCCCCCCTTACGACCTAATAGGTGCCTATGTACGTATCAATGCATACCTATATATGTACGTATTATATACGTACATTCGAGACATACATGCCTTAGGTCCTCACGGGAAGGAGGTGCTATAATTTAAACTAGACCATGCATTTAGAGACTACCTCTATTTATGGTCATTCATCTTATCGTTATCTTGTTTCTATCCAAGACACCCCACCATCAGGTTGGTGATCATGCTTCGCACGCTTCGCACGCTTCTCACCCTACTCACCTTGGATCTCGTCACTTGACCTTTTTCTCCCTACTGCATCCTCATCACCCGAGACATGGCGTGTGGGTATCTACAACAGTCAGGCGCCCGTCGCTATTCCATTTTCAGATGGTGTGGCAGGTGTGGTAAGTCCACTTTCACATGTTGCAGAAAGTGTATGTAGAAATTAAGACCCCGCCATTCCTAACGTTTCATTACAATTGCAATCATCACAATACCCCGCCTAAGCGTACGAGAAACATGTAATTGCGCATTATCGATAGACCAAATTGTTTTAGGTCTTGGGGGCTAGGCGCTGGGCGCTGGGCGCTGGGTACTCCCGTTGCAAGTCAGTCAAGTATCTAAGTATCTAAGTACTTAGGTATTTTACAGGTATGGAAATCCCCCTGAGAATAGGTACATTCAAACATCACTCTCTCCTCAACAATAAAGGAAAATATGGCTGTAATTTACAAGTCGAAGCTTTCTCTCCAACTTCAATTGGGAAATTATTAATGTCAAAATAGAAGCTCGAATCTCACATCTTACGAACGAAAGGAATTGATTACAAATTAAAAATTACGGCATTCCACCATTCCTTCAATTAGCTCGCAATAGATCACTACATCTATACATATACGAATTACTCATTCAACATATATGGAACTACATATACCTTACCTACCTCACCTACGTATGCTTTATGCTCACGTAATCCCCCGCACCGGGCCGTAGTAGCAGACCATTCACTCGGGACAACTATGTGCGCCCTGTGTCTTCGAAGCATGGAAGAGTCCTTACGTGCCGCCGACATGCATGGGCGGCAAGTCACCAAGTCACTAAGTCACCTTAAACACCTGCCAAAGATGACGGCTAAGTGCTTCCACCTCATTAATTTCAACGCCAACATTTGCCAACATTTCGCATAAAATTGAAGATATGCTCGGCTCAGATTCCCCCCTTAATCGGCCTTCGGTAGACAGGGAATCCTTTTCATAATGTGGTGCTGTTGGTGCTAAAGGCCCGTCTACCCTCGTCGTGCACTGGGGCTTCCGGTGTCCATTTATGGTCTTGTCCGCCCACGTCAATTGCGATGTTAAGGATCATCAGCAACGTCAGCAGAGAAACCCCCTTCCTCCACCTAGCCCAGCGCTACCATTATGCAGATTAATCACCTCGGTCCGCATCTTATTACCCAGAATATCATGGCAGCGTAAGAGTCTTCTACTAGGTAAGGTCGCAAGGTGCTTCCTCGGATCAGATGACCATATCCTGTCACGAAATATTGTTAAGAGGCTATCCCTGAGACTACTGAGACATCTGGATCAAAGAAATTGCGCGTATGTATACCGGTGGTCCCGCCTTGGTTATCTCTGTAGCTCTTGGTGTGACAATGTAGTTTGCTTTTCCGCCTTCAGTTTGTATAGTGACAAAAATTGTGAAGCCGCTAATTTGAGCTATCCTCGGGTTCTCTCGCATCCGATTTAGTGTCAGCGGTAAGTTGGCTTGCAAATATCTGGTCTCGAGGTTAACGCATTTTACGTGGCTAGCACAGTCTACATTATTCTACCTCTCCGAGATATTAGCCGGTTTCCTACTTCGCTCCTGTAGGCTCGATCCCTAAATATCGCAATTTTTTAGGCATTACAATGGCTACAACACGTTGGGAGAGCACACTCTATTCTTCGGAGAAATTTGTCGAAGCTTGCGGGGCTGTCGTGTTTAACACTGAGAAGCCGGAGCAAGTCCTTTTACTATACTATGCTGCCTTGGACGAATGGTTGCTACCGAAAGGAAGACGTAACTGTAACGAATCTCGGAAAGACGCAGCCATACGAGAAGTTCGCGAAGAGTCAGGCTGTGCGATTCGATTACGCCCCGTAACAATGACTACTCGAGCTCCATCTGACTTGGAAGCGGCTGATGTCAAGGATATCCCACGCACTTACGACAGCCTCACGGAAGCTTTTATGCTAGACGTTCGGGACTTGGGGAAGGGTAACGGTGTTAAGTTAGTCTGGTGGTTTATCGCAGAACTGGACAGCATCGCGGGAGATGGAGAAGCGCAGTTCGAACCCAAATTCTTTCGGAGCGACGAAGCCGTCAAGATACTGACGTTCCAGAAAGATCGCGATGTGCTAGTGAAGGCTTTGGAGCTCGTAGGACGCGGCGCCGATAAGACGAGGGAGACTTGAGAGGATGGCGTAGAATCAATCGAATGGGGGCTGGACGAACCTCGAGTTTCACAATCCGATGCGACCCCAGAGTCTGCTGACAGCTCGAATGGTACATATAACGATCCTTTTATCACTATCTAGAGAATTCCCCAGAGTTAGAATTTGTATGTTTATCTTTCTTAGATCTGATATATCAGATTCCTTTTTAGCGAGAACGTAATGATAGCCGGATATGATTCCGATATGTCTATTTAGATAGTATGATGTATCAGATCCTGGAACCTCAAACTCAGCCCAGCCTCCTCTTTGCGGTGCCACTAACCTAGGTTTCTATCTGCCTCGCCTCCGTCATGTGACCGCCATTCATGCGTCTAGGAAAATAATGGATTTTAAATCCCGCGGTAAGAACTCCTATTGGGAAAAAAGGGAGACCGACGGCCCGCGAGTTTTGCCGTAGTCCACTAAATACGACAATGCCTCCTCACCCATCATCTCGAGGGGCGACATCTGGAACCGACGCTGGGAAGGGGGGGGTTATGTTACTACTGCTGCCGATGCTGCTACTACTACCCCCTCTTGTTCACCGCGACGGGGTAGAGGGTAGAGGGGGGTTACTTTATCACTTGGGAAAACGTGTCAACCTGAGCGGTTGGGCTTACCTGCATGAGGCACATAAGGCACCACACACATCATCATCATCATCATATATCCTCCAGGGGTATTGGTTTATTAAGGGATTAGTAATTTGGAGGTTCTAGACGGAGACTACTCGGAGACTCTTGCTATGGGGGGATTGGGTGTTTTTTTTGTTTTTTTTTTCTTTCGCTCCCTTTCTTCCCCTCTCCGTTGGGCTTCGTGGGTTAATATAAGATACAGCCTCGCGGAGAAGAGTTGGGCGAGAAGCTCGTAAAAAGGGAAAAGCGATGTAACGACTTGTTAGCGGATGGCTGCTTTTTTGTTTTCGTTTTTTTTGTTTTTGTTTTGCTACTTGCGTTGACAAAGCGGCGAGTGGTAGTCGTGGAACCACGGGGTGTTGCTTTTAGTAAATAAATAAATAAATAAAGGGCAAGGTTGAATTGTACAAGTTGTTGTCTTGCTTGTTCCTAACTCGGCGGAATGATGAGGTATGGTTCTTGAGTAATTTGTTCGAGTAATAGCCCTTGAGTTATAGGTATAGCTCTTCTGGCGTATAAAAGCACGGTAAATAAATTCTTGTGGCATAATTGGCTCGATACCGGTTCGAGAAGCATTACTCAAGCACTACTTGGCGTGGATTGAGAAACATCGAGTTCCTGGGGCGTCTTTTTAGGTGCCTTTTCCTTTAAGTCGTTGATATTGCCACCTAGGTTAGATTGATCACAGCCTAATGAAATAAATGCTTAGAGTACTCTTATCAAAGTGTAGAAATTTGGGTATTCTCTTTTATCGAACTAAGTGCTTATTTTCTTATGTGAGAGTACAGTCGTATGGATGTTTAGAGTAGCTTTATTTAGCTGAAGGTAGTAGTTGTAACTTTCTATCCGTGTGGTGGCTGTACTTTTCAACGACGTAGTAAATGGTAATGAGGTATATATCTCAACTTCGACCAGATTCCTCAAGTAATTGGATCTTACAGGTTTCTCTAAACCACCCTTTTAATAAAAGCGGATTGAAGAAAGGGAGTAAATTAAGATTAATTGCGTGAGCTAGAATTAAGTATGCTATTATATGTGTTATATGTGAATGTATTGTGTTCATACACGCAGAACTTCGGGCCAGCAATGATGGTTTTACGATAAAATTAGTATAAGACAATTCAGGACAAAAGGGTCCTCCTTAGTATAGTATCTTCCCCTAGTCCTTATGTTCGTTTCTACTCATATAGTAACTGTGCCAATCTTTTATCCTCCAGCCGTCTCTTTTCCACAAGGCAACTGGAAAGAATAGACGTCTTCCGAGCTTTCTCTCTCTCTAAGCTCTCCATACGTTATTCCCCTTTCCCTCGCCTCCTATCGTGTTAACTCTAACTCTGAGCCCGCGCCCCCTAGGGAACGCAGCAAACCACTCGTGGTATGCAACCCAATCGTCGTCAACGGTGTCGTACAAGTGCATTTCGAAACCGGGGCGGGGCCCGAATAGTCGAGACACGGCTAGATACAAATCAGTAGTTGCGAGTTCCATGCCTAGACATAGCCGCGTGCCACGTCCCCACGGCTGTAGGTATCGCCCTAGTCGCCGCCGTTCCTCCGGATCCATCCACCGCTCTGGTATAAACTTGTGTGGCTGTGCGAATACGGAAGGGTCGTTGTGCGTGTCTTGGGTCGTTGTCGAGATAGTTGTCTAGGCGTGTTATTCCCAGTGGGAGTTGTGTTAGTAGTATGTATTATATAAATGTTTTTACCTTTTTTATATTTTTTCATGGTTGAGAGATATGGTGGGGGGAGGACAAGACGGAGCAAACTCGATGGTAATTCAAGTCTCAAAACTTACGCCTCTGGGGAGAATCCATTGCTTGTATTTCAGGTCCTGGTCCTCACAGACCCTCGGCAGTCGGCTTGGCGTCGGATTAGCCATGCGTAGGCCTTCGTTAACGATACCGGTGATATACGGGAGCCCTCGCAGGTCCGAATACTCAAGCATGCCCCCCTTCACTTCCTCAGCAGCACCCAATTCAGCACGTAGTTTCTGGAGCTTCGCCGGGTCGTTGAGAAGATTGCTTGTGATGCAGACGAGGGTGGTCGCAGTTGTCTCCGTGCCAGCCATGATGACAGACCGGGTCTCGGAGAAGAGCCGCGGGAACGTCTTTTCCTCCGGCGGCAGGTTCGAGGACATCAGCGTCTGTATCATGTCGTACGGGGTGCCAGGTGCGGGCTCGGGCTTATTCATCGAGCGCCGGACGCAACTAGTCATAGTCTGTGCAGAGGCAAGTCAGCCAGCGCACTGCGCCTTATGTGGCACGTTCATGAAACGCGTATGTAGTAATTAATACACATGTATTCATTGCGCACTAGTTAGAATACTTGGCCACAGTGACAACTTACATCCCTCATCCACTTCACCCGGCCGAAAGCCGGATTCATCTTCTTCGCGATGCTCTCCGGGATACTATGCAGTATAGGTAGCAGTAATCCGAAGGTATGCCGACTCCACATACTAGTTCGTATGACCATCTTAACGGCGAGGTTGAACTCACGGTCGAAAGTCGGTTCGTTGAGATGTCCGAAGGGAGCACCGAACGCGAAGCCAGTTGCAACATCGGTGGCAAGACAGCGGAAAGCATCGCTCAAGTTAAGGATGCAACCATCGGCAGCATGTATGCGAGCGCAGAGCCTATCGACTTGTGCTAGGATCGTGGGCATATACTGCTGGATATTTGTCGAGGCAAAGTATACTTGTAACGGGCCCCGACGAAGCTGATGTAGCGCGTGCGACTCGGCTACATTAGTACTCGGGAACTTACCAAAGAACCGGAAGTAGAACCACCGCGGCTTTGATGCCTTGGTCGAGTACTTATATACCGCATTCCAGTCCGGGTCCGCGATATGTACTTCCCGTGGGTTTATACGGACGATAGGACCTACGCGCCAAAGTATAGTTCGGTAAGCCAGGTTGTCTTAGATCACTAATATTGAGGCATCAGGAGAACGAGATATATGAAGGAATCATTACCGTAACGCTGGTGCATCTTCTCGATCTCGACCCAATATCTCCCGCCGCCATCCTTTATACACTGATAATATGCCTCGTATAATCCAGTAGAAGCCGCCAACACGGGCCCTGGGAAACGGGCAAGGGGATGAAAGGTGAGCCGGTAGACAACTACTGATGGAATCGCAACGGCGAAGAAAAGGAGAAGATATGAAAATAGATATGGGCTACTTAGCCCGTAGGGCCATAGTAAATTCATTGTAGGACTTGCTTCAAGCTCAGATATTTCCCAACAAGAAGAGAGAGGGCTTTGCCTAGACGGCAAGTAAACCTGGGCTCATGTTATATGTGGTTATCCTACTATGTAGGATGTCACAAATACACGGCATCGTCAGACATTCCCCAGGCACATGTCACACGGGAGGGACGGCCCAGCTCTAAGCTGTCAAACTAAACTTGCTGCCACTTTAAGCAACTGTCAATGTTTAACTGTCATTCACTTTAACTCGTTTAACCCTGCTGTAGTTGATAATGTCAAATCCTTATGTTGCGCGTCAATGCGCCAGTCACACCTAGCCCCTGCAAAGATGAACCAAGTAGCTACGTAGAGTTTCGCACCGGATGCCCGATTCTTGCAGGATATTTTAATATAGACCTTTAACAATGCATTGCAGATAATGTCGTCTTCATCTAATATACTAGATCTTCGACAAGATTTGTACGAATTTATCTACTATTAATGCCTTATAAGTCACACTTGGCGTAGAGGACGTCTACTATTCCTAACGTCTCCAGCCGAGACCTGGACAAGGTCCCCGAGTTCAGTTCATATGCTTATATCCTAAATATGAACAATTAATTGGCACATATATCCCCCAATAGCATGCCGACGTAAGCTTAAGTTATAAACTCGCCAATAACCTAGGACTTCCCACCCCCTATCCGATTCGACGGGAACAAAGTTCTGACAGCAAAGCTAACGCCATTAGATTCGTCACCTTTCAAATCGCGGAGATTATTTAAGACTGATTAATTACGAAACCGTTGACGAAATTTGGTTCCCTACGTCATGAGTTGGAACACAATACTCAAGTATCGCCATTCCTACCGCGCTATTATCAAGGCGGTGTGGTATACGCAATTAAAAAAATATTTAGAACGATTACGACAGTGGTTTTTGATCAGCCCGAAGTTTGAAAGAATATCATCTTTATAGTTTTAATTGTCGAGCCGAATATTCAAACCGATCAAGTGGACAATCCAATTTGAGTCCACATACCAGATCCATCCACCCCTAAACAACTTCTTCCAATGTCTGTGACGCAATTAACTATCAGTATTCTGGGTATTTCCTTCATTCCACACACGTAGGCGTATCCATGCCTACGAGACATCCATAAACCTGCCTCCCTTTCCGCTTGTAGATGACCTATCGTCATCCACGTCATCTTTTCCCATCCTACCACGCAAACATATGAGTGATCACTCCTCGAACTTATACGTCACGACTCTGGCTTCTGACCATATACATAGCGAGTCCTCATATAGCCATGCAATCTCCTATTATGCAGCTCCCTCCGCATCTGCGACAGATTTTCCTTATAACCCGGGGCGTTGTCCCCCATGACAGTATTCCAAGGCATGAGTGTGTAGCCTGTATATTTATAGCCACATTAGAATTTCTCAAATATATTGGCAGCTGGTTTAGACTATAGTGACTTACCTTCGAGGTCGTTAAGTAATGTTAATTGGACGTATTGGCCAACTTCCGACATCCTGTGATCAGTTGGCCATCCACCAATCGGGAGCTGTATTTTGGTATCCAAGTCAGCCCTACGTAAACTTGGCACGATACTTATATGAGAGTGTGGAGTACTGAAAATGGGGAGATGAGTCTTGTCGCGGACTGAAATAAAGAAGGCAGTAAAAAGGGGTAAGATGAGGTTATACGAAGACTGTCAAGCTGGCCTATTTCTCATCTTTCCCATCAGTATTAACAAGGCGAATGTTTATGACTCACCTTGTAGTCATACACCTCGATATCCCGGAACCCAGCTGCTCTGAAGGCACTCTCCTGAAAGTTATGGGTAAGGGGTTTAAACGATGTGCCTATTTTCCCCCCTATCTCGTCATATAACTTATTCCAGAAGGTCTTGAGGGCGCTGTCAGGAGGGATGCTTCCGTCGTCACATTGGATGATAACTTCGGTCTCGCAACTTTGGACCCAGCCTCCGGGTCTAGTCACGCGGTATGCCTGCCGTATGAATTCGTTCCAGTCAGGGATAGCGCCAAATAAGTACCGTAGGTGTACGAAGTCAAAGGAATCGTCACCCCACGACCACGGTTGCGTGCAATCTTCCAGCTCGAACCGAACGTTGGGTGGCACCCACATGGGTTGCATGGGAGAGAGATCCGTCCCGATTACTTGTGCGTTGGGGTATTGCTCTGCAAAGTCACTGCGCGGGTCATAACGTGAGCAATAGGGTCAAAATTTCGAAGATACGGCTCGGGGTTTGAGGATAGGCGTGAAAGTAGGGTATGTTATGATAGTTAGAAGATCACTTAGTCTATCATAGTACGTACATGGACCATATCCCTGAATATATCGGTTAGATACAGAAGCGTCAATATTAAATAAGGCGAGGGTTGGCTACTCACCTGATCCAGTTCCGATGTCTAGCACACTCTAATAGGGGAGGGCATTAGCATCTCGATACTCCACAATAGAATATATTAGTAGTTAACAGTAAGAAGGGATTTGACAAACCTGGACATGGTTTGGTATTGGTGCAATGAAGAGTCTGTCTTCAAGCAGCAAGGTAAGGTAGTGGTGGCTATGAGAGTAAACGCAGCATATCAGTCAGACACGACCCCGAAAATTGCAAGATCGCTACACTGATCTAACTGCTAGACACGAAGGTTGGTTTCTGAGATCCCTCCGCTGAACCCTGCTGGAATGAGACTTAGGGCTATAAGATACGTACGTGATGTCTATAGACTGGACTTGCTGCTCGTCATTCGGGGTGAAGTAGTTGACATTGTGCCTGTCGCTGTGATATGTTCGCCCTTGAATTATCCGGTACTCCAAAATGCTCGACGCGATGGAATTGGCGCTGCTTTCTCTGCTTATGAGTGTTAGCAGTGAAAACAAGCTATACCTTTCTTTTTATCCCCGTATTCATTGGCGCCCCCTGGGTGTAAGTCGCTAAAGAGAAGAGAACTAACATGTCAGATCCCAGCGCTGAATCCCTATCCCTATCGTCATCGTATTGGTACTCCTGTGACTCCAACTAAAATGTCAGAAGCTGCTTATACTTAACAGGGGATAGCTATGAAAAACCGATATATAGCACCATCCTTTGTAGATCGGCTACCGGCGATGCCAGCCCCCCACTACCCCAGATCCAGTATATCGTACCTCATCTTCTAGATCTGGCTCGGCTACAAGTTCCGCTTGTTCAGGCGGTTTCAACGGACTAGAGCCGCTGGACCTTGCGCTAGTCGGCCTCCAGCTATCCGTCATGGTGTCTCAACGCTATGGTTTAGATTAGCTTCCTGTTTCCGCTCCAAGCGAGGTCGTTGTTTGACACGTGGGAAACGGACGAATGAGAAAGATCTCACTCACAGTAACACATTAATATCCAATGCAAACACGCAAAACGATGGAAAAGAGGATTGCCGACGGATTCATGGATGCTCCGTGGGAAAAAAGGGTGAAAAAATAATAATAAAAGACCCCGGGACTCGCGAATGGGGAATCCTCACGTCGCACAAAGAATCCGAATGAGAATAACTCGAAATAGTGTATGTATTCCAGGATCTCCCCTCTTGCTTTGAGGTCGACTTGCGAGAAACTACCAGTTCCGATCTTCACTAGGATCTTGACCAATTAGAAACCCGCAAGAAAATAGTACATGGCTTCCCACCTAATTTTGCAGGTATCCAGCGTACTAGGACTATCACGGACTACAGCGACGCGTGGCCAAATTTGCCTACGGTCACAAGTACCATCTGTTATGCCTATTTTGACATGGGCAGATGGGTCAGTGTGGACCAGCAGAGTGGTAAGTTTATCCCCTCCCCAAAATCGCTAGCAGTCCCAGTCCCAATGTACCATCAACGGTAGTTAGGTAGTGTCCCGGAATAATGGGATCGACTCGAGGCGGTCAGCAATTGTACTCTCCTGGGGTTTCCCGTTACATTGACTATCCAGCTATCGTACATAATTGGGGAAGATAGTGTAGGGGTGAGAAAGAAAAAAACGCAAGACAGTTTAAACCACGAAGGGTTGGATTTTGGGTACATGAACCAATCGCGACATAAAATTGGGCTTTGGGCACTGTTAATTGGTTAGCCGGGTAGGTGGTAATAAAGATAATGCCCTGCAAGGTAATTTCAACGCCTCCAACGTGCTGATGAACTGATGGACCCTTGTTTCTTTCGTATGAGAGACTTGGCTAGAAGGTCAATACGTGGAGTTATCAACAACGAGCAAGGTATGCTCTTCTAATAACCAGGTCTTTGGTAAGTCGTCTGGGGAGCGTGGAGTGCTTGTTTGCCCGCTGCAAAACCCGCAAAGTGCTATTCCGAATATTTCACACTGCTACCAACCTCGGAAATGAACCTGTTTGTTGCTGTCGTCATGCCGGATATGATGCTTGATGAATGACTAAAGGTTTAAGTTTACAAATATAAAATTAAATAACTACCTAAAATATGTAAATCTACCTAATACATGCACATATCATGTCATATCTCCTTGCATATAATTAAGTTTGACTAGACAAGTAGGTACCTAGGTAGCTACTCCCGCTTCTGAACTGTCAAGGCGGCGTGCAGGCGCGGTCGACCCCGGACGCCGCATAGGTTCCAACCGGGCGGATCAAATTAGCTACCTAATATAGTTAATTTCAGTTTGTCTAGATGCGTGTTACACAACAGGGTCCATCCCATCAAACCACCCTTACGCTCTACTGGATAATTTTACATCTGGTACTTTTCTTTTGGCTCACTATGTTTACTACCTAGGTAAATGTGCTCTCACGCATTTAGATATACACACTGCTTCAAATAGCACATTCATGGGAGAATCACTTAGACCACCGAGGAGAATCTCGAAGAGACTGGAAGATGGTCTAAATCAATGTATCCATTTCGTCGTGGGAATCACTCCGCCATTTTCGAAACACCTAATCCGGGTGACAGTTCGTCCAGGCAGTAATCGATTAATATTGTACATTGCTCGTGCCTCCAACTCCTCTTCTATGGTTTTCCTCGTTTCATCTTATCTCATGCTTTATACACGTAGCACCTTCGCAGCAAACTTCTCAATGAGGTCTTCCGTCGGGAAGCTCATCTGCTCTAGGCCTTGGGCATATGGTGTGGGGACTTCAGCACCGGTGATTCGCTGGGCAGGGGTATCTAGGTAGTCGAAAGCATACTCCATGGTCGTAGCAAGAATCTCAGCGCCCATACCAGCGAAGGGGAAACCGGACTCGACAGAAATCAGGCGGTGCGTCTTCTTAACCGATTTGACGATGGTCTCGATATCCAGAGGCCTTATCGACCGCAAGTTGATAACTTCCACATCCACACCGTAGTTCTTCTTTAGGGCTTCGGCTGCGACCATGCACTGTCCAACGGTACGAGAAAGGGAGACCAAAGTTAGATCCTTGCCCTGGCGTTCGATCTTGGCCTTGCCAAACGGAATAACGAAGTCGTCCTTCTGGGCGGCTTCGGACATGGGGAAAGAGACACCGTACATAAGCTCGTTCTCAAGGAAGACGACTGGGTTGGGGTCACGGATAGCAGCCTTTAACAGTCCCTTGGCATCTTCGGCAGACCAGGGAGAAACAACCTTAAGACCAGGGATAGATCCATACCAAGCGCTGTAGTCCTGAGAGTGCTGAGCGCCGACACCGGCGGCAAAGCCGTTAGGGCCGCGGAACGTGATGTTACAGGGCTGAATACCACCGGACATATAGAGCGTCTTGCCAGCACTGTTGACGATCTGGTCGATAGCCTGCATGGCGAAGTTGAAAGTCATAAACTCGCACTAGATATTGCGCAACAAATTAATATCTTTCCGCCCTTGCTAGTAAATCTCGGGGGGCGCATATAATTATACTCACAACAGGAGCCAAACCGCTCAGCGCAGCACCAATAGCCAAACCACAGAAACCACTTTCAGTAATCGGGGTATCAATAATTCTCTTCTCTCCAAAGCGATCTAAAAGGCCCTTCGTAACCTTATATGCGCCATTGTACTGGGCAACTTCCTCTCCGATAACGAAAACTTTGTCATTGGCCTCGAGCTCCTCAGCCATAGCCTCGTTGAGGGCATCACGGACAGTGTATTCCTTGGTACCCTTTACATCTGCGAACGTTCTCCGTTGAGAAATGGCGAAAGAAGCGGGAGCAAACCGGGGAATAGTTCGGGGGACTGCGGCGGTACGTGCAGAGGCAGCTAATCTAGCCGCCGGACGTAAGTATCGAGACATTATGAGGAGGAATTAGAAAGGTGAAGGAGAATGGAATTCAATTGAGATTGAAATCCCTGCCGACTGAAAGTGGACGTAGTTGGCGAAGGTTATCGTTGGTGACGACGGTAGTAATGGAGAAGAATTAAAGAGCGATTTTTTACCGTCAGCCTTTTTGGAGTTGCTATCAAATCGCGGTTGTTCCCAACTTTTTTTCGGATGGAATAGGAACAGCTTGTTGAGGGCGATACGCCGCGCTATTCTATATCGGGTTTAGTCTCTATCTGCTTCAGTGAGCTATCGGAGCTTTGAATTCCTGGACCCTTATCAAAACAGCTTTACCTAACTAGATATATCAAAGTACCTGCCCAACTCTACCTGATCAACCACTATATTTCCATAATATGTACAAGTACCAAGAGAGGGAATATAGTAAAATAGAGAAAATATAATTATATCACATCAACTGTATATTTTTGACGCATTAGGTACTACCTGCCTCTAAAGCATAAATACTTTGATTAAAAGTTGCTTGGCTTTCCGGTTGTGTATCTAGGATTCGCCGAGTAACGCCGTAACGGAGTAAATTGGGGAATCCCTCCGTTGGGGGTAATCCGTTATCTCCCTCCGTATCTAGAGGGTCTGTAAATAAATTTATGGCAGGGTCAAAATAGGCACTAATCTAAATTTTAACCACCGCAATTACATTAGAACTGCAGAAGATTCTTTAAATATTCTATTTCATACGCTAGTACATGCTGCGAAATGATATACTCTACTTAAGAGTGTGCCTCTTTGTAATATATACAAAGGAATCAAGGCCACTTCTCCAGAATCAACCTCTCAGGACCCCGGAAGTTCGTATTAATAATATTAGTAGGCGTGGACGTTACGTCTTTATTCATTACTGTGCTTATAAGCACCTCGCTTGCCTTCAACTCCAAGAGTTATATCTGTTACTTGATGTCACTCTTACTTCTGCTCTGGCTTCTTTCCAACCATCAAGTACATAGGTGTGAAGAGATGTTTAGCACCACCGGCAACTAAGCAGTCACCTGCGCGAGCCAGACTATCCGCCGTCTTCTTGGTACCCGCCGGGGCTAAACGGGTCAGCTCCAGGAAGGCTGCAAAGTTATGCGCCAGCGTGCGACCCCACCATGTCATCCGTGCGATAGTGAACGTGTCGAATACTGATTGCATGTACTTCCAGTCACCAGCAAGTGGCCAGTACCACGGAATAGGGTCGGGGCGGTCAGCAAGATCTTCGTGATGTAACAAGTCGAAACCAGCGATCTTCATAGCTTCGAGACCTTCCGAGATCTTAACCATGTTCGAAATACCATCACCCTGCTCAATACCAAGGCGAATCTCACGGTGTTCTAGGTTGTTGTTGTCGTAGTCATCCGTCATGAGCCATTCGTACACACCGAAGACACCACCGGGCTTTAACACTCGGAAGATCTCGCTATAGACACCCTCAAGCTTGGGCGCGTGAACGGTAGCCTCGATGGCATAAACAGCGTCGAAGCTGTTGTCGGGGAAGTCCATTTGCTATAGAATATTAGACCATGTACCAGTGAAAGTCATGCGAGACCGTAATTGCTCAGGCTAAGACTTACCATGAAATCACCCTTGACGAATTTTAACTGGTTCGAGAGACCATCTTTCGCGGCGTAGTGAGTGGCGCGTTGGATTTGGTAGTCGTTGTTGTTCAAGCCAGTGATATGGCAACCAGTAAACTTGGCAATCTCTCGGGCAGGGCCACCAACACCACAACCAACATCTAGTACCTTCATGCCCTCCTTAATACCGATCTGGTGCGCCAGGTAGTGTTCATGTCGGGCAATGGCTTGGTAAAAGTTCTCGCCTAGAGAGTATCGGCAGAAATGGAAGGATTGACCCCAACCATATTCGTATAAGTCGGTAGCAAGGTTGTAGTAACTGAGACATATTAGTATTAAGAAATGCGGTGTCATGGATATTGTCTGACATACTGTCTTGTTAAGGTGGCGTATTCGGCTGTTCGCTTAGCGCGGTCCTCCTCAGTCTCGTCCTTGGCATCTTTGTTGTCCCAGTGCTTGAAGTACTCGTCTACAGCAGCTCTCTGAGCATCGGTGCCCTTACCACCCTTGCCAATCATGGCGCGGAAACCACCTGTGGACTGGGCAGTTTCTCCGTGCATCGCCTTGTTGAAGGCAGCATCGCGGGCCCTGTCCTGTCTCTCGAGTTCAATCTTGGAGGGTGCCATGTTGAGTGGCGTCGAGTTGACGTGTAATGCTGAAGGATTGAAAGAAGGAATTGGTTTAAAAAGGATTATTACAAGTTTGTAGCGGAATAATGGTATTAACAGCAGAAACCGTACGGAAATAGTAGTTGGAGGATGTTACGATTGTCGAAAAGCGGTATACTCAGAAAAGGGGACGGGCGACATTTTATTATTTTTCTGGGGTTGTTATCGACAATTGATTAAAGCCTGGATAAGATGGACCTAGAGGACCCTTCTCCAATTCATTAGCCAATCTTAGGTTCGTAGTTTGAGCTAAGTCTATGCTGATGAATATTTTAACCAATAATTTTGCACTGACCCTGCATTAGATAAAATTCGGAGACAGGGGTCATTTCGTCCCGTTCTCGCTCTACCGCAATTTTGATAATTCACCCCCTCAAACCCGAATACGAACCCGACAAGCCACAAAGTAAAAAGATGCGACGTGGCTGATGTGTCTATACCCCAAGCATTTCAAATTTAGCATGTGAATTAGCTATCGTGATACCATCACTGCACGACTTTCTCAGTGCAAGGTCCGAATACGAATTCGCATTCTATGTAATATTATGTTGATATAATTTCACTAGAGTTTGTTAATCTCAATAGCTGTTTAGGAAAATCCTTCGTTGCTTCATAATCCAGATAGATGATACTTTCCATGTTCCCCCCCTATTAGGTAATGGTATTTTTCAAGAAAAAAAAACAACTGCTACGTATGCTGTGCGGGTCTTAACCTGCCGCTGATGCGAATCTCAGAAATTGTGATTAAATGAGTAAGAAAAATATTTTAAAAATAAAAAAATAAAAAAATAAAAAGGTAATTACTGGAGCCTGTACCAAATATGCTGTTTAATAGCGATGTACTTGCCGTAATCCAGAGATGATGCTAAAACTTTTGAAAGCCAACTTGGAATAAAAAGTACAAAAAGCAAAAAGATGGTATAGAAGGAATCTAACCTCCTAATGATGGACTCGCGGGGAATCGAACCCCGGACCACTCCCATATTGTATGGATGATCTCAGAATCACGCACATGCTAAGGGAGTATTATACCACTAAACCACAAGCCCCTACAACTCTTTTGAGAGCCTTGTAGATCTGATTCGTTGAAGGCTGTAGTTTGCTGAATTTGTATATGTAGCTTTTGGCAGAAGAGTTGTGTGTTGACCCTAATTAGCCGATTGGCGTCATTTACTACCGTCTTGTTTCCGGTCCTAAGTTGCCAAGCTTCGGATCCAACTTTTAGTCCAACTCTTAGTCCCCGAGCTCATACTACAAACAAATGTTACCGCTTGTTTTAATACCTTTCAATATTCTGCAACTTCTTTATTCGTATATTATGGATGTACCTTTAAATTTTCAACTTGGAAGTTGGGAAGTTAGATTCCTAAACTTATTCAATATTCTAGGAGACATCCAGATAACCAATGAACCAACAACATAGGTAGGCTTAAGTACCTAGGTACATAACATCAGAGTTGAAGGCTGTTCATGATTTCATTCGTGAAAATATAATGACTTGGTTTTCCACTTAACCAACTACCTACCTAAATAAGAATACCGCTAAAAATATTCATTTTCATGTATCCAGATCCAACACCTGGTTCTCGTCAAAGCACCGCCTACCACGTCCACCTCCATTTCTTTACTAACTCAACTCTCTGCCCGTCAGGTGTTTCGTCCGTCTTCCCAGTCACGATAGGAGTATCTCCCTGCTTGTCTAGCTTTTTGTTACTAACGATGTACCATACACTTTGTCCTACGATTTCTACCGCAGCCACAGCAGAAAGTACTAGACAGGCAGTAAAGGCATTCTGATAAAGAGGGGCATCTTGAGTCCGGAATACCTGACTTCCTGCGATGCCGCCGGAATTCGCACCCATTATAATCATTCTAAGTATTAAAGTTAGCGATGAAGTTGAAAATCGTGAGGAGCTATTAGGAAAGAATCTTACGCCATAGCAACACTTCGTTCTTGTGGCCGTTGGCAGTTCACCGATAGCCAACCGACATTGAGAATATGGATGGTGGAGTTCATGGCCATCGAGAATACGACAGCTGCGTACTTCCTCCCGGCGCTCCACCTCCATGCTTCTCTTAGGCAAGAAAACGCAATCAAACTCCAAATCGCGCCGACTAACAATGCTGGTCCTCTTCTCTTGGTGGTGTCGCACACCCAACCTAGAAATACCGTCATGATCGCGGCGATGAAAGCGCCAACGCTAGCCATGGCGTTGGCCCTTACGGTACCATAGCCCAAGCTCTTAATCACGCTCGGACCGTAGGTATTTATCGCACTCACTGGTATTGTGGCAGTAGTGGTGATAACGATATGAAACAAGATCCTAGGGTTCTTAACCGTCGTCCAGATATCATTACCTGAGATGCGTAGATGGTTCGTGGTCTTAGCTGGATCATCGAGTAGTACGCGACGTACTAGTATGTACGACTCGCGCCTGTTGAAGTACGACCATCGACCGAAGCTAATGAGAGGAGATCCATTGCCGACTGATGGTGGAAGGAAGAGAATGAAGATGATACCAATTCCTATTGTGATAGATCCCTCAACTATAAAGAGCCATCTCCAACCCGCTACACCGTATCGATCACCCATGCTAAGAATACCCGCGCCGATTAGTGAAGTAGTAGCCGAAGCGATGAGATTCCCGAGGAAGAAGATTGAGACCCGTAGACTAGTCTCCGATTTCTTGTACCAAGTCGACATTGTATATAGCGCACCGGGGATAAAGCCCGCCTCACACTACATAACTCAACATTAGCACCATACGCGAAAGTGGAAGGGGACCATAGATTCATCATCCGTACCAAACCTAATAGTAGACGCGTAGCGAGATAGCCACCGTAGTTCTTGATGAAGTTCTGGAAGGTAGCGACGAGTCCCCAAGCTATAATCTGAGTGGACAGCCACTTCCGAGGCCCAATGCGCTGCAACAGGATGTTGGAGGGAATTTCCAACAAGACGATGCCTGCTGACAGAATACTGCCTCCAACATTAATCTGATTCGTATCGATGCCAAGGTCCTGGGTAATGGTGCTTGTTAGGGCGTTTGAGATGTTCCCTCTGTCTATTTGAAGTGCAAAGAATGCAAGACCTAGGATAGGTAGTAGAATGAAGTCAAGTCTATAAGCCGTTAGATATTTACAGTCAAACGCTCAGGTAAGGAGCCAAGATTTCAATGAGAATGATATCTTACTTCCGCTTTACGGCAAGCTCCTCTGCTTCGGTCCAATCCGCGACGATTGAATCGTCGTCGACATTGACGGGGACAGCTTCTTCATCGCTAGAATGAGCTTCAACGGCCGGCTCGAAAGATTTCTCAAGCGCCATGATGAAGTCCAAAAGAGAATAGCTCAATCAGAACAGCAATAAAATATACGGCGGCGAATTTTTATTGCTTTTTCATGTTAAAATGAAGCTCCTTATGTATCGCGATATCTTGGCTCATAACTATCCATACTGGCCAATAAGCTGACGATAACGCCGACTAACGACTACGAGGCCCGGAGCCCGGAGCCCATCAAGACTCTTCATTTTAGAGCTCTTTCGTGCTATTCTATCCCTACCATGATTGCGCGGTGTTGCTGCGGGACCCTGCAAGCGGCGTTGACGTGCTCGGCGATAAAGTTGCGTGATCGCTCGTTGCGCCTCTAGACCCAATGAGCTACCTCGGATAATCTATCCATGCGCATAATTAAGAGGATGCAGAGGTTTAGCATGATCTGATAACTGGTATTGGATCTTAAGATAAATATCTCTTTACTTAATAATTATTCCATTCACTTACGAAAGGTCTGCTTGTTCTAATGGTTATAGCAACGGACTGTATTATCGAGCTATGTTATTATTACTATAGGCTAAGCATCGCCCAATAACATAGGAGCACCTAGGTAATTATAGCAATGTCAATGTAGTGTTAACTCTATGGGGTGATTCGAAGAGCCTACGCCTATACATAATAAAAATATACTTTATTCCGGATGTCTCATCAAGAATCCTAACAGAGGCAACTCTTTAATACATTCTTACTGGCCCGTCATACCTTGTACTAACCTACCCATTCTTTAAATCTAAGTCATTTTCCCACTAAGCTCGGGCACCAGCTACCAAAATAGAGCAATGTTACCGTAGGTTACATTATACGATTTTAATGCTGCATGTAGCATACTTTTAGAGGTAAAGTTTTTATGACCTACATACCTAGGTAATTGTATAATTGGTCGAGAAGAACATAGGTTATTATCAAATGCCAATTACGTAGGCGATTTGGTTAACAACTCTTGGTTAATATGCCTCTCAATATAACTTCCACGTACAGAGTGCTCTATAACAATCCATGCCGGATGACATAGTGTGTAGCACAGCATAGATACCTGAACCATGAATATCAACATTGTTTAATAGGTTTAATATTAGCTTTTGCTCATTGCATTGCCTACTATATGATGTATCACTATTGGAGATCGACTACAGCTTACGTTTTTGGATGCAATCCTACCATATTCAAGCAAATTGATACGAAAAAGACAAATAAGGAAACACCAGTGTTGTATAAGTTATCCGTAGGTGTATACGTATAATTGGAAGCAGGCTGAGGAACATGGATTGCTTATAACAGGACTACCGACGTATATGATCAGTTACACTGCCTAGGCTCAATTTATAGATGGTGACCGTAAGCCGATTAGCGAATACTCCAATGTCAGCCTACAGATGTTTGATTATATATGTGTGTTGTGCTGGATGGTGAACATGAAATTGTCCCAACTAAGTAATAGTCAGCGATAGGATATTTAAGCTGGAGCCTGACTTTATTGAACCTTTCAATTCTCCCTATTTAATTTATTCTGCCCTGTTCGAGTGGACATTGAAAATGGCTATGAATTCGCAGCTTGACGCTTCTATATTTTCCGCGAAGAATGAAAACACCGTAGCCTTATTAAATGCACATACGGAATTCTCTCTTATCAAGGTTGAAGTTCCTAAGCAATACGAAGGCTTGGGTAAGGCTCTCTCCCACCGCAGACGGAAGAATGCCGAATGTGGACCGCAACATATAACGGCTCGCAGATTGGGAGCGTTGTTTGAGCCAATGATTCCTAACATTGACATTCTCGCCTCCACATATGGGAAAAGTGTCTCGGAAATCTCTAGGTCATCCCAGCTTGAAGTAAAGGTAAGATCTCTTCATGGGCTCTTAATTAACGGGCTGCCTGGGAGTTAAGAATATTGGTAAGCTGATGACGATGAAGCCTGGTGAATACGGACCATTTGATGAATATGTAGGGGTCGATGGTACCACTATATATGCAGCAGTCCCATCGGGAAGTAGCGCAATCGCTTTGCATTTACTGGTCTGCCTGCTTGCGCGAATGTTTTCAAGCGCCGAAGCAACAGCAATTTGGGCTCAGCTAGTCGAATCCAGGCTAAAAGAGATCGAAGAGAACTCAGATTCTACCCAAATACTAGGAAGGGCGGCTATCTTCTCTGGAGAATTAGGCCGCCAAATCATGAGAGATGATTTGGCTGCGTGGGATGCCAGCGCGCGTGCCTGGCTTGAAGCTGCGAACCAAATCAAGAGACGTGAATATACACAACTAAAACTTAGCATAAAAAATTTTCCGTCGATCCGAAGCTCTGACGCTCCTTACAAGGATATTATTTAAGGCTGGATTATGGGAATGATAACAATCTAGGATATAATCTAGGGTAAGCCACAGAACATAACGAATGGGTTGATTCTTCTTGGACTTATGTCGTGGCACATCTACCCTGACTTGAACGTGTTTTCCCCGAATTGTTACGTTAAATTTGATGATGATCTTGTGGAGACTGGAGGCGTGATCACTCTTGGGCTTGAACAGAAAGACGAAGATCAACTTGGTGTCAGCTGATCGGTCTCTCTTTCTCACTTGCGCTTCTACGGGGATCCGATTGTTATCAAAAAGTCCTCTGAAGAGGATAGCGATAGAATCAGCGCTTATGAGTTACGCTTCGTCGCCTTCGGAAGTTTACTGGCAAATTGGAGTATGCCGGCGTCAACTGATATCTTGGAAATCGTTGAATGTTTTATTGCATTAGGGAAAGCCTTACAACTGGACGAAAATACTGACGATTTGGATTGCTACAATAGTTTAATGGGATAACGTTACTTATCGATGCATCGCGAAGCTTTCAGTCATCTGTTGGAATCCATAGGGATATTGCGCTTCACTATATTGAGCTTGGTAGGCGACGAGGCCGAAAGTTTCTCGACGAAAACCGCCACGGCAACATCCCAATGTTTGGGCTGTCCAACCCATACTTGCTATTTCAATTATCTACAAGGTGGACCACGGAAAGCCATGATCTAGAAGTATCTATAGCCCTGCTTCGTCAACTTGCTAAAGACTGCAACTTTCCTCGTAACAGTTGCATTATCGCCAGCCGTCCTCCATGCCCCATTGCTGTTGGGGTATCTGAACTTGGGACTTCGTTAGATGGGAGTTGGGAATTGACTACCGCAATCCCGGTCCCAAATATCACTGGGAAACGATCCAGGGATGGGGAATTGCAAATAGCAGAAAGACATATTCGATGGGTCCATATCGACTGCACTAAAGATCCTCTATATCAGAGATACCGGGACATTTCGGACAATCTGGACAACTTTGAGCCTGACAACATGGTCAGAATAGGAGAAACTAGCATTGCCTTATCTTCTCCCGATTGCGACTGTTATAGAAAGGGGCGCGCTTGTGATAGCCGTTGTTCATGCAGAAAGAGGGGATTTAGATGTACTTCACTATGCTTATGTCTTAGCCATTTTACTGGCCTAGATAGTTCGCGTTGCATGAATTCTCGGGACTGCGTATCACTGTCTGGGGTGACGGGCGAAGATTTCTATTGGCTTCCAATGAGAAGCACTTTGGATATGAATTATTACACTCAACTTAATCAACCTGGTAGTAAATTCAGGTGGCATGATCCTCCCTGTGCGTTTGTCGATAGGTTTAACGAGCTTCTAGTTTCACCAGATGAGCTGCAAACGCAAGGCGAGCTAGACTACGACAATAAATCATCATATAGCTCAAACGCTCTTGGTCAGGAACTCAAATTCCGGTTAATTGAGTCAAATGGAATAGCTGGGTTGTTTATTATGGATGGACTTAGGGTAGAGATACCGAAATTCGGCTTGTCTCGGCTCACAGAAGTCTTCCAGTCTGGTACTTTGGACCCATCTCTATTAAGGGAATATCTGAAGGACATTCCGCTTAGTGGCATCATGGACTATTCGCCATCACTTGATGAAGAACATCATTCCTGTGGGACAATCTTCAAATTTTTGAAAGCTGTATCTGCTACATGCGAGCTCTACGACAACTTACCAGGGGCGACGATTTCTATTGGCATCATAAAGTAGCCACTCGGCTTCTCTCACTGGGTTGTTAACATATGGGATTATTCGCCGGATGAGGGTAACCCAAAATTATGGCGATCAACTAAGTTTTCGTGTCTGGCTATGATGGAGTCCGGGGTGCACAATATACATCCTGATCGTCTTGGGCTGGTTATGGCGATGGCAGCGGGAAATTCTATCTACGCCTCCGAAGCGCTTCTTCAAGATCCCACGCTTCAAGATCACTCCGGCCTTCCAGTATTTAAAGGAATCCGACGAATAATTGGCAATATCGGATGTCCCGGAGTAGTAATGCTAATCCCGCCACCGAGCCCGCGGGTATTGCGGGTGGATCCGACGCGGCAGAGATTTGAGGGGGTCGAAACCTTTGATGGACTACCACAAGACTACCTCACTCAAACATCCCTACATTTGAGGATTACGGAATATAAGTTCCCTCTCGCGAGTGCTCCCGGTGCTGTCGATGCGGACGTCCTAATCCGCGAGGCGCTTATCCGTTTATGATGGGTCTAGGTGGATTGCTGACCTTGATATATTGAAAGGGTTCGAAAGTCCCGACCTAGATATTGTATCGGACTATCATTGTGAACGCGAACATGAATGCGAACATGATGACAAATATCCCGGCCAGCTGCTTGTTAAGAAGTGTGGAGTTCAGCTCAAAGCTATAACCACGTGGGATCAATTGTTGTTATGCAACGAGGATCTCATAGAAGGTGAAATAGGAGCTGTGAGTGTCTACGGTAACTGGTTTGCACGATTGGCTGTGGCGAGCTTAGCAATTTGGATGGGATCTCAGAGCATTGTGTTCCCATCGCATTGTGTCTGTATTCGCTGCGGAGAAAAGTTCCTTGATTATAAATCTTGGTACTTGAAGGAGGAAAAGGAATTTCCGGTGCTTTTCATCTTTTGAAGAATGAGTTTGTCCATATGAATGGAAGCTTTTTATTAACTAAAGGTAACTTGTATATGTTTGGGTGTTGATGGCCATATGGGGATAGCGGGGTTACAGATATCTTTCTAATATTGGCTTAGGGCCGTCTAGATCTTGTCTAGCGCTCGTGTCTAGCGCTCGTTAGCTCTGGTTAGCTCTGGTACGCTATAATTCTAACGGCTTAGCGGCGTCTAAAAATATGCAGTTGGATAAGGTACCTTAATGCAGTTGGGATTTAAAAAGGAGAACCGGAATTATCGGGTGGCCTTGGCCTTTTTCTTCTCGAAGCTGTTCCCTATGGTTGTCGCCATGAAATAGTTGACATCAATGTTAGTGCATTCAAGTTATTATAAACCACGATAAGCGCTCAAAACATCGCCTACCAAACTTAAGATTATCATTCATAAAATTAATATTCCAGGTATTTCATAAAACGAATTGTATAACACATTATAAGGTTTAAATCGTAGAAACGAGGTTCAAGGGAAATGCGTTACCAATGCCGGAACCAAACGCCGCCAAATCCTTCAAGTGTAATACATGTTTGGCGACATTTCGTCGACATGAGCATCTCAAAAGACACGCGGCCACAGCTCGTATGTCTATAAAGTAGTGTACTATGATGACTTACTGCTAATAAAAAGTGATAGACACTGCAGATCGTGCCTTTGCATGCGAATTCTGTACTGCCAAATTTAAACGAGGGTTAGATATTCCTACGACCCCACCTGTAACTACAGCTAAACTATTGGCTTAATCATAATTATAGGGATGCTTTGAGGAGACACTATAAGTCATGTTCTCTTAGAGTCCAGCGTGGTGTGGACATGCCTCCGGCTATCCAAGCTGGCAGGCGGAAACGGGCTTGTGAAAGTTGTACAACTCTCAAGAGGGCATGTGATCTTCAAATGCCATGTCTTGAATGTACGGAGAGGAGAAAGCAATGCATCTATAGACGCGGCTCCCCAACAGCCGAAGGTAGCGTGGGTTCCGAGGTCCTCATCTCTGCTGCCGGACCTGGTCCTGTTAACCCCGAAGAACTCAATGTCGGTACCGAATTCATTGACTTGCCGTTCTTTGGTATAGACTACGAATTAAACGGCGGGATGTCTTATGTAGGAGATCTAACTATGCTCATGCCTGCCATAGAACACCCCCCACAAAGGATCCAACGTCCCATGCGTCTCCAATTCTTATTAAACTTCACTCGTACTACGGGAGTGAATAGCTCATATAACTACAGACGGCCATCTATGCAGCCGCAGAGTCTTGTAGGTGTATACAGTTACAGGACCGTGTACCTTTCTAAGGGCGCAGGGATATGTCGGCTCCTGGAATCTACTACGCGGGGCACCGATTTCTCTCAGATAACATCAGCTGCCGACAACATCTTCTCTATCGAAGAAATGCCAAAATTACTTGCCATATTCTGGGAACGGTGGTACCCACACTGCCCAATCGTTCACCGCTCGTCCTTCAACATCGCCTTTGCTCACCCTCTCCTAGTAATGGCTATGGTTCTGTTGGGAGCAGTCATGTCACCATTTATACAGCATAGAGAACAAGGGAGACTTTTGCTCGATAGTGCGGAGAATGCTATCTTCAGTTCCAAGATCTTTGATTGTGATGGATATACGAATGTCGACGAGGTCCATAATTCAGGGGCCGTCGCCACTTTCCAAGCCGCATATTTTATCTGCATTATGCAGAAATGGGAAGGCAACGAAGTTGCTAAACAAAGGATTAGGCGCTATAGGTTTACTGCCCTGGTATCGGTGAGTGGCTTCATTAGGCTTTGCTATTGACAAGATATTGATTATCTGTAGGCCGTTAGATCTCTTGGTATCCCTCATGCTACCCATAAGCACGACTTGTCAATAGAAGACCCGGATGATGTCAGATGGAAGAAATTCATTCGTCGTGAAGAACTAATCAGGTAAGTTCATATTATCACCCTGTTCTCAGAAATCCGAATGCAACCTAACCTCGGCCAAGAATCGTGTCATACGTGTTCCTCCTCGACTGTGGTTTTTTGACATTCCATAACTGTGTCCCTAGAATGGCGCTTCAAGAAATGACAAATGAGCTGCCATGTCTAGAGGTCTACTTCCAAGCTGGTTCTGCATCGGAATTCTTCGAATTGACACGCCTTGGATCTCTTTCGCCGCGCATGCTCACCTTAGTTGACGCATTACGCATTCTAACAACTACCCCTGATGGCATGTTTAACTACGAGGCCGTTCTGCCAGCGAGCTCTTTAAGCTTATTCGTAGCTATTAATGGTAAAGTGATCTCCGTCAAGATATGATGTCTATATTAAAGAATCGTTATTGAGGTCGTATACGCTAATCGATTCTTATAGCCCTCCTTGCTTTGGTATACCATCAACGAACAATGTCGGTTTTCGTTCCATCTGATACTCGGCCACTCCTTAAGGCAATAAGTAGATGGGAGGAAATCTGGGAGTGGAATATGCACCGATTGCAGGCCTGCAATATACGCATAGATACGTGCTCGGGGGAGGGGCTATTTATGCAACAGGCACCCGAATTCGCTGCGCTGGCAAGACTTCAACTGAACTCAGCTAACTCGGAAGTAAATCCATATCCATATCCTTCCAACAGCCTTCTTCCGGATTCTAGCGCTTCTGCCCCACAATCAAAGCTAGATAAATCGGATATGAGCCATCTAGCAGATCTCATTCTGCGTTTTGAGGCCGTAAATATGGAACAGGAGACTCTCTAGTATTGTATAGCCAATAAACCAATCAAGAATATGACTAGCGGAGGGCCTTTGTTGACAATCTTAGTTTAGATATCATCGTGACATGTTACTCTTAGTTCTCATGCTCCATTTTATCTTATATGGTTTATCCTTGTCGAAAGTGTCGTATCTTTTCGATGGCTCAGCGCTTCATTGTCACTGTGCAGAGAAACGGGCCTTTCATCTCTCCAATACCTGAACTTTCCATCTCAACGCGTCGTTCTGCGGATATAGGATGAAACTCAAACTTATTGATTAATGTAGTCAATGTCTTCCAAATATTCGTCATGGCTAGATGTTTGCCGATGCACATACGGTGGCCGATGCTGAATGGGAGGAGATTGTTCGCTATGGACTTTCCGCTAGCCTCGAGGAATCGCTCGGGAAGGAAATTTTCTGTATTCGCTCCCCAGATCTTGGGATTGTGGTGTAGCACATAATTCGAAATAGATACATTCGTCTGCCAGATAAGAAAGTGATTAGGCGTTGTTCTCATGGAGCCAAGTGGTTCTCTTTAACTAACATTTTGCGGGATATTATAGCCATCTATATTAGCTCCTTCAGGATTGAGGACGCGTCGCCATAAGCACATGGTGAAAACGGGACTTATTCTGAAGCTCTCTTGAATACAGACTCCAGTATAATTCAGCGAGGACTCAAGGCCCTTAATGGGATATGAAATCTTATCATCTGGAAGGTCGCCAAGAGTGTCCCGAATTTCCTTATCGACCCGTTTCAAAGCCTGATCATCATGAAGCAAATGCCAGAACAACAGGCTTAAACTTCCTGATGTCGAATGGGATCCAGCAATTCTGCAAAAGTTATTCTATGTCACCTCCTTGTAGAATTTTAGTAGAACTCACAGCATTGCCCATGCCTCCGAGTTAATCTCTAGGTCTGTTAGCTTGGCTCCGGTTTCTGGATCTTTAGCGTCTAACAGATGTTGCATTAGATCTAGACGACTAGTAGATGTCTGTTGTCTCCTTGTTTCCACGCAGTCGGCACAGGTATTCTTAAGTTTACCTCTGCTCTGTACTAACTGACGGAGCCTGGGGATAGGTAACATGGGAATAATGCTCTTGAAGAAAGAACGAAACGGAAAGGTGCCGAGGAGACTCGAGAGAAGGATATGGTCATTAATGGCAGGGATCTCAGGGGCCACCTCGCTTATTTGAGTATTGAAAGAACGGCCAAAGGCAACATCGCCTAGGATGTCAAATACGTAAAATGCGATCAGGTGCTTGAAATCGAATACTTCCTGGTTCTGGGCTAGGTTTTTCAGCTTCTCAATAAGTATCTTCATTTGACCATCAATCAATGGCTCCATCTTCCATATGGAAGCTTGAGAGAATCCATGTGATAGTTGTCGTCGGCGTAGGGCGTGTATCTGTCTCGAATTAGTACAAGGGCGTCTAACCAAGCCTTGATCTACAATATGTTAAGCTGGGAATCTGAGCAACTAACATCTTCATCCCTACCGCCAAACAAATTTGGCTTAAATGCAGTGAAACCATCGTAGAATTCTGGCTTAGCCATCTGTCTCCCTGATTTGTAAATTGGCAATATGGCGTCCGCACTCCAGAAATGTAGGTCATTAGGCCCGACCCTTATAACAGGGCCATATTTGATATGCGCATTGAGAAGTTGTTCATGTAGGCTTAGCTTGTAGATGTAATATCCCTTCCAGCCATTGCTGAGAGAAGCAAGAAATGGCCCAGGATATTTTGACAGGGGATGGAAAAATCTTTGGTAAATCACATATATAGTAAGGAACGAAAATAGAATACTTGTAGCTACGAAAGCTGTTGTTGGTTCAGGAGAAGTTTCAAAATAGTCCATTATGTGAGATAAATTTGTTCCCAATACTATGAGTATATTAAAAAGATCAGAGCCAGTTTAGTTCCCAGGGATGGTTTATGCAGAACGAAAGCTACTACTTGTCTACTCGCTTAGCTTACCCAACCGATTCACGCAACATGAAGTATTATGTTGAATAAGTGGCGATGAGGGTGAACTCCGAACCAGATATATTCGCTGAGAGGCTTTCCAAGAGGTGACTGGTAGAATTGGCGAATCATCGAATCCAAACAGTGCTTATTTGATAAGTATAAACATGACCCGTCATTGGATTAAGTATACCATAACCCTCAGAACTATGGCAACTCATGACAGCTTATTGTGGGTATTCTCCGCGGTAATTCTTCTAAATACGTGCTCGCTATAATGCTAGTTACTCTTAGGGGTATTAATCGTCTACCGGAGTGTAGTTTAAGTCCCGAACCCTCAACCTAGAGCCGAGCAGAAGGGTTACAAAACAGTCATAAAGGGGGAGGAGGGGAATTCCCGACCAGCCAATCAGTTTACACGTATTTGGAATAAAAGCGGAACATATGGGGAGTTGGTATTGTCTCATTCTTCTACCGATGTCCCCTCAGTTATTCTTTGAGTGGGAACGATTTGCGAACTCACTCCGATAAAGAAATCTGATCTCAGCATATCTTTCTAGGGGTAGGAATACCAGTTACAACTTATCTCTTCCCTGAAAAGCTAGTTGATATTTGTTCCAGGTGTTCTGAGCGTAGTAAATATCACCTTTGTCAAAAAGCATAGCCGATAATGGGATCTCAAATCCAGACATCAACCAGCGTATATAAAGTTGCAGGAAGCTTGTCCTTGACAATCGATGTGCATGTCCCTGAAGGGTATGACCCTAACTCCGGGACCGCTCTCATCCACTTCCACGGTGGCTATCTTGTAACTGGTTGATACCACCCATCGTCAAGATAATAACTAACTAGTGTAGGTAATTGGTGAAAAGACTACATTTCCGCCGCACTGGCTGATCAATGCCTGCCACCGACGCGGATGGGCGTACGCCACGCCATCGTACCGCTTGATGCCGGAGGCCAATGGTCTTGATATTCTCCAAGATGCCGTCGACGCCACCAACTGGATACGAGACCACTTTGCTCGGTCAAACCGATTAATCGTTGCCGGTTCTAGCGCTGGTGGTTACCTTGCGCTCGCCACAGTGGCTCATCCTCAATCACCGCCGGTTACGGCTGTACTTCCGATATACGGCATGCTTGATCCTGCGGGCCCACGATACGTCAAGCCGGGACAGCCATTAACTACACCGGTTGATAACCTCGAGTCTGTCGTGGAACAGATATATGCTGTCAGAGCAAAGTCGATTAAAATTGACGGTTATGCGTTCCCGCAGGATATAGCAACAGATAAAAGATATACTTGGATAAAAGCACTGCATGAGGCAGCTCTGTATCCAGATATATTAACAGATGTGCGAGGTTTAGCACAGCAGATCAACGAGCATGGTATTGACGCCATCCCCGAAAAGTTCCGACAGCTATTTCCTGCTTCGTTTGGGCTTCACCGGGAATTTCCTCCTACAGTATTACTACACGGAGACGCAGACGTCGCCGTTGACGTGGAGTTAAGCCGTGGTGTAGCAAAGGCTCTTGAGGACTTGGGAGTCAAAGTCTTGCTGGAGATTGTTAAAGGTCAAGGCCATGGCTTCGACGTCAGGGATATCCCGCCAGATATCGATATTCTTAATGATTCTACAGGAGACCTTCGTAGTAGCCTGTCTAGGGTCTTCAAGTTTCTAGAGCAAGCTGTGGGCTGATTCTAACTAGGGACCTACCTAATGTGGCATTGCCACTCGGGGAGAACTACGTCCTCGCGTGTTACGATTAGTGATAGCCTTTAAATATAACGAAAATCAAGTCAAATATTGATTATAATAATGGAGGTATGTTATGATTAGAGAGAGTCCCCTTCCGGAATGGAGTTCCCAGTTCAATTATATAAGTGTAACTTTATAAAGTCCCTAATCTAGAAGTTACATACCGAAAGAAAAATAATAACAGATTAATACTAGTTTATTTGAACTGCTCGAAGTGTTGCCGTTCCTCATCCCCTTTAGCCAGATAATTCACTGTCCATTGCCAAACATCGTCTTGTCTAACCTCATCATAGCTCTCCTTGCTACTCTTGATAGCCTTTTTACCCTCGAAGTACTTACCACTTTCGCCTTCTAGATCCGAGCCAACCGCGAGACGCATTAGCGAAGTCGCAGATTCATTCGGATGATGGATATTCGGGACGAAGATAACCCTAAGAAGTGGAATGACTCTTGGAAGGACATGCATCCAAAGGAACCGTAGAAATCCACCGGCTTCACGCGCTAGCCCGGAGCCTGGCATCAGACCTGGGTCAAAGGCATTAACTGTGATGTCTCGCTCTGGAACACGCTGTTTTAGACGGCGGTCGAGCGCGTACGTCCACAGTATGTTCGCGAGCTTGCTTTCGACGTACCGCTGACGACCAGGGTTATTAGCTGAGGCAGAGGTGGGGTGTGCCATCTCCTCGGCACTTATATAGTTCGGCTTGGGCATACCACCCGTATTTTGGTCTGGGTCGTGAGTCCCGCTAGAAACGACAACCACCCGGGCCTTGTGAGCGAGGTAAGGACACAGGAGATGGAAGAGTAGAGCGTGGCCAACGTGGTTGACGCCGAAAGTTGATTCGAGGCCGTCAACGGTTTTGACTAATGACCCAGGATGCTGCAGAGCCGCGTTGAAAACTAGGGCTTGTATAGGGGGGTAGTTCTTCGACGCCCAATCTTCAGCAAAAGTGCGTACACTCTGTAGGCTTGAGAGATCCAGCGGGATGTAAACTACGTTTTCTTGGCCGAGCGTTTTATTGATGGTATCTGCGGCATGCTCGCGGTCTGATCGCGATGATACGATGATTAGGTATTCGGGATGTGCCTTGGCAATCTGTAGCGCGGTGTAGTAGCCTAGATTCACCGTCCCGCCGGTGATGATAATTGATCTTTCGTAAGCCATCTTCTGTGTAGAGTTGCCGGATGTTGGATGTCTAAATTAAATCAATGCCTGAAATTCGCGAAATGCTTCTAAGCTGTACTATTGATATCGTACGTAAATGTGTATTGAAATCTAGGTTTTACTTCGTGATGAACACATCGCAAAGTAAATAGGGCAAACACCCAGCTATATGTACTACCTGTCTTGTTACTAGATCTACGTTTAGGTCTCTTTGAAGAGAATTGGCCTTTAGGATTAAAGGCTTTTAATCCATGCATCGTTACTTTTCGTATTGCTGTTGGAAGCTATCTCCGTGAAGTAGTGGTAAAAATGAAGTTTATGAAGTTCTCTTTCCTGCGGAGTTTAGGTAATGTCGGAGATCCCAATTCCTTAGCCCTGGTTTTGATGGCTTTCTTGGCAAAATGATTGAGCAGCTGAGTCTGCGGCGGGCGCCGAGGAGACCGAGACACGGAGCCCATGCAATCCAACGTCACAATTAATCAATGATTAGGTCTATGTATTTCTATGGTAGTCTATTGCCTATTAAAAAGCCACATGATGAATTCTATCGTAATTTGTAATCCTATTAGGTAGTGCCTCTTACAAGTCTTTGAATTCCATCTGTCCAAGATAAGGGGTCGAGAAATGCATTTAGCAAATGTTATGTATTAAAGGTGATAGTTATGAGGAAAATAGGAGAGGTAGTACGGAGGTACACTACACTACACTGCACTGCACTGCATTTATCTAAGATCTCGATGACGTCGAATTGATATTTTGCTTGTCTAAATATTAACATTACAGAGCCCTATGTGTTGATAGATATCAACATGTATCTAAGGTATTTACTACAAATCTCACTCTACGTACCTATTTTCACACATTATCGATCATAGTTCATATCATATAACACTATCATCATGATCCAAAAGTTAACTCCCACACCTTTAACCTCACTTCGTGTCTCTCGTCACTTTATTCCAGCGCACGGACTTATCCCCAACACTAGCATCCAAAACAAACCGCTATTACACTATCATGAGGCTTTTCCTCCCTCAACACTTACCGCATCTGCCATAGAGTCACATCTCACATCAGTCGGTGTTGTGGAGCCTCAGTGGCGTTTTACAATGTATTCTACCACTCACTTCCACTCCACCACACACGAACTGTTGTGCGTTAGTAACGGAAAGGCGAAGCTCTGCTTCGGAGGCGAAGACAACTCCGACAAGGTGGAGAAAGAGGTTGAGAAGGGCGATGTATTGGTCGTGCCGGCCGGCGTCGGACATAGGCTATTAGAAGATCTTACAGGTGGATTTGAGATGGTGGGTTCCTACTTGAAGGGCTATAGCTGGGACATGTGTTACGGCAAGAGGGACGAAGAGACCAAGGTACAGGGTATTAAAAATCTGCCATGGTTCGAGAAAGATCCGATCTATGGAGATAAGGGACCCGTGCTTGATATCTAAACGTTAAGAGAAAGCGATATATATTTTCGGTACAACAGTTACTTTCTCAGGTTCCTCTTTGAGAGTCATAGCTATGTTGATATTAGCGTGGTACGAATTGCCTCACCGTAATTCACGGCCTGAGCGACAAAACTCAGCTATTAGACACTCTGATACCGAACCCTCCGACATGAAGGTCAAACGACTAGCGGGCGACGGACAGGGCTGTGCGCATATCTCCATCTCACGGGAATCGGCAGGAGGAGAAGAAACAAGATGGTCCAATCGCAAACTATTGCCTCGATAGCCGCCTACAAATATTGATGTGTGAGGGAATGCAAATGGAGACGTTAAAGATGAGGCGTCGGCATCTGCCTCGACGCAATCGTTGGCATTGATGACCCGTGGGAGATCTTGTGTAGCCTCTGTTACCACGAGCTGATCAAAATGGAGGGTGTCAGAAAGCACGAAACCTGCAGATACCCGTCTGAACTTCCGGATTGTCTGGGTTCTATGGGGACATGGTTACGCCCAGTTACTTCGTCGAGGTAGAAAAAAATACCTGTCATTTGAGTTATCTATGGCGCATCAATATAAGGGTTGTGGCTTAAATAGAACTTACGCCAGTCAAAGCTTGTGGGTGCTCGACCGTTATTAGAAGCTTGACCCATTTGAAGTATTAGAGATTGCTTCATCACTAGGACGACCTCTTCAGCTATATATATCTACTGACTTAGGTAGGTACCCTATATCTAATTTTAAGATTCTTCCAAGATATTTTTCTCAACTACCCGTTCAGTCAGAAGCAGCTGGAGAAAATTACAACCACCGAAAGAATAACCATTCCGACCAACCAATAAGATGTGCAAGCTTATAATTACATACCGTTGCGGCTGTAAGCCATACGAAACTCGAGTTTCTTGCACAAAGTCCAACTGCAAGATAGTCAAGATTACCCAAGAGCCGCCATGTAAGCAGTGCGAAAAAGACAATACGGAACTAGAACTAGCCATAAAAGCGACTTGAGAATACGACTTAGTTCAAGACTTAGCCACGATAGGTCATACTCATAGGAGATCTTAAAAATGTTCAAAAAGACAAGTGAGTTCCTCGTATAGAATAAAGAGTGACTCATTAATACAACTGTTAGAAGGTAACCTTCATACACCACTTCGCCCCTCTACGTTCTGGTTTAGTTCAACGACTAGACAACCGAGGAGGAATCCCACCATGCGACGCGAAATATTTAGCCTAACGCGTTTACCATAAAACTGTTCGCTGAACCCAACGATATCATGCATCGGAAGGATATATAGAGTTGGGGTAGGAACACACAAACTCAGACGGATGATACGATTAGCTCGTAAAGACTTAGAACCGGTAACATTTATTACTTTACCCATTCTATTTACGGTATACGAAAGGCGTCAGCATATCTTGGCAATGACCCTGATAAAGCATCTCGGGTTGAGACTGAATCGTGGGGGTAGATTTGATATGAGTTTATGAGCTGGCAGTTTTTTATTTCCACTTACACCATAACCACAGGCCAACAAGCCAATATTGAAGCAACGGAATGTCGTTATTGGGTATCTGAAGACGAACTTTAGTCGAGATTAATTGATTTTTATCTTCTGATTCGTTGGTATACAATAGCAGTATAGCAACCTGATTGGCCAAGTGTGTGATGTGGAAGTCCACCTCTGTCGGTCCATCACACTGCGACGATCTTGCTCGTCACGTCACATGCGCAACTAGGCCTGTCAGAGTAGTAACCAAGCACATCGACTCGGCACATCTATAATTCAACATATAATTTAGCATATAACATCACTTCTCACCCCTCGCAGTCAACTCACTCTCCTAATATGGCGGTGACTATATTAGCTAAGCCATCGTCATTGACAATACCATGAGTTTACAAGAACTCAGAACTCGAGACAACATTTGAGATTCTCGGTAACATTATCTGGTCAATATGTTTCACTCAATCTTCTTACTGCCAACCCTCTTCGGCGCCCTCGCGGCTGGCATTCCTTTTCCACTAATACAAAGGCAAGATGCCTGCGCCGGCGACAAGTCTACTGCAGGATACTGCAACGTCCTATCATACATAGACAGAACTGGTACCCCATCGACATCAGCGCCGTCCACTTCAGAGTGCCAACAAACCTGCCGGGGCGTGCTAGGGGATGCTGGTGACTGGCGCGTGGACTTCATAGACAAACCGGCGGGCTATCGCGACACCCTATATCTAGGCCCTTGCGAGTTTGGTATCTCTCGGGAAACAGATGGGGACAGCACGGAGTTTGAGTTTGCGATGAATAACCAGGATATTGTTGATGTCATCGACGAGGTCATCAACAGGTATGCCGGCCAACACGATGGAAAGGTACAGGCGGAGGGTACGATGGAGTGTTCGGGTCGTGTGGTTCGCTGGTATGTTGGATAGGTAGATGGTTAAGAGCTGGAGGCCATAGGCAAATGGACGTGATTCGTCCGATAATGCCTTTTTGGCGAGGAGGACCCCTGACAAGTTAATGTCGGCTGGAGGAAGAGGTTATCTTATGAAATATAAAGGAGACATGGCCGCTAGGCCTCAGGCGTTCATAGATTTCATGAGAGCGAATTGAATGGGACGTGGAAGTGTTGCTTAGCACATCGAGTCTTGTCTCAGTCTTACTATCTTCATATTGAGCATCACGACAACAATGTAACCCCCTTACGAATGCCCTAATAAACCTTAGTCATGGCCCTATGGATGTGCTCACGTAGCTAAATAGCCGTACCAAGAAACTAACATTCAAACTCCAGGTCCTCGAAATGCATCACTAACACGACCATTCCCTTGTGAGTCTATGCCTATAATTCTTCGAAATATGATCGACAAACGTTGAGCAGGCGGCTAAGCAAAATGGAATTGGGAAACATAATTGGTTGAACAGATCTGTATATCACGCATGGTGACCGCAAGCTGCAGGGGGGAAGGTCGGGGTAAAAGACAAGGGGGGAACGAATCAGAACTCGTAGTTTGAATTTCTTTAAAAACCTTTAAAATTTACAACAAGCACATGATACTTAACACTTGCCTGACAGTTTTGTTGCCAATACCCTTAACCTCTCAATCCAACTAATGTTGAAAAGGGTACAACATATACTGGCCCAAACAAGTTTAGTTTATAATAAGAATGTTACAATGATAAAAGTAAAGAAAGACTCCTTAAATATCATCAGGCTGAATCAAGTACCTAGTACATCTAGGGATAGGTAATTAAACAACCGGTATACACATTGATATCAGGAAATTCTGGAATTGATTCCCATCGCTAGATATTAGACAGCCGTTAACACAGCCGTGGTAAGCCTCTGTGAGGCTAGGCACTAAGAGGGGGCAACGGCGAAAATGCGCCGTATCAATATCACTATGTCAGTGAGGGTATTGTGTGATTATAGTAGTAGTATAGCTATGACAAGGAGACTAAGATCTAATTATCTTAGGCACCTAGGTATCTAGTGAGTATACAAATACGGTAGCTTAGTTAGCCCCATAGAGCTAGTTAGTAGCCTTGCATTATCCTTAACACTATCCCGCCGGCCATACTTAAGGTAAATAAGGTAAGTGAATGCTGATACTTCGAGATAGTTGTCTTTTGGATGTCGGCAATGTTGTCGTCTGAGGGGCGGACGATCTTAGGGATGGTGATCGTTATTAGAGGGTTTGGTGACTTTGAGCGGGGATTGCTGAACAATGGGACTGAAGCAATCAGATCTTAAAGAATGGTTTTGGTTTACTCATTTCTGGAGGTACTGGTCCAGTGCAATCCAAGAAAAGATGCGAAAGAAACGGAGTAGGTGCTACCAATTGTAATGATCTCTTAGTGGATCCTTATTGTTGTAGTAGTAGTAAGTATTTTAAATGAGTCTGTAAGATGTGGGACATCTGGTTACATAGGGCCATGTATGGGCTACCATCTGGACTGTTGCAGTGGAAAAGGTTGGCATTTGAGGCTCTACTTCTACCACGTTTCGAGGCGTTGCTAGAGACATCAATAAGCTTGCTGCTATCCTCGAGTTTGTCTTCTATATATTGGAAGATGCAATAGACGACGTCGACGAGAAATACTATCGAGAAAGCCACCAAGGCGATTAAGACGAAGACCAGAAAGCGTTAGCTGCAGTCTCGGGGTAGTGGGTTGGTGAGATATCGATGAAGGGCATTGTAATTGAAGAGATAAGATATTACGATCGTCTTCATAGGTGTAAAGAGATAGTCTGGGTGGTGGTATAAAATTTGAAACGAATAAGGTGAAGGGCGATGGAGTGAATGTACATCCCGCAATCTTATAAGTTAGGTTGCTGAGGACGCGTCTGCGAATGACGCAGTTACACTTTATACTGTATAAGTTAAACAGCTTGCAAAGTAGTGATATAACTGGTACCGTAATCTATGCTTATAACCGGGAGAACCTCCGATCGTAACGGAGTGAAGCTACCAATTGAGAGGAATCAGTGTGTTAACGAACTTGATGATTCTGAAAGGAGGAAAAGATCTCTCTCCGTTTTATTTAGTTTCTTTCCTAAATTTTCACAAATATCTTGTGCTTCTTTTTGGGTTTTTGTGGTAGTGATGCCATCTGGCGCACTGGAGTTGCCATAGTCTTTAGTAGAATACCTTCTATCGTTTCGGCATTTCCGTTTTCGTCGACTGTTGATTGGTGGGTACAGATTTCTCAGAAGGGCTCGTGGACTGGGTGATCGAAGCTCGTTTTCGTTTGGTGTTATCGAGTGTCTGGAGAGGATCTGTTATAGCCTACTATGAAGATTCTTGACTTTGGCCTGAAGCTCGTTATTCTTTGCCATGAACTTCCTTGATCGGCCTCGGACATGATAAATTCTGACTGCAGTTGATTCAATAAGTAATTAATGGACCTGTCGTTGAATAGTGTATTTACGGTAAGAGCTTCAAGTAGCTGAAGTGGTGTTTTGAGAATCCTTAAGATTGTAGAACTACCATTGTCTGTGACTATATTTCACCGAGCAGGTAAATATATTCAAGTATGGGACTATCGGCTGCTTTATCCGCTCCATGAACTACTAAGTAGCGGTTAATGTATTGTTATGAAGTGGAGCATGAAGTAAGGAAATAGCTTCGTCGCTCTGTAAGGAACTCTAAGCTAGCTAGGAGAGCCAACGGTTATACATACCTCTAAAAGTATCCTTTTTTCCAGATGTCTCATCTAGAATGCTGACATCTGTTTCGTTTTCTTCTTCGAAAGTACCGTCGTTATTAGAGTATAAGTTAGAGGATAAGTTGGATTTGACTTCGTAGCTGTTGTTGACAAATAGTAGTGGGTAAAGATAGGAACTTTGGATCCTGAAAGGAGTGTTTCAATTCAGCCTTAGTATTAAGGATGCGATCATCCGAGAGCACTAGAGATGTGTAATTTGCGGCCTATTTCAGGTTCCTCTTTAGGTTATGTAAGTTATTAGAATATAAGTAAGAAGATGCATCGTGATCCTAACATGACATATTTTACATATAGGATACGATAGTTTTAGGTGTATGTAGGTGATAAATATTTAAATCCGTGTAATTGTGTGTTGATCAAGCTTAGGTTCGAGCTAGGTTACGAACAGTAGAAGAATGACTTTAATTACATGAAAACAGTTGATTGTGTAATACTTACAGGTACCTTAGGTGGATACACAAATCAGTCATAGAAGGTGCGAATATATATCAGTCAGTTACCAAGTAAATTTTTAAGTTCAAGCTCTGGTACTTTAGGTACCTAACCCTTAAAGGATCGTGCCTTCTATAAACACTTGAATACCTAAGGCACCTTAGGTACCTTAGGTACCTAAGCACCGCGCATTTCTGTAAAAGCTTCCTCCAATTTCATCAGTTTATCATGTTAAGCTTTTTGGACTTGCTATAACTGCTTTTATAACTCTCCAGTAGTTCTTGCAACATCTTCACGGCGAACGTTCCCTGACCAAAACTCTTATCTAGTCAAGATGAAAGAACGCCTTATCGACTCTGAAGGCGAATGGATCGAGGATATCGAAGACTATTGGACCGAAGGAATATGTATTGCGGGCTTAAGTGCATGGTTTAACCCGAACGAAGTGACAAAAGTTTGGAGCATATTGGGCCTGGTATCAGCGAGTGATAAGTCATGTCAAGCTATCAACTAACTCATCAAACTTGCTGCCTGGTATGGATAATGGAACTCCCAGGAAACAAAAGAATACCACCCTTTTAGCAGCAAATATTGGAATGGAAATGTAGGTAATAGGTATCAAGTAATGCCAACAATAAGCCAAGTTTATACCGCTGATATATTAGTTTCTCGAATTGCTAGGGACACCCTACCGAGGTACTAGTTACTATTAATTTTAACTTCTTTAACTCTGTTATAATTTATCTTGAAAAGTTAATTATGACTAATATGTATACGGAAACTTAGTACTACCTTTAAATCCCGATGCAAACGGCATATCCAAGCCATAAAGCCGAGCAATCCGATCCGACACCTGGATTCCATTTGTAAAAGTCATCAACCGAGATTCCGGCACCGTTTGCAATAGCCCAGCATCCATCACCCGCTATCACGGTGTGCCAGACCTTGCACGTGGTGATAGCTCCCGGCTGAGTAGGTGATGGGGGTGCCATACTGGTACCGGTAGTAGTAGACGGTGCTGTTTCTGTCGGGAAAGTGGAAATAGAATGAGGGGTAGAAATAGGGGTGTCAGGCTCAGGCTCTGTATCAGGGTCGGGGTCAGACCCTATCATGGATATATCCTCTTTCTGAATACAGTAGCTTTTCCCTGACTGAAGTACACAATTCTCTGCACTCAAACTCGGGTTCCATACTATTAGCTCAGCGACAGTAACATCACCGGCACTGGCCCAATTCTTACAAGAATTCATATCTGGTATTTTAGCTACGACGTCCGTATCCCATGCATCTTCGTAGTAAAAACAGCCATCTATTGTCCCCAGTGCACGCGGAAGCAAGCTCGGCAATGCCACCGCCGTAGTAGTCAAAGTCAGTGGCGGAGGTCGTGTAAATGTCGTGAGCGGTGTAGTGATGCTATACCCCGGGTACGTTTCGATATTTCCCACGGCCTTAACACAGTAGGCATATCCGAGCCAGAGGTTGGTGCAGTTAGGTGCATCGATCTGCTGGTTTAAGAAATAGAAGTCTGCTAGGGATATACCGAAGGACAATGAAATAATAGCGCAACTATCATCAGGCTGAACAGTGTACCATTTCCCACAAACGAGATTCGATTGGCTTTGTTTATTTGTAGGGAGAGGCGCTGTAGTAGTAACGGCATTCCCGTTTGGGACGACGACGGTTCCTCGGGGAGAGCTTTCAGAAAGCGAGGTCAGCCCATTGACTTTCGGGTAGATATTTAATACTCAGCTATAGTACAGACCTGACACAAAGGAACCGACCCCTCCAAGAATTGAGATTCGCGCATCCAGGGCTGATAATTGGATTCCAGGCTAGCAACTGACCGATGGTGATATTTTCATCTGCTGTGATTAATCCACATGTATCATTAACAGCAAGCTCACGAATCTTGCAAGTTGTAGGTAAACAAATCGTCGTCCCTACAGCTGGCATAGTGTTGCAAGCTAAGTCAATCCCATTCAGGGAAATCAGGGACTCAGTCGAAATATTATTTGCTCCAGCAATCGAATTACAGCTGTCTCCATCCCTAATTATATATGAGGTATTATCAGCGCAGGCCGGCCTCAAGGGAGCAGTTATCGTTGCGTTCAGTCCGTATTGTGTTGGAATCGAGTACATATATTGACTGGCCTGACAGCTTGATGTAGTGGAGGCAAATTCCGAAGCAGCTTCTTCGCTGAACCCAAATGGCGACGCTAGTTGCTTGGCTTGGAGGGCTAACTCACACTCAGAGCAGTTCTGGATGGTGGTATGTTGATCTGTCTGATTCAACCAAGTAGCGACGACCAAGTCGCAGTATTCCCCGGTGTTTCTATTAAATTACCTAGTCAGCCCCAAGCGCCCCTGAGTTCCGTTATATTACGGAACTCGTTTGGGGATCGCGACATCTTACGAATCTTTTAGGCATGATAGTTCTGCAGCGTAAATGAAGCGATCTACTAAGAATGTAGCTGAAGTATAACTGCTTAGCATATGATATTCCTAAGGTTAGATCGTTCCAACTTACCTGGGTAGATAATACCCCCGGGCATTACCACGTCGTTACTCGAAGTGCAAGACGACTTAATCGTCGTCCTGAGACCCCTGAGGTCATCTTGACATGAACTACCGCAAAGTGTTATGAGCTCCACACTACTCAGTATGTTCATGCTCTCTCGATCCCTGAGTATAAACACGGTATTAAGTACTAAGTCAGTCTTATATCTTCAAAGTGCAATCTCGGGTAATGCTGGGAGTGGACATACAAACCAGCATGCTGAGCAAGCCAACTAGGACAGGAAGATACGGTAGTGTTGATTGCGGCGAAACAATTAGAACTAATGTCTAGGAGGTCGTAAGGAAAGACGTGGCCTTGAAGCTGTTGAGCGATTATGGAGTGAATAAGCAGAGATTCTGCTAAAATTTGTAACTTGGATGCCATGGCTTGGGTAGGTTAAGAATAAAGAAGCACGAGAAACCTTGAAGTGAGGTATATACAAGGAGATCAGGAGTAAAGATCTATATATTCTTACTTCCTAATCGGCGGCTTATCTTCATAAATTAGACATCTAGGAACCTTGCACCTAATATGTTAAACGAGAGCTCTATTGCGTTTACGAATCCATGAAACCTAACGATTGAAACCCGCTACGAATATCCAGAGCACAAGGATAGTAAACAAAAAAAAAACGATAAGAATGAACTACCGCGCTCTGAATCATGACTCAAAGCATAAGGTGATGTCTCTAGTTTTGTTTTGTGCAGGTATGACCAGTCCCTATAAAAGCACTTCAGGATGACAATTGATGGTACACAAATAGGGGCTGTGTTGCCTAGCCTAGAAATTATTCGTTATTACACAATTTTATGAGATATTAGTTGCACCTTGTAGTCGTGGACATGTAGCAGTCTCCTCAGACTGGAACTTAGGATCTTGACCTAAGGCCTTTTTCTTTTATTTCTTTTCCGATACTCGAAAGGGTTAAATACGACTGTCCGGCTCCATAATTTCAATCCACGAAGCTAATCTATCTATCATGTGCTTTAAATATCCCCCGGATTAGTGCAAGAATCTTACTATTATTGAGTTTATGATTTATTCTGGTATAACTGACGACATGAAATCTTTTATTGAGTTTCTTATTGTCTACCTTTCCATCACATTCGTCGTAGATGCGCATGTTTTTGGTTCTCCACTTGTAGGGAGACTCCCTGTCCTAAAGAGAAGAGTTTTACTACAAAACGAATCATTGTACATTGCATCCCTAGGTCGACGTGATGATTATAGTTGTGGCTCAGGAAGTTAGTATCCCCCGTATCTAGCTCATCACTAGACTAATAAGCTAACAAGACTACCAGACCCATGCAAGAACGGAGCTTGTTGTGGTGGTGAGCTCCTTATGCCTATAAGAGGCTTCTTACTCTAATTACAGCGTTATAGAAAGTGGCTACTGCGGCTATGGCCCCAAGTATTGTGGAAACGGATGTTCCAGTAATTGTGACGCCCATGCAGAATGCGGTCAATACTCAGAGCCTCCTAACCAGGAATGTCCTCTGAATGCTTGCTGCTCGCAGTTCGGGTTTTGCGGGACAACAAAAGACTTCTGTAATGACAAATGCCAGTCCAATTGTGTCGAACACCCCAAGCCTCCAGGGGTTGGAGGCCCTCGGATGACTTTATCTAAAGGTATCTCCTATTTTATTTTACCCGACGTACGCCCAAGATTTAAAGACGATGTTGTAACGTGATATAGTTATTGGATATTGGGAAGCCTGGAACGATAGATCCACATGTCACCCAGGGAAAGCCACTGATCTTCCGAGTAAGCATTATTGCAGTAGTTAGGCTTCTTAATCAATATGGTTAATTAACACTCTACAGTCGACGCTTTAACCCACGTCAACTACGCCTTTGCCTATCTAGATCCCCAGTCGTTCAAAATCACCACTATGGATGCTGCTACTCCGGTCTCTACTTTCCAAGACTTGGCTGATCTCAAGCTTTTAAACCCAAATCTAGAGATATTCGTGAGCATTGGCGGCTGGACCTTTTCGGACAATGGAACGGCTACGCAGCCTGTTTTTGGAAACATTGCACAGAGCGCTACTAACAGACAGACTTTTGCAAATAATGTTCTTCAGTTCCTCGATTCGTTTGGTTATGACGGGGTGGACATTGATTGGTAAGTGTAGCAATTTGAAATGCCGTATAAATCTGATGATTATTGATCACTCTTCAAGGGAATACCCTGGTGCCCCTGATAGGGGAGGCAGCAAAGATGATGGCGCTAACTACGTACTAATGCTCGAGGCGCTGCGCAAGACCTTTGATGGGTCTGGACGTAAACTTGGAATTACTTTCACAGCTCCTTCATCGTTCTGGTATCTTCGATGGTTCGATCTACCTGGCATGATGAAGCATGCAAATTGGGTCAACCTAGTGAGTTCTATTCGGCTCTGACATTACTAAGTTCTTATCCCTAACTCAACCAAAACCCCCTTGAGTGTGTACGGGCTTACATATAACACTAATAGATGTCTTATGACCTTCATGGCATCTGGGATAATTCCAATCCCATGTGAGTTATCACCTAACACAATATTCTTTAACTTCCCAAGTTATACATGGCTTAATACTCTTATAGCGGCTCTATTGTTCAGGGTCATACAAATCTTACAGATATCAAGCTAGCGGTGGAGCTCTTTTGGCGAGTTAACATTCCCCCGTCTAGGATTTCTTTCGGTTTTGGGTTTTATGGTCGAGGCTTCACTCTAGCAGATCCTAGCTGCAAGACGCCTGGTTGCCCCTTCAGCGGTGGAGCCAATCCCGGGCCATGTACTGGGACAAGCGGATGTAAGACAACTTTGATCCATCGTGTGCTACAAGCCTTATAGTTACATTTTTTGTGAGGATGATTTTCGTTACTAATCTCTGCCTCTGCTCCTTTCCTAATTCTAGACCTTGCGTACTACGAGATCCAAGACATCCTGAAGAACAAAAAACGTGATATCACACCAGTCTACGACAAAGAGGCCGCAGTTAAGTACCTTGCGTGGAACACTAACCAGTGGATCTCGTATGACGACGAGGAAACCTTCAAGGACAAGATCGAATGGGCCGATAGTATTGGCTTCGGTGGTTCGCTCATTTGGGCTTCAGATCTTGGTAAGTTATTCTTCCGATGGTTATGTAGCCCATTTCAAACGTCTCACTACCCCTTACTTACTGTATAACTACGAGCTAATAATTTTAGATGACTACGAACTCACAGCTCACAAGGCCCTCACGGGCAAGAAAGATATCGGCACAGCACTATCTTTGGCACAAACCCAGAAACCATTTGCAGCGGAGATCGACGCAAGCTTTGGTTCAAACTGTTACAAGGAAAAAAATGAATTCAAACAAATGTGCGATGTAGGTTATATTAAAGTGGGAGCTGACAAGGATGGGATTAACTGTAAGGGAATCGTGAGCAATTTCACCCAACTACAAAGTCGGTTACGTTCGCTAACGTTCTATCGTAAATACGTTGCAGTCGGATGATTTATGCGGTAGAATCATCTGCTGTCCGAAGAACTCTGGCATGGTCAATTGCATGTGGAGGGGTTCTGGCGGTGATTGCAATGGACAGTGTCACCCAGGAGAAGTCACTATTACTGGATCAAGCTGGGGCGGCAAGCCCGGTGAATCTAGTCCGACCAAGAGGTGTAGTCGGGGAAGCAAGGTATTTTGTTGTCAGGCAAATGAGTTTGACAGTCTTACCGAGAATTGCCACTGGACTACAAAATGGTAAGGATACCTTACTATTTACTTTAAATATTTCTCCCGCATGTCTTTGCTAATCTCCTGCTGGGTTTATATTTCTAGCGGTGATTCCTGTAAGTCCGATGAAGAGAGTATTGCCTATGCCTACGACCGTTGGGGTCTAGCTACCTACTCCTGCAATGGCTACCATTATTGCTGCAAAAAGGACAACCCTATTCCGTTCAAGGATTGTCACTGGGTTGGCAAAGGAGATTGTGCCGATAATACTTGCGACAAGACCGAGGTGACTCTATGGACCGACGTTAGAGGGGATATCGAGAATGGCTGCGCGTGTATGTCTTTCAGTCGCGTCTACAGTCTATTTCTAATCATGGCCAGGGCATCGCAAGAAATCATTATGCTGTAAACCAAATGAAGATGCGGTCAAAGAGATGACTTGCGATGTTGATCTCTGCTCATATGACCCATCTCTTTGCGACGTCAACTCCGACTACGATAGGGTCGATGGCTACGCTAGACATATATATGTTGACATCTTTGACGGCCAAGAGTACGAGAGCCTCGAAGAACGTAAATACCCTGGCCAGTCACGGAAAATAATCTACAGAATGGGTGACGCTACCGTGAGCTGGATGAGTCGAAGTACGGCTTTGCTACTTTTTACCTTTATCGATTTCTTTATTTTTCTATTTTCTAACTTATGTATATCCGAATCTCTATTCTACAATATCCACAAGGCTGTTTCTTCCCTTTGAATTCAGAATAATGTCTTATTACACACATTCCGCTTAGAGTGTAGGGATCATGAGATTAATCTAATAGCTATAATATAGTCTATCCTGCAACTAGAAAGTTGCTATACAGAGGTGATGGCTCCAATACGATGATGCTTCGCGGAGCTTTTGGGTAAGTTTAAACCTGGTCCCTTAAGAAAAGCTTCGGGAAACCCCATCAAGCTTTGATTCTCGTCGCGTCTCGAGAATTAGGGGTAGTCACTAAAGATCTAGTTTAATACGGAAACCTACTAATATTCTATTCGATAGCATGGCAAGTACAGTTTGTTCTAATATACATATAGCATTTACCAAGCTTGAAGACCTTCCAAAAACAGGCTATCAAACAGAGCACTATCACGAGGTAGGTAACCTTCTAGATATCCCTGTTAATTAGAACTTGTAGAGCTGAACATAATATCTTCCAGATCCAAATGTCCAAGTGGTTGCTTCAAACCGCCTATACCGGCCGTCTTCCCGATGGTAACACCATGAAGGCGGCCACTTTAACCGCCAGCAACATTGCTGCAGGGTGGAACAAGCCCTACGATGTCCCTCTGAATAAGCTAGTTGAGGTTGTCACCGACCAGAAAGATTGGTTCCCCCCGGATTGCCCGTCACAGCGATTTGGTGTCATAAACGGAGACTACGGCTACAGGTACTCCCTTTTATACGTTGCCGCCCAATTGAATGCTATTAAGGGTAGAATATTCCGGAACGTGAATCCATTGAGTGAGGCCAAATTGAAACAATTGCTTGACACAGCTATCGCGGGAGGATCAGATGCCGGTTCGGCCATCAAGACCATTATCGAGGTTTTGCAGATGGTGTGTCTTAGCGTCTATTTTCCGATGCTTATAGTCACAGTTTTAATTCTAGCTTGCTACTTGTTCATTGATGAATACTAACAGATTTCCCAACCTACTAGACTTTTGGTGTCTTCGAATATATAAACGATTCGAGCATTGCGAGCACCATCGATCGCACACGAGCTGATCAGCGACGGGAGATACAGAACATGGAAAACCATATCAGCGAGCTGAGGGGAATAGCAGCTGTATGGGATGAATTCGAGCCTGCGTATTATGCCATGGTCTCGGCTAGAGCCACTAGATTTGTACTGTTTACCACGTCTTACATCACATTACGTCTGGGTCAAACCTATGTAAACAGCGACCTAGCGCGGCTAGCTTGGACTGCTGCTCAACTAAGTTATAAAATTGATCGGTTGGTTGTTCAGACTGGCAGCATTGGTTAGCTCTGGGAAGTAGTTATCATTTGTAATGGAATGGGCTTCCTAATGTCCGATAATGCGGCAACTGCTAGTAGGACGGCTACCCGAAAACTAGAAAACATGAGAAGATAGTGAAAGCAAAATGATCTTTTAAGTACCAATATTATCTTCAACTCTTTCAACGTAGGTGCTACTTATCTCTGAAATAGTCTCTTATTGAAAAGGGGGGGAGAATAGGGGGAGGGGTTCGGGTGCACGGGCCAAATAGAAGGTAGTAGGAATACATCTAGTCCACCGTTGTATAACATGCATGCTCTCTCACATTTGCATACTTTTAAATACAAATATCTTTTTATGTTTCTCTTTTACTCACTTAGAATTCATACTTATCTCTCTAATTTCGGAATTCTTTACGTCGAACAGTGAATGACCCATGCCATGATCCCCCCGCGTACAATCGCTGGCTTGAGGCATGTCACCTTGATGTTATCTAGAGCACGATCATCGCTTTTCCAGGCTGTCAAACCGCGACCACCAGTCGCAATTACTATCACACCTACAGTAAAGAGCAACCTAGTTGCTCCCAAGCCACTTACCATCCAGCACAAATATCAGATTTCTTGTAGCTTAGCACGATTCAACTCTATGTCGGCCATGACTAACGCCGACGCCATACTGGCTGCCATGGCCGAAGACCTTGATAATATAGATGATTCGCTCCGCTTTGAGAATATAAAAGCAGATGCGCCTTGGGGCATGGCCGTGTACCGCGTCTCCTACAGTGATGATGCAGCATGGCAGCGGATGTTAGCATGCATCGAAACGGCCGTAAGAGAAAGTCTTAGGCTACGAAGTCGTGATGACTTGCTCTCTCGCCATAGCCTTGTCATCATGGATGATCCAACCAACTTCAGAGGTCTCAAACCCAACGAAATCCGAGAGAAGTTTACGCAGTGGGCGATGGAGGAGCTAGGGCGCAACTGGACCGGGGGGGTGGATAGCGAGTTACACTGCATATCCGGTACACGGTATAATTACTGTCTCGTGGTAGATGATCTGTGTCTGGAATCACTAGATAAAATGCATGGAGGCGTAGTCAAGCTTCTAAGGAAAGACTTCTTACCGTTGTCTCAAGATGAAGCGAAAGAAATGGGTTTTATTGATGACAACATAGATTCGGCGGTCCCCGCCGCATTTTGGGGAGATGGAGTTACATCCCATGAGGAGGAGGACGTAGGTTGGATGTATATTCCAGTTGTTGACTACGTTGAGCAATACAATATGATGTGTGATGGGGACAATTGGTACGATAGCTACGTACGCCCACCCTTCACTTTTCTAGATAGAGAAATTGAGACTGCAGTCGGGTTCTGGAGAACGACAGCGACAAGCTCCTTTAGTAATAGTTAAGGAGGATGTCTGCGAACAAGTCTCTGTTCATTTAGTTATAATAAATAACTTTTTAGGTACCTGACCAGATCCAGAGTCAGTTATGAGAAATTTTTTAAACAACTAGCCCTGCGATTTAATAGTAGTGATACATGCTCCAAAATACCTTAGAAAATCCTTTCGTCTTCTCCTTTTCTTAAACAATTACTATCTCTATAAATAATTTGGTCTCTTGGATTGTCACTGCTTCGAGAGATTATATAGGGGCAGAAGCAGGGGAGCTTAGGACTTACTTACATGTTTCGGAAGGACTATGGAGGTCCTAATATACCTGAAATGATGTCATACGTCTTCATAGCTCATAGGTACATTATGGGGCTGGGGGGGTCTATTGACATGGTGTCAGCAATTATGATAAGGGGTGGACATAATGTCGGCCATGCGCTTGTCAAATGACTGTTACTACTGTGATTGGCTAGTATATGTAATATAGTCACCCTTGGGGGTGGTCATATCTAAAATATAAGGATGACCAGGTCTGAAATAGCTACCCTACGTACACGATTATACCTTCTTGTAATAGTATTGCTTTCAAAATACTGATATATTAGGAAAGAGTGGCTTTTTAGATATTGTCACCAAGGGTAGTCACGGTCACCTAATCGATATATGTCACGTAAAAGGCTATGTCAGGCCAGGACACGATGTCAGCCCAGGTCATATATTAAAATAAAATAAAATAAAAGAATAGAAAGCCCTGTAATTCAACAGGGCCTTCAGCATATTATAATATATATATATATATATATATCGCATACAGCACAGGCACAGGCACATGTAAAAGTCAATTGAAAAGATTACGTTGAAATATCATCACGAGATTACGGGCTACGCATTTTACCATTACACTACGAGGTTTACGAATACGATTAAAGTCTATTTTATTGCAGTATATATGCATACTATGGGCCCTTATTTAACCTGTATATACCCGGGGCTGACATTGTGTTGAATTCCTGACATTGTATTGATACTGACATCTATTGATACTGACATCGTGGCTTTGCTGACATCGTCAACAGGCCTGGTAATTATGGCGAAATAGACAGTATCTCCGACATGATAAATACCTTGACATACCGTCGATTAGTACTGACTTGTAAGTACCTGTAATGAAATCGGTACAACAAGCCTTGCAGACATTGTATCAACCTGTTGACATGGTCTTGACATAATATCAAGGCCCTGTAATTATGTAACCACACCGACACAGTTGCTGACATAATGTCAGTAGACCCCCCCAGCCCCATAATGTATATACTGCCTTAGTCAACGATGACGAAACTTCTTACTTTTTAGCAATTACGATCAGTCGTCAACGAAGGAGTAATGGTAAGAGCGTATAGATACCCTGGTGGTTTCCCTCATATGCTAGAGGTAACTTCAAAGATTCCCGCCTCCACATCTATTCCTAAGAACTTCATCAAGAATTCGAATTAACGACCTCAAAATCATAGTTGAATACCACCACCATCTTTTAGAGGCAGATTTATTTCGCCGCCATCGCATATAATAATCTTTACCATCAATTATTCTATATTTTCCCTTAAGTTTCCCACTTTCGTTTATACATCATAGCGAAGTAGCCCGCGCAGCCCCGACAGAGAAATCGTTCACGACTTTACAACACCTTCGCCACAAACCAAGAACCAGTCCGAATCTCAAACTCTCACGTAAAATCAATATGCCCCACAGCTTAGTAGAGAGCCTAAGGGGGTTTTTACCATGGAGGTGGACGCTAGAGCAACTTGTGGAACGCTTCTCATGCGTAGCCATCGCGTTATACGGGTATGATCAGGGCATGATGTCCCTAGTCAATACAAACAAATCCTATCTCCGTATCATGAATATACCAAACGACTCCCCCCTCGTCGGGGTTATTGTCGCTGTTTACTACCTTAGATGTGTAGGAGGTGCCATAATAGCGTCGTTCTTTGCCGACAGATACGGCCGAAAACTGTCAATTCGCTTTTCAGTCGGTATAACTATGGTTGGGGGTATCTTAATGGTCACTCCTGGAATATTTTCGTCAGTAATCGACGAAACATGGGGCGGTTGTGCCTTCTGGGTCATGCTAGTCGGGCGGATCGTGCTCGGGATTGGGATTGGCGGCATCGATACGGTAATTCCCGTGTACAGCTCCGAACTTTCTGAGGGCAATGCTCGTGGTACCGCTTGTGAGAACATTTCTTCAGTTACACCCCTTCTGATCGTTTACGTTTATATCCCCAGGAATACCCAATCCATACAGCCCTTTATAGTCCTAAACTTCTTTGCTAATTACTGACGACCGACCTCCATAGTGGCAAAAGAGTTTCGGGCAAACATTGGAGGGCTATTAGTGGCGTTTGCATTGAACCTCTGCTTCTCTCATTGGATAAAGGACGATAGCTGGGCCTAGAGGATGCCTATATTGTTCATGCAGACTTTCCCCATAGCACTTCTGTTGATCATGGACAGACTACCGGAGTCCCCACGCTGGTTAGTAAGTAAAGGGAAGATAGATGATGCTCGGGTGGTACTTTCAAACCTTTATGGGGATGACCAGGCAAACCAAAAGCTTGAAGAACTCCAAGAAGTTCAACAAGAAGAAGTTGAAGAACAAGGAGAAGTTGAAGAACATGGAGAAGGTGAAGAGCAAGGAGAAGTTGAAGAGGCAGCAGGGTGTCTCCTCGATATGCTATGCTGTGGACCTGGTCTGTTTCACCCCAACATGATTACGATAATGGTCCAGTTCAACCAGGCTATGACAGGCGCTGGGGCAATCTCAGTCTATGGTTCGCAAATCTTTCAGCTTCTAGGACTATCTTCATGGGTAGCAGAGTATGCAACCCTCGGCAACTACATCTTTTACTTTTTTACCATGGTTGCCACCACGAGTTCAGTCGACAAATACGGGCGCAGAAAATTAATGTTGGGGGGTAGTTGTGGGTTGACAACTTGCTTCATCATTCTAGGTTTTGTTGCTATGGGCGTCCTCACGGATGACTATTCGTTTAGATTATCCGTGGGAGCTATCACTCTCGTGGGTTTAACAGCTATATTTGGAGCGTGCTGGTTAACGACTGTTTGGTTGATTCCAACTGAGATATATTCGGACAAGGCGCGAGCGCAGGGTGGTGCCATCAGCGTTGTCGTATGGGGGCTTGCCAACTTTATTATCACGATCCTCACACCGATTGGCTTCAACAATTTGAAGTTTTAGTTATTCTTCATATTTGCCGCTACCAACCTTTTAGCAGGACTACTCATTTGGGCATTTTTGCCTGAAACTGGTGGCAGAAGCTTTCAAGATAACCAGCAGTTCTTCGTATTGGCCAAGGAAAGAAAGTCATGGATCGTACACAAAGTCGACAATGGTAGCTTTTTAAGCTTGCCTCCTCCGTAAATCTGCTGGGTTAGTGTGCGAAATTGTTCACGGGTGTGAAGGGCAAGACATTGTCTAGCGAGGGGGACAACTGATGTCTTAATTATTTGTAACTTATTAGAGACAAAGTAACGTCCCGAAATAGTGAGCGATATCAACAGCGAATGACAGTACTGGTTATAACGTTTGCTTTAATATCCTAAAACGCATTGTTCTAGAGCAAACTCGTTAATCTACGTGCTTTTCGGCCTCGGTTTTGAAAATATTCCGGTTAAATGTCGGCCAATTACGAACAGCTGGAGCAAACGTCTGTGCATTATAGGTAAAAATTCCACCTCAAATTTCACCAGCAAGGGTGGTATAGTATAGTGGATAGTACAACACGTTGTGGATGTACAAATATACTGATACCGTGTAGACCTGGGTTCGATTCCCAGTACCGCCAACTTTTTGCATTTTCTCTACCCCCAGAGTCTAATTACTGTCACTTCCACTTCCTTTAGTTTTTTTTTTCTGTCATAGATATCATGACCCTTGACAGATAATTCATTTACAGTAGACTAGGTCTTCAGGGTTTACACTGACATTATTTCAATACCATGGTTCAATATCGAGGGACGCGCGACAACGAAGGGGAGTGGTATCCGACATATGGATTGATACAGGTCGGTAACTCCATATTATTTTGATTTTTATATTACATATTTAATCTATGGCTTTAACATTCGATATCGGATTTAAAATACTTTCACGTAGCTTTGAATGGAAATTATATCATGAATGAATCACAAAGAGGAAATTGGTTGGCATGGAGGTGATATATTCCAAAGTTTCAATCATTAAGCTGCCTTTAAAATATACGAATTTCCGTCACCTAGCCATGCATTATTCCTCGTCAAGGTCTTGTGATGGTCTTGTTTAACCAGTCCACACAGCGGGACCAGGGGTCTTGTATGAAGTTCCACCGCCCTGGTAGATGTCGACCTAGCTTTTGTTAGTTCTCAAGTATATCCAGAAAGATTGAATTGACTGCTTACCATGATACCAGGGTCGGACTGAGCAGCATATGCGGGGATGGAGGCCAGAAGGTTGGCCGGAGGAGTAGCGGTACCGGAACCGGTAACCTTGATCTGCGCACACTCGGGGTAGAACTGAGGAGTGTTGGCTTGGTGGAGAGCGAGCAGCTCGTGGCGGATGAGGTAGTTGCCGGGCTTGAGGGTCTTGGGAATTCGGCTAGAGTACTTGAGGTCCTTGAAAACGACCGCAGTTCCCCAATTGGCGCTGTTCAAGACGTTGCCCCATAGGCCCAACTCGTCAATCTTGAACCACTTCTTGCTCTTGCCGTCGCAGGCGGTGAACTCGCCGTCGCAGCTGTAGAGCCATACCATCACGGGGCCCTGCTCGTGGGTCCACTGCTTCCAAACCGCAGTCACGTTCTCACCGGCTGGGACTTCGGCGGCGAGGGGCGCGGAGGTACCACCGTTGCAAGTCATCTTGGGGTCGGTGACAGTCATGATCGGGTTGTAGTCGGGCCATTGTCTTTGGATGATCTGAGCTCCCGCGACGGGAGAAAATCCTTGGTAACCCTCGTACGTCTTTCCGCCAATTTCGTAACTTGTCACGGCACCGTGGGCGGCGACCAGGGCCGGTGCGACGAGAAGAGGAAGTGAGAAGAGCATCTTGACACCAGAATACGTAAAGCTCGGTGATGCTTGCTATTAGGACGGAGGATGGATAATCGTAGGCCTTGGCAATCAGCGAGACACGGTAGTATTTATGCTGATCGTGCTGGAGAGCAACCAGATTCACCCCAGGCTAGGATAGGGGCAACGCAACATTATATCTCCATGATCTGATTTAGTCTAGACCACCCTGATGCTGGTCCATAACCTCTCCCGGTGGGTGCGGCACTTGCCCATGCTCGGCCGCCGGGGTTGGTGCTATCATTAGAAGCACTCCAACTCGACGGGTCGATATTAACTTGAGCAAATAATTCCCGAGGGCATAAGTATGGGCCACAGATGCATCCGAGCATTTTCGTCTAGCTAGGCGAGTATGAAAGAAACCTAGGACACGGCCTGGCGGACCGATAGTTGAGCTAGGCCACACAATATTCGACGGTTGGCCTATGACTACGGATTTCACAGCGCGTAGAAGACCTTAGACGCTTCTTCGGCCAAATTGAGGCTGTACCCATCGCGCTAGATATGAATTTTCAATCAGGTGGTGGCTCAGGAGGCAACCGATTGGAATGCAAGTGTGACAAATCTAACAGACAACATTTGACTTCCCCATACGTTTAAATATATCGGCATGCCTGAGTCCGGGGAAGGTCGCATCGCGGGACCGAAACGGGAAGTTTTCCTGTGGTTCATATAACTTCCGGCGCACAATGTGATCATAGCTCATATAGAATTAATACGACGACTTTAGGCTATATAGGTTAAATCCGCGATTCCGCCTCCCCCTTGTCGCTGCGAGTATAATTCGACAGAATGCATTGGAAGGCTTTGCTGGTTCGAAAAATGTAGAATCCCCTTAAATAATTATGCCGAAGAAGGGGGAATAGGGTTACTAGCCAGCATATGGCGATTCCAAAAAGACCAAGGCTCATCCCTAAGCATTACTAACTAATAGCGTAGCCGTCCTTTTCGGTGTTATCGTATCAACGTGAGACTCTATCCGGCCGAACAAAGTCCTGCTGAAATACAGGGCACCATTACGAGCACCTAGATGATGAGAGTAGACTCACAGTTAGGGGCGGATCGGGTATCCGTCACCTCCCTACCTTGATCTCCACCATTCGGCGCACTAGTCATACTCGGCGCTAATAAGCCTATTGATCGGTAGCGAGGATATAGTAGCGGGCTTTGGGCGTGTGATATGGGCATCTTCGTGCTTCATCTCGGCCGTGTTGCCGTGTCTATAGCATTGACGGTCGAGTTCGACCGGAAGGCCGGCGTAAGTGGAGTCCACGATCATCAGTGTGACTGTAAGTAGGAGTTTGGATAGCTTCAGTACAGCTTCTACGAAAATTTTAAATTGTTTAAATTCTTCGTAATAGTCAGGTTTAATGGTGCATTGCTAATTATCATAGTTGAATAGTCTGTCTTTCGTATCGTAGGGATAGCTGGTGAGGCGACAATATCAGTAATGTTTACCTAAAGTTTCATGAGTTCCGGAACTCAGGACCTTGTTATCTACCTGACTAAGACATCTTGTCAACGTATATATTGCCGTAACATTACCTATAGGTTATATACTTTAAGTGAAGATACTGTACCTATGAAGCATTTTAATGGCATGCGTTGGTTGAATATTCTTAACGGCTATTCATACGTTGACCTAGGTTAGGTCTCTTCACTTGCGTTATTTATTACATATGGGCTTATATGCTACGTAAAGTCGTAAACCATTAGGCTCTCTCGTCCCATTGATTCTTTAAGAACAATAACCATCTCGTCGTCGAAACCGACCCAATTCCGCCGGCCATCCCACTGGGCAGCTGTGGTATCGATGATAGTAGGATCATCTGTTCCTTCTTTATCATTGGCGGTAGGTCTAGTAGTCGGGCGTACTTCGATACTCTTGCCGTGCGCCCTCCCTTCAAGTTCCCAGACTCTAATCTCATCGCCACGGGAGCTGACACTGACCGCTTTTCCACGTGCCGTTATTTCAGCATCGCTTATGCCGGAGGTGTGTCCCCAAAGCCGAATACCAGGTGATATCGACAGTGAAGTCGCATTTGATGTGCAAAGAAATAGGATTAATGTATTATCTGGAAGGGTTGCGAGAAGATAAGGATGTGTATAACATAAGTTGATAGGTCCGTATATTGCTCCATTATCTTGATGTGGAGATAGTAGGCCTGTATGTCGGGCTTGTGATGTTAGCGTCGATGGGAAATGGGAAGAACTATTCCAGACTGGTGTCGTATATGCTAATCGAGTTGTTATTATGTCCGACATACGTTTTGATCGGGATGTAGGAGGGTGTAAGTGTAAATCCTGCATGCCTAAGGACCACCCTTGAAGCGTCGAAAAGGTGTAAACAATCGAAGCTATGATACTGCCACTTGTCTTCCTAATGGATAATGCTAAAGGGGCTCTCGAAGTATGCGATTTGAGTGATGTGAGTAGGTAGGGTGCTTGGAGTGTCATCGATTTGGGATTTTGCTCTATCCTCCCTGAGTCTTGCCCGGGTTTATTTTCGAAATCTTGTACGTAGCCATTGACCTCTCTAGTAGATTCCAGAGTGCTAGAACAATCCGTCTTATGAGGACCGTCGAACGTGTACATAGATATAAGTACGGATTTGGTTGCTGTTAAAAGGTATGGATAAGAAAAAGCAACTCCGACTAATTCCCCATTGCTGGACTTCTTGTGCCGGTATCTCGGCAGGATCCTCCTTTCTTCCACGTCTAATGCCCAAACTCCAAATCCCCCATCTATAAAACCTACGGCAATTTCTAGAATTTGTTGATGGATCTTTTGATCGTCTATCGCAATACAGCTTGGAGCAGCTCCAGAGTCATCTCCTCTTAGGCTAATCTGCGCTAAGAGTTGCTTCGTCTTCAAGTCCCACGCTCGTAGTCCTGTGTTGGCGTCTGCTGTTATCGCGATACCCTCGGTAACTTTTACAAGGACCTTATGCGATAGACTTGTTTCGGGTAAGGGAGGTTCTTGTCTAAGCTGCAACTCTTCGACGGCGCATTTTCCCTTAGACCAGTTATGGCGCAGCTTATATTGTTTCTTCCAGTCCCTCAAACTGTCGTCTAAATCTCCAACATGTATATCTACCCAGCCTCCTCTTCTTCCATCTGCCCATACTGCTTTGCGGGAGGAGTAATGTAGCTTGCCTTCTCTAGCGGAACCATCCCGGAATCCCGGAATGCGAAGAGCGCGGGGTAGGACGAAATGCGAATAGTATAGACGTTTCCATAGCTGATAGTCGCCGGATAAGTGATAAAAGCGCTGAGATACAGGGGAGGTGTTTAAGAGATCGGAAAGAGGTAAAAAGGTGAGGATGCGTATGAGGAGTTCGTCAGATAACGATGATAATAGATCGAGCTCTGTTGTATGACGAGATCGCTTCGATGCAGCTGCTCTAGACGCGATGTCGGTCTCCAGACGCTTTCGTTTGCAAGTCATTTTTACTACCGTATTGTTCTATTGGTGAGGGTTAAATATCAAAAACCGAATCCTGCTTAAATACGGACCAATACAATACGATAGGTACGAAGTTCGAGAGTTGCGACTTGGATTATTTGTAGAAATCGATAAGGATATTTGGTGATGAATCGCATCGCGTTTCCATTAGGTAGTACTTGGTAACTTAGGTAATGGAAATTATGTAATAAAGGTAGGTACCTAGGTACCTACCTGTTAGGTACTTAATACTAGTAGGTTTGCTGATGTAATGATATATCCACTAAAATGAAGCTATCAGATTCACAGGTAGCTTCTACTTCATCTTTCAACTCTAAGATTATATATAGTTCACAGAGTAATTACATACATCTAGAGTAAAATATCACGTTTATTTATTTATGTAAAGGTTCTCATAACGTATCACCTTCACAGGCTTATAAAATTTCATTAAATATTAGGTATCTAGGATATATAACTCTTTATTGTATGTTTCCTTCTTGCGAACAGATAATACAAATTGAGAATGAGCTGACAAACACCAGCAATTCCAACAAGATTTCATATTGAAATGTAATATTTCATCTAATTGGTGCCGTGATATAAATCATATACGTTCCTATAAATTTGAACTAATGCTAACCAGATTACCAGACCAAGCTTTTATGTAAAACATCCTTCCGGGATCCGCGGATGCCGATGTTAAAGCAGACCGCCTGAGGAAGAACATAATGCCAACTTAAATCCGGAAGCAAGACGTATCTTCGAATCGTCATACAGCATATTGTTCTATGGCCCCCCGCATATGATCATATCAACCTGCAACTAGCCCAAGAGAACTAATTTGTTATAAACGCCACCATGGACGCCGAGGTGTCCGAAGCCGGTGGTCAAGGGTCTCCTGGGCCAAGGCGAGCAGTAAGTGAGAATCCGGATCCCGCCGGCCCCGTTATGCTCAATTTGACTTGTCTTATTGTGATACTATCGTTGATTTTTGACTGAGACCTGATGGCTAAGTAACATTCGCACCATAGTGTGACCAATGCAGACTTAGGAAGGTGAGGATCCTACTCTACTACTGTCCACCTTCCTTATTATCTCTATGATGAAGGTATCAAGCTTATGTATTAACATGTAAACTCGTGTGGGTAGATACGTTGTGACAAGACGTCACCGTGTTCTAATTGTCGAAGTGCCAAGAGGTCGTGTAGTTCCACGGGAGCTGGCCAAAAGCCTAAGGAATCGCGACAACGAGTGTTAATTTCTAGCCAATAGTAAGCAGTATTATTAGTCTTCGTGACATAGCCTTCAATAAAGGAGGGCATGCTTACTAACAGACATTCGTTCTCCCCTTAGCGAGCGAAAGATCGACTTAATCGAAGAGCGGCTCGGTGGTATCGAGTCACTTCTACGGAATCTAAGCCCAATATCGGCATCTACATCATCCTCTGCCGAAAGCTCTACACGACGACAATTCGAAAAGCTAACCCCATTGTCTCTAAGTAGTCGAGATGATACAGCTAGCACAGTGTTTGACCCTGAGGATGCGGGAGACTTTGAGGGCAACTCGTCTCTAGCCGCACATACGGCGTTCGCGAGCGAGTTTCTCGAGCATGCCGTGCAAGGAACTCCGTTAGAGCAACAAGGTGGTAACTCCAAGATCGACGCAGCTTTATCCTCTCTACGGAAGATCGTAAAGATGCAGGAAAACCGGCGTGCTGTGTCGTCCTTTCACGAATTTCGCCTGCCTAGCCAGAAGCAGCATTCTAGGTCCCATTTACGGGATCTACCTTTACCACCAATGGAAATCGTGGCACAAACGCTTCGGGATATGAAACGTACGTGCCTACCTAAGACGCTCTATTAGTTTCCTACATCTCACTCACCCTTACTGTAGATGGCCCATTGCCAATGATGCTTGCTGTCATCTATTGCTTCATAGATGTGGAGCATTTTACCGATCAATGTCGGCGTGTCTACTTTAACACGGAAGACATCACGGACGCCACATTTATCCTGGTGAACTCTGGCCTTGCGTATGTGTTCTTCGAAGTGAAATTGAGTGCGAAAACTCCTGAAGAGAAAGCCGAAGCCGACCGATACTTCACTATGTGCCAAAAGAATTTAGACACAGTGCTGTCTCACATCAATCTCCTTATGCCGGCAACGTTAGAAAATATCGAAGCATTACTCATGGCGGTGAGTCTACTGCTACTTTCTAAGTAGAAGTGAATTCTTAAAAATTTAGTAGATGAATTTCCAAGCTAACGTAGTAGTATTAAAAGTCGAGTTTCTCGATAGACATTTCACGTCCATCTCTAGCATGGCTTCTAGCAGAGCGCGCTGCGCATATGTGCCGGACGCTGGGCCTTCATCAAGTCCACAGTATGAAAGATGACAGCCCACAGAAGAAGGCAGACAAGTCACTACTGTTCTGGTGTACATATATGTTGGATAAAGGGTTGTCGCTACGGCTAGGTCGAGCCTCTATCCTGCAAGACTATGATATTTCGCTACCGCATATTCTTCCTGAGACCAGGGCAGCGACGTATCCCGGAAACGAGGTCATGACGCTGTGGATTAAGCATGCGCAGATACAGGGCCGCATATATGAGCGCCTATACAGCCCCGGCGCTTTGCGGCAGTCCGAGACGTACCGTGCCGAACAAGTCGGCATTCTAACTTCAGAGCAAAAACACCTAATGGCAGAAAGTCTAGCGCTATTCGCCGAATTCAACGCAACCGATGCCGCCGAGAGCCGTATGTTTGCCATAATGTTAAAATCGGACGAAGTTGTATGTAATACAATATATCTTTTATCCCCAAATACTCTTAGGAGCCAGCACTTCTTAACGGAACTATATAAGGAGATCCACCTTAAGACATATTTCTATCGATTAACAATCCTCGAGAAGTTATTACTAATTTAGTATAGTCGTATCTTTCGTCATTAGCCCTTACATACCGTGCCATGCCACCCACAGGTACCCTCTCACGCACCTTTGCGGATGAGTGTATCGAGTCGGCTCGGGCAGCCATGGCATGTCACCAAGAAGCGATGGAGATGATGGATGACCAGTCGTTGAAGATTGTATATATTCACTGGTGAGAACTACTTATTGCCTGCCCACTTACCTAAGTTTCTACTACTAACTAAACATTACCTACAAAAAGGACGATTCTTTATGCGCCATTCATCCCATTCATCGTCATCTTCTGTTTGGTGATCGAAACATCAAGTGCGGAAGATTTACAGCTCCTAGCACACTTTGTACAATCGCTAGAGGCAGCGTGCGACTTATCAGAGTCAATCAGCAAGTTGCACCAACTATGCCAGGTTCTATATAACATCGCCCAGCTATATATTGAAGCTAAGGCGCAGCAGCCCGTTGACCAGGATATGGTACCCGTAGGAAACGAGTTTAACATGTACTTGAGCCAACTGGGCTTCATGCCTATGGAAGACGGTCCAGCCAATTTTGATTTAGCTAGTACTGATGACCAGGCTAGATCCATGGCGCAGACGGCGCAACTCGGGGATTGGTTCTCTGGGGGTAATCATATGCTGGGGCTACTTGAGGAAGATCTTTCAGGAATAAATCCTTCGACCTGGCCGTCATGATTTACCCCTAAATCAAAGCATACAATTACTCAACTTTGGGTAGATGGACGCAATAGCGGCTTATCTACCAGTATATATAGCTGACATACCTTGATATGTGGTTAAGGTATATCTTAGGGCACCAAGTCGAACTACGGAGTAATTCGTGTCTGAATACATCACCCCTCTTTTTTTTTTTAAAAAAAAAAACGTTCTTTTTAGAATAACTCCCATAGCGTCAACACCATATGTCATATATACAGCATTGTAGGAGGGAAAAAACTTGAACTTTGCATTTCCTGCTGAATTTTAGGCTCTCTAAGGTCTGGCTACTTAGTAGCTGATAAACGTCGATATATGTACACGTAATAGGAGCCTTTTCCTTCATTGGTGTGACTATTGTTGTTTACGAACTACTCTTGCCGAGACGCTCAGCCTCCAGTTCCTGCTCTGCTCGTCGGTAGTACTTTGCTGTGTCGACACCGTGCTGACTGTGATTGACGAAGTTAAACCAGGGCAGCACCGCTGTGAAAAGGGCAGAGTATCGCGACTGACGGGCCGCGACGCCCTGCATGTGTGGTGTCAATCTGCTCTCGCCATATAGTGGCTCGCCCGTTTTGACTTTGTCTACCATCTCCCGCATATCTAACTCCACTTCACGGGCGTTCTCTGACATGCCGTAGAACCGTACTGTACGCAGCAGCGCATCATGTCAGTGGGGGATATTCTTTCGGATATAATAATGGGGTATTAGAACGTACGACTCGATCGCTGGTAGAAATATAAGAATCCACCCATCGCTCCAATTACGCCAGCCAAGCGCATGGCTCTCGCAAAACCACCCCGGCCAACATGCGAAGGAGCGAATTTCTCCATCGTCCAGAGCAAACCCGGACCTGCCGCCGCAGCTACAGTGCCGTGCACATAGTCTGATGGTCGGGCATATCCTACCACCCTCTTGAAATGTCTAAAGAATCATCGCACGCATGTTAGCCAGATATTCTACAGCTAGTCGTTGTCTCGGAGCTTCGAAGTCGATACGTACGGGTCATTGTCGATGAGCTAAATTACAATTCGAATTAGCGAGCTATCTATAACCCAATTGGTAACGGTACATACGGGGTAGTCGGACTGGACGATTTTGCTAGGGATATACGTCTGCTGCGGAGGATTCGCCATTCTCGCGGAGTGGAATTGGACTCCCCAAAAGCTTCTGTATAATATCTTCGTATATTCAATGGATGTCAGCGGCAATCATGAGAGCTTCGAAATCGCGAGGTTCTTGGAGATGGATGAGGTAAGCGGGACTTCTTCGGAAGATAATGAAAGGTATACAAGGTACATGTACGTACATCTTCATAATACGCTATGACCACTTATATTTAGATACGTACCTCTTTAGCTCCGTCATCCAAAATTCAATTTAACTTTACCAAAAAGACCCCACGTTAAATCGCGTCTTTTCACTTATGCGACGCGTCTTAAAGCTTAGTTCTAATACTTACAAAGTTACAATTCCAGCATAAGATCAATACTATAAAAATGGCCTCACGAGGAGCACAGAAACCGTCTTCGGCATTAAAAAAGCCGGTAAATGATATAGATAATTACGACGTCGACGATGATCCCTTTGCCGAATCTGGAAACGAAGCTCCCAGCAACGACACCACGCAGTCTAAGAAGCGTAAAGATGCTACTGGGCTAGGAATTGATGAGGCTGTAGCCGTACAGAAGAAAGTCAGAGCCCCAATTGTCAAGCTAGATGAAGGCAGGTTCGTATTACTCACAAGCATCTCCGGGTACTATTAGGAATAATATAGGCTAATCAAATATAGATTGCTATCAGAGAAAGGCATCCCGAGGTTACGAAGAAAAGCTCGAGATTTGAAGTTTAAAGGAAAAGGACACGAGGTACTATATGATATATTCTGATATAGAACCAATAGCAGCTAACAATGGTCTAGTTTTCTGACGCCGCTAGACTTCTCTCCTTTTATCAATTATGGTTTGACGACTTATTTCCTAAAGCCAAGTTTTTAGACGCTGCAGCTATGGCGGAGAAAGCAGGTCATAAGAAATATATGCGGATGAAGCGTATGGAGTGGATCGAGGAAGGGAAACCCAAACCGGCAGGGCTCGACGGAGATGACGATGACCTTTTTGGCGATTCTCATGACCAACCAGAGGAGCGTGCGCCCGCGGTGTTCCCTGCCAGGATTGCTCCCTTATTCCAGGATCGGGGAAGTGAAAGGGCACATACGCCTATACGAGATGATGTGCCTGATGATAACGATGATATATACGGAGCTACACCACAAGCATCGAGGATAACACAACCTGCAAGTAAATCGTTAATTGGAAGTGGGAGTGCTAGCACAAGGCCCGCGAGCGCATCCCTATTCGGAAATGGCGATGAGCCTGACGAAGATGACCTAGACGCACTGATGGCAGAGGAAGAAGCACAACGTACGAAGCCTACTTCTGTTTTTGGCAACGGTGGTGGAAAACCCAGTCAATCTGAAAACGAGCTAGACGAGGATGACTTAGACGCATTGATGGCTGAAGCCGAAACACACCACGAACCCCCAAAGCAAGCTTCTAATCCTACGTCCAGGCCTAGCGTGGACAACAATGAAGAAGATGATCTAGACGCATTAATGGCAGAAGCGGAAAATCAAGAGCAAACGAAACGACATGCGGGTTCAACACCTAAAGAAACAAAGGAGGTAACCCAGAATACGGCAGACGCAGATGAAGAGGAAGCCATGGCAGAGATGGATGGATTGTGGTGAAAAGCCAAAGCTAAACTGGGTAGTTATGATTTGTTGTATAATGATGTATGCAAGGGCGTTTAGGCTGCTACCTTAGGTAATGAACGTTAATACCTGAACGGAAATGAATGGCTTTTGATGTTACTAAAACCTTATGATACTATACCTAAATACTTGGATATGTCATAATTAACAACCTTATGTCCAGGATTCTCATACCTAGTTGGCTGACTCTAAGGTGTAGAGGTGTAGATAGCAATTATTATCGATAACAGTTATCGGGCACCATAATAGCAGCCGGCATCCAACAGCTAGTAAAACGGTTGGTCCACTTAATTACTGCAGTATCCCAGTTTCCCACCAACCCACCAACCCACCAAACATTGAACTTACTAACTTCACACATCGCAAACGTCATTTAATGGTATCGTCCTAACTCTCCCTCGCGACTGTTTGGAGCGTCTGCTTCTCCAATTCTAAGTCGTCGTTTCAAGAAAAATGGCGTCTCCCGACCTGGTGGAAGCTATTGGAAAGCTTCACATCAGCGACGATACGGCCATCGACGATATCCTCTTCCAACAAGGTCCCCGCAAGCGATTCAAACAAGATCCAACTATGTTGAAAGCAGAGCTGGAACAGAAATTCCTAACTCCATCCAACAAATTCTCTTCCGAATGGCTTAACAAATTACAGCAAAGATGGGACAGCCCAGCCGATCTCACCGAGTTATTTCGCATTGCACCCACTCAAACTCGAACAGTTACACGCTTCCAACGTCAAGGTCTCGAGGGCAGGGTGACGGGATATAAGAATGTTACTGTACCTGCAAACAGTGCCACGGCCAAAAACTCGACTTCGCTTATGCGTAAACCCGGCGGTCGTGCTGACTTTGTGCGTGGAGCTGCTGGTTTCTTCCCCTTTGCACCTGGTGGACTTGATAGTGTTGAGGCAACCGCTGCTATGGAAGACCAGATGTTACGTCCTAGCGCTATCGGCACTCAGAATAAGCTAGAACGCGTTATCAAACTAGGTGCTGAGGGCGGCCTTCTCGAAGTAGCCCCTGGTATGGAAAGGGGAATCGATTTTAGCAAAAAGAAATCCAAGGTCGATGAGAAAGAAGCAAAAGCAGTTGAAGCCGAACTTGACCAAGAACCTGAGCAAGGTCCCGAGGCCGAAGATACCAATGGACATGCGGATACCAATGGCATCGAAGAGGAAATTGACGAGGAAGATTCGGAAGATATCGACACTCTACTTCCTGTCGAATTCCCAGCTTTAGAGCCACACGGTAACCTTTCATCAGCTAAAGCAAGAAAAGCTGGCCGAGAATGGGCACATATGGTTGATATTAACCGCGATATTCCCAACTTTAAAGAGCTTGTCCCGGACATGGCCAGAGAATGGCCATTCGAGCTTGACACGTTCCAGAAAGAAGCTATATATCATCTCGAGGGCGGCGATTCTGTATTTGTCGCCGCGCATACATCGGCCGGCAAGACGGTCGTAGCTGAGTATGCCATCGCCTTAGCTGCGAGACATATGACAAAAGCTATCTACACGTCACCCATTAAAGCCCTAAGCAACCAGAAATTTCGCGATTTCCGACAGACCTTTGACGAAGTTGGCATCTTAACAGGAGATGTCCAGATCAATCCCGAGGCAAGTTGTTTAATTATGACTACGGAGATTCTAAGGAGTATGCTGTACAGGGGTGCCGATCTAATTCGAGATGTCGAATTTGTCATTTTTGATGAGGTTCACTATGTGAATGATTTCGAGCGTGGTGTAGTCTGGGAGGAAGTCATCATCATGCTTCCGGAGCATGTTTCGCTTATCCTGCTATCTGCGACTGTTCCTAATACGTACGAATTTGCCTCCTGGGTTGGTAGGACCAAGAAGAAGGATATATACGTCATCTCAACGCCGAAACGACCTGTTCCTTTAGAACATTATCTATGGGCTGGTAAGAATATCTACAAGATTGTTGACCACGAAAAGAAATTCCTCGAGAGAGGGTGGAAGGAAGCGGACCAAGCACTGCGAGGAAAAGATAAAGTTCTCCCAGCGCCAGCTGCTCGCGGCGGTGGCAATCAACGAGGCAACCAAAGAGGAGGTCCCCAACGCGGCGGCCAACAACGTGGCGGCCAGCGTGGTGGTGGTCAGCAAAGAGGCCGGGGAGGTCCCCCAAGAGCTGGCCATGCGCCTGGTCATATGGGCCGTGCCGGGAGACCAGGAGGCTTTTCGTCTGCCAACCAGGACAAGAACCTATGGGTTCACCTTGTTCAATTCCTGAAGAAGTCTACTTTGCTGCCCGCATGTATATTCGTCTTCTCCAAGAGGAGGTGCGAGGAAAATGCCGACGCATTAAGCAACCAGGACTTCACGACTGCCCAGGAGAAGAGTCACATTCACATGATTATTCAGAAGTCGATAGCACGTCTACGACCCGAGGATCGAGTCCTACCTCAGATTATTCGTCTGCGAGAACTCTTAAGTCGAGGTATTGCCGTGCACCATGGCGGTCTATTGCCAATCGTCAAGGAAATTGTTGAGATTCTATTTGCTCAGACCTTAGTCAAGGTGCTCTTTGCGACAGAGACTTTTGCCATGGGTCTGAACCTTCCAACTAGGACTGTAGTTTTTTCCGGTTATCGAAAGCATGATGGTCATTCGTTTCGAAATCTTCTTCCGGGAGAGTACACTCAGATGGCTGGCAGAGCGGGCCGTCGTGGACTTGATCCCGTTGGGTCCGTCATTATTGTGCCTCCTGGAAGTATGGATGAAGCGCCACCTGTAGCCGATCTTCAGAAAATGATACTAGACCCGCCTAGCAAGCTGAGGTCCCAGTTCAGATTGACCTACAATATGATTCTGAACTTGTTGAGAGTGGAGGCGTTGAAGATCGAAGAAATGATTAAGCGCAGCTTCTCCGAGCACGCCACTCAACAACTACTTCCAGAGCATGAGAAAGCTGTTAAGATATCAGAAGCTGATTTAGCCAAAGTTAAAAGAGAAGCGTGTAAAATCTGCGATGAGTCTTTGGAACAATGCCACCAAGCATCGATGAACTACAAGCAACTAACACAGGAACTATATAAAGGCCTACTATCTATCCCAATCGGGAAGAAACTTTTTGCACCATCAAGACTTGTTGTGTGGAATAAGGACGGTGTACGAACCCCGGGTATCCTCTTGTCAAACGGTGTTAGCACGAAAACTTTAGGAGGCCAACCAACCGTGCACGTCTTCGAGATCAAGACTGAGCGCGAGATCCGTAACTCGACCGATCTATTGCCTTTTGTTGATACATTCCGACGGCTATTTTCGCCTCTCCCACGCAACAAAAGATCCATAGCTGGGAAGACCGTCCATGTACCACTTAGTGATATCGAATGTCTAACCGGAAAACTTACTACCGGGATCGTACCAGACTTTTTCGAACAGGGTGAACCACGCCAGAGAGCAAAAGAACGGATGTTAGGTATCTGTAAAACCTGGGAGACCGATATGTGGAACGAAATCAGCTTCGCAAAGATCAAAAGTTTACAGCTGCAAGAGATTATCGAGAAGCGCCGACAGGAAGAAGTAATGATCAAAAATTCCGCTACAACATACTGTCGGAACTTTCTGAAGCACGTAAGTTATTCCATTTTTACCCGCTATAACTGCTTAAGGCTAAACAAAGACATCAGTTCGCCATGTGCCATGATCAGTGGCTTATTAAAGAGACCATTTCGTCCCTCCGTTCAGCTCTCGCAGATCAAAATCTACAGCTGCTTCCCGACTACGAACAGCGGATTCAAGTCCTGAAGGATCTTTCCTTCATCGATGCTGATACTCGCATTCAACTCAAGGGCAAAGTTGCCTGCGAAATCCACTCGGCTGACGAACTCGTCCTCACCGAACTTATTCTTGACAATGTCCTCGCGGATTATGAGCCAGCCGAGATAGCTGCTCTCCTCTCCGCCTTCGTATTCCAGGAGAAGACAGAATCAGTACCTAACCTTACAGGCAGCTTAGAACGCGGCATGAAGACAATCATTGAGATCAGCGAGAAGGTCAATACCGTACAAACGGAACACCAAGTCATACTGAGCGCAGATGATAGCAACGATTTTGTATCGCGTCCTCGCTTCGGTCTTATGGAGGTGGTATACGAGTGGGCACGCGGCATGAGCTTCAAAAATATTACGGACCTAACGGATGTACTTGAAGGTACTATCGTGCGTACCATCACGCGACTAGACGAGACATGTCGCGAGGTCAAAAATGCGGCTAGGATTATCGGTGACCCAGAACTATATCAGAAGATGCAGACCGCACAGGAGATGATCAAGAGGGATATTACTGCCGTTGCTAGCTTGTACATGTAGTTATTTCACTACCTCTCAAGGTAGAAATGAGGAACTTTAGCGTCTAAGTTATTGAAGGTGTCAAAGGACTGGCTCTAATTGGGCATGTTTAGGTTTGTTATCTCATCTATAGAAAGCAACGGGGTATGACCGAGATGATGGCTATGATGATGCTTGTAGGAAATAAAATTTATTATTTGCTCAATACTCTTTTTTTTTTTCAAAGTGGTCTAGCCATAGATAATGAGGGGGGTGTAATGTAAGTCATGTATCGTTACGAGTAGTTAAGGCTGTGGCCGCGCATGGCAAGACTTGCCAATACCATATTTTCGATGAGTTACACCCCTTCCTAATGTTGATAACCCCCATTGACGACATTAGTTATATGTTTAATCCAGGTGTAACTAGGTAATTACGAGATCAGTCTATATGAATTAGAACTCTAAGCTAGCTACAGGAGCCTACAGTCATACATACCTCTTAGGTACTAATAGCTTCCTTTGCTCTAGATATCTCATAGAATGCTGACGTGGATTTCATGATCGTCTTGTATAAATGATAAGAAAAGTAGCGTAAATCTTGCCAGCGTAGCACTACCATAAAAATAAATAAGAGTATTATAAGAATATTTGTTTTCCAAGTATTCATTACCGTATAGTTTTTATTTTTATAGTCCAGATGCGAAATAGCATCAAGTTTACCTAGCAGAAGAATAGCACGTATCGACATGGCAGGTACCTACAGCACTAGTAAATACCTAGGCAACGAGATACACCTGCCCAAGTACCTACCTACGAAGTAAAAGTTATATATCCTAACTGCAAACCAACTTTCAACCGACGCCCCTCGCTTGGGCGACTTGAGGTTAGAGAAAACCCCACTGTGGTGTCTTATGCTGAACCGTTCTTCCCAAAGAACGTGACTTAACAGCAGATGCCTAACGAAGCCGGTTTTTCGTAGGTCTTGGGTTCGAATCCCCTGCCCCTATCCGAGGGGATTCGAACCTGGGACTGAGCTTTTTTATTTTATTTTTTGAAAAACGTTCTTTTTTTATGTAACAATTTTTAAACTAGGCTATACGCTTATGATTTGATATTTTTCAATGGGCCACGAACGAAAAACGGAGATCTTCAAATAAATGGTAATAATTTGATTAAAGGCGTGTAAGGTTGAGTTAAGGTTGTTTACTAAATCGAAATTACATAGCAAAATCATTGTCACTCTAGGCTCTATAGGTTTATAGTTTTACTCTAGTTAAGCTATCTTATGTACTGCTGTAGCTTATATTCGAAGCTATGATCCAAGTATAGATTGATGATCCTTAGGCAATGAATAGAGACATATCTACATATATCATTAAAAACACGCACGCTCAGAAAGAGAAGCTCTAGTAGTATTTCCTAACAAAGATGCCCACAAAAAGAGTAAGCAGGCAAGGACCAAAGTTACCTATACAGCTTCTGCGTATTTAAATCTTAACTTAATGCCTGTAAATAAGTTCTATTCCACACCGACAGGCATTGCGGTATCTGCGTATAAAAGGGGAAAAAAGCACAATAACCGGAACGCCAAACCAGACCCTTATGTCGTGATGCTAAGCAAAATCTGCCATCCCGCACGCAATCAGATATCAATACCGCTTCTCTCTTGGCTGCGTGTATGTTCATGTCGCCACCTGCGGAACTCCCTGCTGCTCATCGCCATCCCCGCCATCTCCATTACCGTCCCCATCTCGGCTTCCTCCATCGGCTTTCTAAGCCCGCAAGGCGCGGAGGCGCTGCTGTAGGGCATCCTCTTCCTCGGCGGTCGGTTCTGCAGTCTGGGCGGGCGCGGGTTCAGCCCGGCTAGGTTGTGCAGAGTTAAGTTCGGAGTTGAGCTGGACGCCGGCGTCGTCGGCGAGCTTGCCGAGGAGTTCGTGTACTGCGTCTTCGGAGACTTGCTGTGATGTCGTCTGCGAGATGGCGTCTTGGTAGATGCCGTTGTTGACGGCGTATTCCTCGTTCTGCTGCTTGAATTGCTCGAGCGTCATTAGGGTCTGTGATTTCGGGATAATGTTAGTACTTTTGTGATTTATTTCCGCGGAGAAAGAGATAATAGGAAGAGGAAGAAACGTACGCGCTCAGGGTTCATATTGCGTTGAGCAGCAGTCATGGTGCGCGAGGACTGGCCCATCATGTTCGTCATGCGGTTCATAGCGTTATTGGCTTGGATCTGGGCGACGCTAAGTTCGGCCATGTCGGCCATCTGGTCCATCTGCTGGGCGAGGGCCTGTTTAGAAAGCAGCATCTTGGCCTTCTGATAGGCCTTAGCTGTATCGCCCTTCTTCAGCAGGTCCTGGATTTGCTTCTTGAGTAACGGGTCCTGCTTCGCTGCTTTTTGCGCTTCGCGACGGGCTTGTTTCGCTTGGAACTATACGATGAGATTATATGTTAGTTTCGGATATGTGATATTGGGGGGATAGAGCGGGGAGGTCGTACGCGAGCCTGGAATTCGACTTGCATGTCGCGGGCGAGTTGTCGGTTGGACATGTTGACTGAGGATTGAAGATCGATGGCAATGGAGAGGGTCGTTGATTTGATTAGATTGACGTAGTTAGCTAATCGTCAATCTAGATATTGAAATATCTGGGGAGGCTAGGACAAGTCGTCGAGATGGTTCGTGGTGATTAGGATGATGGAGTTGCGATTCACGGTATGGCGCGGCGTTTCCTGGTGGTGGGGGCAAATGGAAGTCAGCGAATGACGCACTTCGATAGATTTCGCAGTAGCGATAAGGTACCTAACAGGAACTAAATTTTCAAGCCCCAAACTCCAGAGTTCTCAGCCACAGGGTTTATCGATAAATATGTCATATGTGCCTCTCCCTGATTCACCAAAGCAAGCTCACGTAAATCATATAATGCTTCACAAACAATATACATGTGACTATTGATCTTCAATTACTTAGACTATGATCATTGATTGATGGATCCACTTGTGATAAGCAAGCGAGATTTCAAAGACCTCTGAGACTATTGCTTCAAATTATAAATCACTCAAGGGAGCCCGGTTTCTACGAAACAAACTACATTGATAAAATGTAACTAGATGAACTACTCTTTCGGTATGGGAGGGATATTATTATTGTCTCCTTATAACCATGCTCCCTTCATAAAACCGTGACATGATATGTTATATCTTTCATCTGTTTCTATCCAGTAATGCACAAGTACGCAGTCGTCCTCGTAATAAGTAGTTGATAATAAAATGATCAATATTCGTAAGTCGGATTATCAAGATTGACTATTTGCGCGTAGTTACACTTAAATAAGGTAGGCTACCTTCAACCGTTACCACTATGTAACCGAAATCATCCAATCCTTCGATGCGATTGGACCATCGTAAAGTTTCAAATAAGAACTAGTATATCGGTCAGTCTATCGTCAGCGTAAAACATGACGTGAGGCGTAAACCAATATTGGAACGTATAGCAACGAGATAGGTAAGTCTTCGCATTATGATTTTCCTTACACATCATTATATAAATCATTTTTCTAGATCATCATAAGGATGGAATCATACGTATTAGCGGCAAAACTAATACGATACGATAGAAGGTATCATAGGTAATTAGCGGACTGTATTGCGTAATCAAGGAGGGCCTCGTGTTCAAATACGGACTCGTTTTGAGTCCCGCGTGTTGAGTCCGACCCCCTATCGGAAGGCGGTAGGGGGAAAAGGGGGGCGGACGGACAATATCCTGATTGGTGCTTGAGACGAATGATTCAAAAGGGGGGGGGCCAGAACATCTGGGTCTGCCCACAATTTCCTGAAACAGGCGTCGTGTAAGACTCGCCGTCAACCTTGATTTTGAATCTAGTGGTTTGACCTTCGAACGACTTGTGCTTATAGTGTACGCTATGTGAGCTAATAATCGTGTCTTAGAGGTCATAGTAAAATACTATGTACATATATGTTTTAAGTATAGCCAATAAGATAATGATTAAGCGTATGTATAGTAAAAAAACATTTGATTCAGCTTTTGGAGTATGTTAATACCTACCTAAGGTATGTACATACCTCCTCATAGGAGAGATGTATGTAAGTACCGCTAGGTGTTCAACCATCTCACAATTGTTCTGTTAGATGGGGAGTTCGATCTTGAATAGGAATTCCCATATAATCAATTCCCACCCGATTTAGATGTTGTACATAATGTAGAGCGATGTTGCGCCTCCGTCCCGATCTGCTGGTTTATTAAATCGGGTTTGCGGGGAAGATTGCGAATATGAAATCCATATTTGGGTGGCCTGCGATCCACACTGCGCTCCATCAGAAAACGGGGATTCAAATAATATCCGTGCGGGCTGGCGGGCTGGCGGGCGGAACTTCGGGCGCGCAATTTGAAGCGGAAGGTGTCTGGAACTTATGGAATCGAAAAGCTACTGGCAGAAGGTTTCTTTACTACATGCAAATATCGTGTTTCATTATCGGTCGTTTATCTTCTATTCGCATCTCCGATAAACTTCTACATGCTACGTAGTACCTCGTACTGAGCTGGTAATTTTAGATTGAAACTAACATCGCACGATAATACTAAAAATTGAAGCACTCTGATGCGGGTGAGCGGCTGCAAAGGGGGCTGAGTATGATAAGGCGTAAGGATTCGCCAATCCTTCATCACAATGCTGAAGCCATCATATCAGCCCTAACAAACGAATGTAACTACCATAGTAGTGTAAATATATTGAAAGCAGCGAGGTGACAGAATCAACCTCTACAAGGACTCTTATACAGATTAGACATAATAACATTATACGATTTATCGACTTATGTACGATCAACGCTCTTTTAAATATAGCAATTATAACTCCTTACGTGAGTAGCTTACACCATGCATGTATTGCCTAGTAGAAACTAGACAGCCGGCGAGACCTTTGTTTCTCGGCGGTTTACTACAAAACAGGCAAGACGTTAGGGAGCAGGTAAACGATAAGCGATAAGCTATTAGCCTCCCTAGGTATTTTAGTAAACATCGTAGAAAGGGGCAATCTTACTGAGTGTGTCTTTGTGTAAGCAAGTAACCCATATATGATCAATTTGGTCTTGTACTATAACAAGCTAAACGGAGATTTGAAAGTAGTCGTTGGTGATTCTTAGGTAGAGTAATCCTAACTTAAGGCAAGAGGGTATATTTTTGTACTAACTACGACTCTCCAACGACCAATCTTAGTTATATGTTATACGAAAGGATCATGGGATTTTAGATCTTAGACTAAATAGAAGCATTCACATCTAACCCGTATAACAACATAAATTTAGTAAGTCTTAATAGGTATCGATTGGAACTAATCTTCATGTTAGTCAAGTCTCAGAAAATATTAGGTCAAGGAGCAAGGGTTCCCGTTGGTGATAGCCTCAAGAATAACTACGGGTTTTCACCCGGCTTTATTAGCATATTGCATGTGCCGCATTATCTTTCATGAATGTCCAGAATGCCACATGGTAAGGGATTGCCGTTTTCTCAGCAAAACATCCCATTGGTTAAACTAAAGACTTGTAGTCGTAGACCTTGGTTCTTCCCCGGATCATTTGCTGTGATGCTAGGTTGTGCGGACGGCTTCGGTAGTCATTCCGCCGCGGTTCGCCGGCCATTTTGGTTCGGCAGCAATACAGGCTAATACCCCAGATGTCGATTGATTGTAAATAGATTAGCCTTCCAAATTCTCCTTCTCGGAGGCCGTTTTGGGTTTGCCTTAATCATAGCAAGCCGATTAAGTTAAGCATTTGCTCTAGTTTGTGGTGGATTTACTCAAATCACTTTAAATGTCATTAGGTGAATCTGAATACCTGCATGTACTTTACCAGGTACCTAAGGTATGGATTTCAGGGAAGCTTTCCAGCGCGATCGTAGGCCTTTTTCCCGTCAAATTCTCAATCGATCTAATTGTGATGATGTAGATTCTATGTCATATTTCGACGTCATGAATAACATAACCCAACAATTCTTCTTTTGTGAGAGTTAGGGTTCTGAGCGACAGCAAACTGCAAGTCAGCGGCGGGTTGACATGAATTGGGGCCAACACGTCCGCCCAGACCGCCCAGGTGGGTTGCTAATAATAACCACCCTAAGCCATGGAGCCTTTCCAAATAGGCTTCGATTGGTGGAGATGGCGTTGAAAAGCCAAAGGCTGAGAGGATCAACCTTTGAATTTCGTCAGGGGGATTCGACTACTGCAATGTAGAATGACGAGATAGGATAGTTTGACAACACAATATTCTCCATTTCTGATGCATTTCGGTACTTTAGGTGGATATTCTATTCTGCTTAGAATACTTAGAGAAGATAGACTGATGCTGTAAGAGGCAAACACATCCGGTAGGTTTCTTTAACGATTTAGGGATATAAATCGATTAATTGAATGTGAGAAGCTGGACAAATTCGAAAAGGGATGTAACACGAGACTCCGGGCTATCAATACTACATACTAATACCGCGCCGGGCCGGATGATAGACCTAAATTATTAGATGGAACTGAAGGGAAAATGGAAGTTCAGTTCGATAGTGTGGAAGGGCACAGGCACGAAAGGGCCGGCGGTACTTGGCAGTAAGAAGTTCTGATTCGTCTCGGTGGCTTGGTACCACAGATCCACTTGCCTTGTTCAGATCTATTAACCCCTGGCATTCCCTCTTGCCCCCGAAATCATAATCCCTGTCGCACAGAACCAGACAAGGTGCACACACACAGCACAACACAGAAACTAGCGCAGGGGGGTGGTACGTAGCCTTCCATTGCCCCACTGATGGCTGACACATCCGAGAATTAGCAGGGGGCAGTTTCTGCCTCAGGCACTCGACCCACCTCCTTACTAACAGGACACGTTGAACATAAAGAGAGACGCTTGTCTCCTCAACCTGTTCAGTCACTACTCAATACCAAACCAAGCACAATCATTACCCAACAATCCACCAATCATAATATAATTAACTTCGAGGCCAGTGGCCACCGTGTCCTTATTGCTTTCTTACCGCTACTGCCTATTATCATTCACCTGACTTAGTAGCCTAGCCTGAGTCATTCACGTACCCTTGTACCCTATCTAGCTAGACAATGCGCTGGCAGAGGTGAACTTGCTGTTATTTGTATTGAGGAATTAGGACGGCACCTCTCTACTTTCAGCTTTAATCCATTATTATTATCTTCTGCGGCTTACAGCCTTATCCTTAAAAATTCCGGACCAAGCTACTATAGAAATTAGCTTGTAATCCAGTTTACACAATCAGAAGAAATCAAGTCCTCCTATCAACAGCCAAACCAAATCAATATGGCTACCTGGGAAAGTCAACAAACGACTACGTCGACTCCTCAAGTCAAGTTTGAGACCTCTCCTGCAGAGTCTCTCATGTCAGTACCTGGCGATGCGTATCCCTCTCTATTCGCTACGCCTTCTACACTAAACCCCTTGGAGAGCGTCATGACTCCTCAATCATATATGGAAGACGGTTTTGCGGACGAAGGCACAATACAATCCACCCCGTCTCCGGCTCCTGAGAGTTCCGAAAAGAAGCCGGTTAAGAAGCGGAAGTCGTGGGGCCAAGTCCTCCCGGAGCCTAAGACAAACCTACCTCCGAGGTATGATTACTCACTTATAACCGGATAAGTAAGAAACATGTTTCGCTAACATACAATAGGAAACGGGCAAAGACCGAAGATGAGAAAGAACAACGACGAGTCGAGCGAGTTCTCAGGAATCGCCGCGCTGCCCAGTCTTCTCGGGAACGTAAGCGTCAAGAGGTGGAGGCCTTGGAACAGAGGAATCACCAGCTAGAAGAGCTTCTACGTAACCAACAGAAGACGAATGAAATGTTGATGGATGAATTAAACAAACTACGACGAGGCTCTGGTGTTAGCCGTAGCTCGCCCCCTTCAGATGGCTTTCAGCCTTCTCCCCTAACTTTATCTCAGCCGTTATTTGGCTCATCTCAGGATGGCACGGCACAAGACAAGTCTGGCATGATCAATGACTTTATCCTCATGCCTGAGCAGGACGGCACTGTCGATCCTGCCTCTCTATCCCCCGAATTAACCCCCATCTCTGATGACACCTTCCCCGAAACGTCGACGACCGAAGAGGTCGCGACGGTCCCCGCTTCTGCAACTACTTCCGACGAGACACAACATCCAGCAGCGGTGTTGTGCGGCCAGCAGTGTCCGTCGGTAGAAGTTCCGCAGTCGTGGAAGGCCTCGCGACAACCGTCGCCTCCAGTGCTGTCACTCTTACTACAGCTTCAAACGATACTGATGGCCTCTTCGGTGATGCTTTCAGCCTTTCGACACCCTTTGACGTTGATTCGTGGAGCGCTCAAGGCCAATTTAGTCCTTCATCCGACCCCCTCGATTTTGAGTACAATAATCTGGCTAGTGACTCGACCCCCCAATTTCCGGATTTCGACTTCGACCAGTTCCTCAGCACCGACGATGTCAGCGGCGCAGCTCCAGGCGCGACCGCGGGAAGTGACTCGGTTGCCCAAGAACACCCGGACCCAGCCTTCAGCCTCTTCGACTCTGAGAATCAGATCCCTTCAGAAGCTCTTAACCAGCAGCCCCATCTTGGCGCGTCCGCTCAAGGATGCGACGATGGGGTTATTGCGGTTGGTGTCTGAGAAGGGACGCGATGACCGAGTCGAGGAGCTGGCAGCTGGATCCCCGGGTATCAAGGGCGATCAGAGCCGTGGACCGCAGACGTGGCCAGACGGCACCAGCTTACCGTCGCGAGAGGTATTGCTCACACTACTGTGGGCAATCACTGTCGAAGAACGGAAATTATTAGTATCAGAGGAGGCGACTATAGCCTCCTCGCCAGACTCTCGACTCGGATTATCAAGCATCCCTGGAGAACAGACACCAACACAAAATCTTGTATTATCGGTGACTACCACATCAAAACGGCAAAGAGAAATGACGGAACTAGGTGGCGGAAAGCGGATTAGGCTTTCTCCGTAGGAGTTCCGGATTAAAATGGACTTTGGGTACATAGGCGGGCGTCAATGGAGCGGATGTATGATGGCGTGGTTTGCCATTGAAGCTGGACTTGTATCATCATAATGTTATGAATTGAGAGTTTTCATACTTTCACATATTATTCCTTTGATTTTTTTATAGTGACATATGTACGAATTCGTGAAATGTGACTGAGTTGTTCATGTTTTAAGACACCTGAAGGTTCTGGTATCTGTTCATCAGTCTTGTAATTCAATATTAACAAAGGAGATAACTTCGAGGTTTTTCCCCGATTAATGTATACATGTACCTAGGTAATTTAGTGTACCTTCTAGTAGTACCGCTGAGAAGACAAGAATTTATCCATTGCTCTTATTCGACACTATGAAACCCTTTGGATCGTTTTTTGCATAATAACTAATTGGAATTCTAGTTGAATATCTTCTATTTTCGGATTTGTTTTTAGTATTGTATCCAATCTTTCTCGTTTTCTATCATTACGGAATGACTCAGGAGTGCGTTAGAGTATTTTGATACTGAGCAAGGGGACAATGTTCAACCACAATACCATGGCACTATTTAAGTCGAGTCATATATTTGACATATTAAAATAGCTCTTTCTTGCACATATCTAGTTTCACATCGGTCAGGTTCACGATAATAGATCGGAGTCTAGATTAATAATAAAAGACTACCCACCAAGGGGTGAGAGTCTGTTGGAGTCTATTCATTCTCTTTAGAGAGTAAAAATCAGCACCTTCTAGTTTGGTGCGGCACGGTATATGCATCATGTAGGTCATTCCCAGAATGTTTCCTTGGTTCCATGTCTGTCCGAATCGTGCTGCGAAGATCTATGTCCGGCACAGCCACAGCACACATTCGTTCTATTCCTCCGGCAAAAAGCAAAGTACGACAATGGGTAACATCTATCCGTCTAACCTGCGAAACCTGTTCGGCTTTTGTTTGGTAACTTCTCTCCCTCAACCGTGAGTGAGTATGACGGGACGACTTTACGTGGCGTAGTCCCACTCGATCTTGGCACGGCCGACGGTCAGAGGTGCGAGGGACTTGAAGACGGCAGGCGAGACGTCGATGGAGTTATCGCTGCAGCCGGGGCACTTGTCGACGATGGTGGCGATTGTGGTTGCGTTGCCCATGTGAATCTGGATCTTCTTACCACATGCCTGAGAATCCGTGGTGAACTGGACAGGCGATAGCGCAACGATCATGTCCGTTTCCGAGTTTGTCTGGCCACAAGATCCGAGGCCGGGGGTGTAGTAAGTGAGGTCTCCGCTGAAGGCAACAGCGTATTGCACGACGAAAGACAGGACGGCGACGGCCTTGGTGAAGGAAACCATGTTGACTGATGTAGTAATGATAGTAGTTGTTTGGGAATGTCGATATGACGGGAAGATCTCGAAGGTTAAATTGGCCTTTGAGATTCTTATAATTCTAGTCGTAGAGACGTGAAGGAGGAATTCTCGGGTTGAGAAAACACAGTTATATCCACTTTCTTAATTGTTGAAAGAAACGGATGGACGCCGGTGAGGCAAAGAGAGGCTGCAAGTAAAAGAATGACTTGCTAGTTGGAAAAGATTGGTTGTGTAGAGAATGAACGACAACGAATGTGATACCGAGAAAGCAGAAAGATAGCATGACCTCGACGGATTTCGCCCATCTTATAGTCGTTTCGAGGCGCCGAAATGTAATACGCCATTACTACCTCATACTTGTCGGACCACTGACTATAGCCCAGTATGGCGGGTAGATTTGAATCATGTCATCTGTCATCTCACATTAGTTGAAACATTTCGTCTGTCTGCTACCATACGGTTTGGAGGCGGACACTTGCCTCCTAGTGGGCGCGTCTCCATTTTCCGAGTCAGTCGACTTCAGATGGGAGTTAAAATTTTTACTCCGTTTTCCGGACCTAGTAATTTTATACTTACTAGCTGACACGTCCTGGTTTACGAGTCATGATATCAACTGCACCCGAATTCGGAAGTAGATAGGCTACATCATCATTTTGGGGATGATAGAGATAGAGATTCGGTATGTCCGAGTGAATAGCTGAGACGGAGTTTTCTCTACGAGATTTGCATCACTATACCGGGTGGCGCTCGGTAGAACATCTACTCTGCCCTGAACTAGGAGGTAGTTAATATGTCAGTTATATTCTCTTAGTACCCGAAACTCGAAACTATAGTTGTATATTGTGTTATAGAATTACCGTCTTGGTTTAGTTGCCCTCTTTCTTAAAGAAGGTAGTAATTCTTTTTAATCAGAACTGCAAGACATTGTAGTGTATTGATCTTGAAAAGACCTACGAGATTGACGATATGTACTCATTCCAAGTATGATAAAATTGGTAAAAATAAATGTTTATCGTGAAGCAAGAAAACCGTGTCATCAATTATGATACCTTGAGTAAAGTAGCTGGCTTAGTTTATGTTCAAGTATGACTTATATTACGGGAGGTCCCATTATTAGTGTCACTCTCTAGTAACGTAGATCTGGAATATTGGGCAGTTCGTGGGACTGTTGATCTATGTGGCTTTGGTAGCTTGTAGTGATATGTTGTCTTTGAGACTGCATCTCACGAAACATATCTTCATGTGTAGACTCTAGTGTAATGTAGTTATCCCATGCAGTAGTGGCTTTTAACTGACTTTAAATTAATTAAACACCTCTTAAGTTATCTATCTTGATTTAAGAAGCCATATTCTCATTAAGAATCCCGATCTCATCGCTGGATGCTTGCTAGCAATCCCACTCATTGCTTTTACCCTAACAAACACCACCTGGATTCGTATGTAGTCGTAATTGAATGCCTCGGTTCTGCCATGGCCTAAGGAAACACAGCTGTCATAAATAACTCTGAGGCTTACGACTTTTCTTGCTGGTCAGATAGGAAACACGTCTGATACTTTTGCATTAATGTCGCACGGTTTCCAAAACCACCTATAAAGGTAACTCGTGAGTTAAACAGTCCAAGAAACAATTCATGGTAGTTATAGCTATCAAACTTACTTCTTTCCCGTCTCTGTGAAGCAGCAGAACAGAAGTGCGATAGGCCAGCAGATAATTGCGGCTAGCACCGCGACACAGAAGCCAATAGTTGGGCCTGTTTATGTGAGATCAACATTTGTTTACGAATAAGTCGTTTCTCGGTGCATCCGGATTCTCTCCGGGGGCTAGCGCTTAACTTACCGATGATCTTGATACCGCAAAGGCCGACGCCTCGACCGCATTGGATACAGACGACGGGAAAGGGAAGTCCGCAGTCAGCCATATTTTAGGTATCTAAGATTGTGTTGATTGACTCGAGCCTACAAGGCGAAGAAGCGGATGTCTGATAGATAAATAGATGGATTGATGACGATGATGTTGCGAGACGCGACCGGAATGGGGATAGTGAGATCTTGGCTACGGGTTACGGGCAACAGAACGGGATTTAGGTACTTAGTGGAGTACGGAATACACATATATTTATTGATTGACACAGGTTAATCTTAGAGTGGACCTTGGCATGTTTATGACACGGGTATGAATAAGCCAGGAGGGCCAATGAGTTTCTGTTTGTTTTCCCTTTCCGCGTTCCATTCACTCATTATCGTTTAACTCAGTTTCCTCGTGTTGAACGATTGGCATTTTACAGCTCATAGCATGTTGAAGCAATTCATCACATCGATTACACCAAGAAAGATTACACAAATTTATGTTACTATTCATGTATAGAGTAACTATCCAGTTTGCGACTTATTCAAGGAGTGTCCAAGGGGTTTCTGGTTACCTAAGGAGTGAATCTACGCAAGAAACGACTTTCCTGGGCATGCACGAAGTAATACTATGAGTATAATTGGCCCCCTTAAGCCTGGATAGCGGTGCCGTTGATCTCCAAACGGTGGAAACCACCCTTAGAAGCAACGTCCTTCTGCAGCTCTGCCATGCGCTTCTGATCTCCAGTCGGGTCAGAAGACTCGCCATCAAGGGACCAGGACAAGAACGAATTGGTGTAGTTGGGCTGGAAGTTTTGGTCTAGGACGCCAAGACGCTTGCCGTACTTGGTGACCTTCTCCCAGTCTCGGTGGACGTTCTTAAGGTCCCTGGAGAAGTATGCGAATGAGCGCTCGAAGATCTTGCGGTTAAGTTCGGTGCCCATGATGGGCTTGAACTCGACGTATTCGGCGTACGCCTTCTCCGGCTCTGCGATGACAAAGTCGGTCGCGCGCTTGACTGCGCGCATGAATGCGCGGACCTTTTCCGGGTTCTCGGATAGGAACTTCTCGTTCCCGATGTATAGGATAGTGCAGAAGCAGCAACAGCCTAGCTCAGCTAGCTGATCAATGCGCAACATCTGAACGTCGCTCTTGGGACGACCTTGGGCAGCGAGCCACTCTTCGAGCTCGACCATCTGGACGTTCTCTAGACCGATACCGGCGTCGATCTCTCCCTTGATGATGGCCTTGGAGACGTTCATACCGCAGCGGACAGCAGTGTAGTCATCTGGGGTCATGCCATAGTGAGAGGTAAGCTCATCAATTTGGATCTGTGAGGCCAGTTAATTCAAGGCTATAGAGTAAAGTGTGTACATCAATTAAGCACCTTTCCAAATTCGCCTACGTAGCCGATTCGCTTTCCCTTGAGAGTCGTGAAGTCAGGGGTAATACCGCTATCCTTAAGGTACACAACACCCGTGAAAGGTTCGTCGAGTAACGACCCGATGGATAGGACTGGGAAGTTACGGGCTTTCGCCTATATAACGATTCTTAGCTTGAATTAACTTAGTCGATTATCCAATGGTGTCTTACGGCAAGAGTGTGGATCATAGCCTTGAAGCCGAGATCGACCTTTCCGGTACCGACGATTTCGGTAACATCCTATACGATATGAGCACTAAATCTACGCATGATACAGCATTTTTAGAGCATACACTCGGGTCGTTGGGCTCGAGAAGAGCAACCTTGATGCCCTCATCTTTAAAATATCCTCTGGCCTGAGCGAGGTAAAGGGGTGCGTGATACGGCGTGGCGTGCCTGCTGGCGTTAGTAAATGCTTATCTACGGTAGATCTCTCCATGCTTGCCAGTTGGTCAAGAACGTGATCTTGTCGGTAGACATGATGGATCAAAAACTGCTCCAGTTAATACTAAGCTGCTCGGGTTAACAAGGGGGAGGGGAAAGCAGCATGTCCTTTCGCTGGAATTATCCAGATCAAGTTTGAACGGTGTAATCTCAGCCCTAATGCCTCTCTCCAGTTAGACTTCCTCCTCAATACATACCTAGGTATGTACCTAGAGGAGAAAGCTATAACTGGATCGAAGAACATCGAGCACCCGCCATGCGTTTGTCCAACGTTACCTTGATACTGAGATAGCTCCATGATGGCAGGTGCTTCCTAAGACCATACCAATGAGATAATCTGTCGGTGATGCGAACTGAGTTTAAGCTTGAGCTCGAGCTTATTAGAAACCGAAGTAAATATCGATGAGAGATTTAGAAATTCGGCACAAGAGTTTAGGGGGGATGAGAAGGTCTTTTAATACTTAATAGGACAAGATGAGGGGTAAATATGCTCAGTAGGTCACCGATAGTGGGTCGTCATGCAGTCTATCATCATTTTGATATAACTGATCGTCGATAAGCTCTCTTCTCGAACGACATTGATTCGTCTAAAATCTACTAAAGAGATAGGTACATGAAAACAACATACGTTAACAGAGAAGATGCTAGATACACGTGCCTAACTGCGTGATATTATATGGCCCGATCCAAAGCGAGACCCTGAGTTTTACTACCTCTTATCGGCCGAGACGGGGCTTGCAAAACACTGGGCATCCATCTCTAGTTCCTCACCTGCATCTCCTTTCCATCTAAAAATCGTCGTCCCAAAGTGTTCCCAGCCTAGTCGATGGTACATTCGTATGGCATCCGGGACATTGGCCAAGGCAAACATGACTAACCTCTGGCCTCGGCGCTGCGCTTCGTCAAGGGCAGTCTGCATCAACTTATTCGCTATTCCGCCGCCTCGGGCCTCGGGATGTACGAATAATCTTCCCAGTACTGCGATGGGTTGTTCTTTTTGAGGATGTAACTGCCACCACATTGCTACTGCCACATCGGATGGACTGGCCTTGAAGAGGGAAATGTGACCCGTGATCTCGCCATTCATATTCTCGGCTACCCAGGCCGTATCATCGGTCTGTAGGAATCCTATCGCATCGCCTACTCCGTATACCGGATATCCATTTGTAGCGTAAACAGCCTTGAGAGCTAGAGCGCAGCCGGGTAAGTCTGCCTCTCGACGAAGCCGAATTTTGCTCATATTGGCCTTCGGAGTTGGTGTCTAATAATCCTTCTCTCACAGCTAGCTTCGATTGTGGGTATAAAGTGACTTTTTCTTCTACACTGTTCTGTATAATAATAATAACTGGGTATGTGACTAGGTACTGGCCCCTGACCTTGGTAAATCTTTTTATAGAGGTTCACCGGTATCGGAGTAAATCAACATATCCCTATGTTAATGCCCGCCCCGCGTCACACACTCTCACGATGGGGGATGAATAATACCAACGATAGAACAGTAAGAAGGGCTCAAAACGTGATTTATTTAGAGCTCATGTTACGAAAAAGAAACAGGATGCCACAACGATAAACATAAGGAGTCACCCCCTTAAGTAAATATGGCATTCATTATATGACATTTCTGGACAACTTTACTTGTAGATATTATCCATCTCTCGAACAAATATTCCAAGGTTCTAAGCGAGTTTTCAGGTTTACGTATTGATGTCTGAGTTCTCTTCTCATTTCCTTCACTAAGTTGTATACCTAATTCTTCGGCGACATCTCTTTCTTGCTTCGTCGATCGTTTAGTTTCCCTTTTCATCCAGACCTGCACCATGCGCTTTGCCAAGTATCTTTTGATAAAGTTTGAAAGAGATTTCTCTTCTCGATAAAATTGATCCTGAAACTCTGCTACTAGTTCTTCTAACTCTTCCAAGAGAAGTTCATCTTCGGCGCAAATATAAGGGAAGTCTTCAATATGGGATTCCAGCACGCTCCGATGAGGGAAACCCCGCGTCTTTAGACAATGATCAAGTATTTTGTCGCGGCATGTGTGCCTGATTCCTAGGATTTTAAACGCAAGTAGTCGTATCGTTATGTTTGCAAAAGAAGACCTCTGCACGCCACCATTTTCAAAATCCTCTATCAGACTTGGTTGAAACAGTATTCCATCTAGATCTGAAAAAACTGTTCGGAGGAAAATGGACAGAGCACTACATCCTTGCTCCTTATCAGTACAACCACATCGGCAAACATGATCTGCTTAGAAGCTACTAATCTTGTTAACAAGGCGTATTACGGTCCCACGAATCTCCTCGTAAAGGGGCCCACACCAAGCTGAGCCAGAGACGTACATAAGGTAATGAGCAACTGTTATTTTAGGGCATGTCTGTAAGAGGGTTACGGTATCGCCCGAGGAATAGATTCAGCCAATCAAAGGTACCGTATTACTGATACTCGCCCCATGTGAAAGAAGCCATTCGCAGTATTCAAGAGGAACATTTTTACGCATGATTGGGGGTATTCCCCTATAAAAAACGTCGGTATCCCAAAATCCTAGCTCAAAGACAATTTCGGCTTCGTAAACCTGGTTTATCCAATGATATATTGAATGCGACGAATGAGAGAGGCGGTAGTCACCTGGATTCAGTTGTAAATCGACGAATGGGGAAGTACCTTTAGCTTCAAGGCTTTGGATGACTTTGGGCGCTGCGCAATCTAAGACTGGAGAGCAGTATAGCCCAACTTGTCTTTGTTCGGCTTCGTCGAGGTTATCTTGGGCCAGGTGCATCAACTTTTCTCGCCACTGTTTTATATGGCTTAAAAAAGTGGATAAAGCTCTATATGAGATATGAAGTCGTGCTGAAATTAAATTTCTTAATTTGTCGATGCTTTCGGTGACGTGACAATCAGATTCTAGTAGGATTTGAATCGATTCGGCGCAGGGGCAATTTTCGCATACTTCCATAAGATTTCCTTGACAAATACCGCCACTTGCAAACATTGCGAGTCCCAAAGGCGTGAGACCATGGCATATAATATTTAGATTAGTTTTTGGCCAAATATTAAGGAGAATCCTTAAGCCCTGTGGCCAAAAAACTGCGGTGTGGACCGCAGATATTCCGTCACAAACTAAAGAATCTAGCGATAGCAATGTTGTCTGGAGAATACGTTCTAGCATAGCTTTATGCCTTCTCATTAGAGCTCTAAAAAGGGGTGATCGAGGCCGAGTATTGTCACTGGTTGTTAGAAATGAAAGGTATGCCGATAAATAAGCTCTCTTTTACTCACCTCCCGCAATACCATCCATCTCGAAGATTGTTGTTCGTATTTCTTTAGAGGCTGATATTTCCCAATTAACTTCATAAATATAATTCTCGGGCTTTTCTTGAATGAATAGTGGTATTAATATTTTGGCCTCTTCCACCCTTAGCAGACCAAATGCTGCGTGCCGGATACAAGTAGATATAGGACTCGACCTAGATAGTTAGTCCTTGATTTTAGATATTTTGCCTGATCTATGCTACTCAAGCAAGGCATACCAAGTTCCTGTAACCCTTGTACCATCGTTAGTGTGATTCCTAGTTCTAGCTGGGTACGACTAGAAAGCCACACTCATGTATCTGTCAGTTACAGGTGCGGGAAACATAGACATAAATTGTTTATTTCTCACGTATAAACCAGATTAACTACATCCCACAGAAGCAATGCGACATACTTTCCCCATTACTCCAACGCCGAGTAAATGATAAGAAACTAGTCTATGCATGTATGCTTCTCCAATCCGTAACCCACGCAAACCCTTGTCAGTCGGCCCGTAGTATAGGTATATAGCAAAGAGGTAGTATTTCCAAAAATACATCTGCTATTAATGACCCCTTTTTATTCGTTTTGTAGTATACAGCATACCATTCTAACTCGCCTAACTTGTGTGAAATTCCTAGGCTTTCGCGTAATTATATGTGGCCGGCTTACTCGGTCCCGTAGATGGACGGCTAAATATTCGCTAAGATCAGATGCGGATACTCGGTCCCCGTTCCCAGATTGTCAGGCGGCGTAAATACGATCGCCTCGACTTATTATAAGGAACTACCGACGCTCTCGAATGATAATCTCCAATTCAACTTTACCAACATTGTTACGGCTTTAAGTTGAGATATTGTCACAATGGCAATCATTGGGGCTAAAGAACATCATGTCGACCCTCGTTTGGCGAACATTGCGAAAGCAGATACTAAAAGATGGTATCAGAAGCCGAATTTAAGAGCACTTTATCTTGTTAGTAATAATCATTAGATGGTTCGAACCTACGCATTATTGTGGTGGCGATTTATAGTTAATGACCGTGAAATACTCACGTTGATGTGGATCGTTATAAATCCTATGTCCATTTCTGACATTGACATACAGATACTGATCCCAGCCGCGATGGGTGTCGAATGGACGTCCGGGTTTGACTCCTCGATGATGAACTCCCTCCAAGCTGTGGAGGCTTGGGTTACATGTATGAGGGTCCCATTGAAGTTCCCTACGTGTCCTGAAACAATTTTAGCTAATAAGCTGGAGACTTCGACAATCCTACAGAGGGTCGACTTGGTCTTTTAAATGCCATGTATTCTCTTGGAGCTTTGATGGCAGTACCTTTCATTCCCACCATCTCCCAGTATCTTGGGCGCCGTTGGTCTATCCTCGCAGGATCGCTAGTCTTGTGCCTAGGTGCTGGGCTCCAGGTATTTTGGTCCTTTTCTTCCTCACCTTGCCTTGATATAAGAGTGAAAGAGTGAAAGAGTGATAATATATTTAACATTATTTTTATAGACGGGGTCTCAGAATAGCGATATGTTTCTCGCATCTCGCTGGGTACTCGGATTTGGTATTCCCCTGGCCATTGTTAACGCTTCCGCGCTTATTGGAGAGCTAGCGTATGAAAAGGAGAGGCCGACTATGACCTCCCTATTTACTTCTTCTTGGCACGTGGGGGCCATTGTCGCGGCTGGTGTCACCTATGGAACTTTTCAAATGACTAGCACTTGGTCTTGGAGGTTACCCTCCATTCTCCAGCTGGTTCCGAGCTTGTGTCAGATATTATCTCTACCATTTTGTCCCGAGAGTCCGCGATATTTGATCTCAGTCGATCGAAGTGACGAAGCATACGCGATTCTTCAGAAGTACCACAGCGAAGGGGACAATGGCGAAGAGTTCGTTCGCCTCGAATTTGCCCAGATCCAAAGTACCATTGCTCAAGAAAGGGAGACAGCTAAGGCATTCGTGTGGGCCGATGTTTTCCGGTACGCGACCACCTGGCGCCTGTCTTACGTATATACTGACTTTATATTGTAGCGATCCTCCGATGAGACGCAGGTTTCTACTTGCTGCAATAGTTGGATTCTTTACCCAATGGAGTGGCAATGGGCTTCTTAGCTTTTACAGGTCTGTGTGCTCGTCCACTCAGTGGTACAAGCTTCCCCTATTTATCGTCCAGTAACACTAATGGTTAAGTAGTAAGTTAAAATAATCCTCGGATCGACAAAGACATACGCTGTCTCTTTCAGGTTCCGTGTCTTGACTTTCCACGTCTATTAGAGGGGTCGTGATAATGCATAGTGTCTTGCTAACGTATCTCAGTGAAGAAAATTCTAAATCTTGTCGGGATCACGGATAATCGCACTGTTCAGAAAGTCATCTTGAGCAACACATGTTGGGGTTTGATAAATGCTGTCCCCGTAGCCATCGTCGCACCACTATTACGCCGCCGCGTCGGGTTCTTGATTTGTACGATTGGCACAGCTGTAGTTTATAGCGTCTGGACAGTGGCTTCGGCACGATTTGCTATCGAAAACACTTCGGCTGCCGCAATAGCAGTTCTAGTGTTCATTTTCGCGTACTCGCCCGTGAGTTACTCTACGCCTCTTATGTTCACTATCACAGCTGACATGCTCGCTAGTTCTACAACCTGGGTTGGAATGCGCTGGCATATACTTACTGTAAGCAGCTGATTACTACTTTTTATTGCACTCACCTATCCGCCTTGTGAGGCAGGCAACCATACTGAATTAGGAGCAATTTTATGTGGTGATTGCTGACTGAAGCCCGTATAGTGGTTGAAATATTTCCGTACCAGCAACGAGCTAAGGGTATCGCGGTCGAGCAGCTAACGGTTAGGTTTGCTGTATTCTTCAACACATACGTGAACCCGGTAGCACTGGATCGAATTGGATGGAAATATTACTTGGTTTATTGTGTATGGATCCTGTTCGAAGTCGCGACCGTATACTTCTTATTCCCAGAGACATATAACAGAACCTTAGAAGAGCTCTCGTTCATCTTCGAAGGCAAAGAGGTCCAGGACAAGGTTCAGAACAACGTTGATAAGCAACTCGAGGCCGAGCATGCCGACAAAAAAGCCGCTGATGGGACAGAAGAAATAGGGGTTTAAGTGGAGAAAAGAGACCTCAGGCATCGAGTTGCGAATAAGAGCCTACGGTCCCTGTATAGCATGAAACCTTTCATGGAATAATATGTTTACCTGTTATCCCACGTCATAGCCGTCGAAGCTGTCGAAGCCGTTCCGCCGCATCCGATGTCGTGGCCGAATCCGAGATCCGACCGACAATATTAAGTCATTGGTATAGCGAATCGGATGAGATCTTACTTTCACATTTTGGCGGGCACAGATATAGATAGGGCGAAGATATTATAAGGCCTTATGAATAAGCGTTTGCTCCGTAAAGTTTATATGCAAGGGCTTGGTGTGCTGCGCCGCACTGTCGTAGCATCTACCCTATCGTGAATATTATTCTTCGTAAATGTAAGCATGGCTTTGCCTAATACCTATATTAATGTGTCACAAATTCCCTGCTAGCGAGCCGAATTTATAATCTAGGGAGAGTAAAGAGGGTGGATGGTTTGACAATGCACTTAGCGGATAAGTAGTATCCGCGGACTTGGCTGAAATCCGACGGAATCGCCTCACGGATCAACGTGGACTAGGTATCAGAGAACATTAATACCTATGTATTATTCCTCCATGCTTGTGTAGCCGGATAGTTGCATGGTTCTGGTCCAAGCGTCAACTCCCTAGACGTATATTAGTCTACGGACCTATGTAAACTGTTGTAGCCCCAGTTGTAAGAAATAGGGTCAAGATTCTCGAGTTTTATTCTCTGTTTTTACTTCCCTGCATATGATTCTGTCAATTATTTCTATTATATCAGGCCTGGCCTTTGATATCTGAGTTCTCAATCATGGCGTCCGCGGGGACTAGGCTCCGGCGTGCTGTCGTATCAGTGCCGTTTCTTTTTATCGCAGCTTTCTGCTTGCATATCATGGATCCGAGTACGATAGTAGCATTTCAACAGCCATTCGCCGACTCTGGAGTAATCGAATGGGATGGCGGGAAGATCCCCATAATAGACAACTTCCATGGGATATATTTCCTTGATAACATATTTCGCGGAGGAATGGCAACCTTCTCGGCTTCGACATTCGGATACGACCCTGTGGCTTGGTGGCAGATTTTCTCTTTCCTTACCGACCTCGGGCCAGTATATGCGATATGGATCCTAGAATCCTACCGTGTCGGTTACGCTTACACGCCTGCCTATTTGTGAGTTGATATGAGACCTAATGAGCGAGAAGTGACTAATAAAGCTTTCTAGCCCGACTGTATTTACAGTTGCTGGGCAATTCCTAGGTATAGGACCAGTAGCCCCGATCTTTTATTTCTTGTCCTTGACTTTTGGTCCCACTGCATCCGATCTGGCCCGAGTACCGGCTCGGGATCGAGGTGTCTGGAACCGTGGTAGTGGGCTTGTGTTTTTGCTTATCTTCCTCTTTCACACCTCCGAAGTCTTTGCTATGTGTCTCGCTCCGGAGCTAACTACACGACACTATTGGACTTGGGCCTGGCAGATGAGCCCTCTCTACATTGGTATTGCCAATGTTCTACTTTCCAGGCTTACCAAACCGCTATTATCTAAGCTTAGCTTCGCATCCCCTAAAAGTCTCCTTGCGGTAGCTGGTACAATATCCACTGGTGTTTGGGGGTACACGCTACTCTCCTCGCCATATTCTCTAGCGACTATCTTCATACCCACATCGGAAGTGCCGTCGGAGTTTATCCCCTTTGTTCAAAAAATATTTCAAGCTGATCATGTATCTTTCTTCACCAGCTCCTTTCTGTGGTTGATATATTCCTTCTTAGATCTTAACAGTGCCGGTATAATAGGAACAAGCTGGCTTTACTGTATCCTACTCCTTCCAGTTTCCATTGGCCTTGTTGGCCCTGCTTCCACATTTACTCTCTTTTGGTATATACGGGAGAGGGCACTAGTATCTAGTTAAAAGTACCTTGCTTATATTGTATACGGACATGAGTTTGGGATAGGTATTTCTTACCTAGACTGAAAGGACTTTTAATGTTCCCGAGTTCTACTGGTACACATATTCCTATTAATGTACATAAAATCACTATGTCAACTTAAATTCTATAGGGGTTAATAGTACAACATGTCAAACTTTTATCTGCTTATCTTCACAACTAAACACAGTCTCTTGACCATTTTCCCTGCTCTGAAACTCGACCCCTGTTCCTAATAGCATACATCCACTCTTTAGCAACTTTATAAACAAAGAGACCACACAAAGAGAAGAATACCATACAGAAGAGCAGTATGACCGTGACACCAAACCAAAGTGCAAACGACGACAGAAATTCCTGGCCCTCTTCCAATAGGCTCTGTCTAGCAGAAACAGACAACTGCAGTCCACTAAGAATTACTGACCCAATACCTATTAGGAATAAGAAGGGACCATAAAATCGAGCGAAATATGTTCCATATTGGTAATTCACTCGCTGAAAATGAGATTTATGTAGGAGTAGTGGCGCATATAGGTTCAATCTTGTCAACCGGAGTTCGCCGTATGCATATCGAGGAGAGACATCGTCATCACAAATACTAGCCAAGTCCGCGGCGAAGTTGCAGAATTGCTCCCACGTCACATCATTCGGCACAAGTTGTAAGCCTGGCTCTTGGGCGATTCGAAAATCAGATTCGTATCTTATAAGATACGTGTACGTTCTTAGATATCCTAGACTCGCCTTACGAATCCAAGCGCGACGTTCGCGAGACTGGTCATTGTGATTGCTGTAGAGGTATTGCCAAAATGCGTGGGATACTAAATAGCGAGGGAGCGGCTTGATAAAAATTCGGTCGTGAATCCACACGAGATGTAATTTCGGATCTTCTGTAACAATAATCGACCGACCCTTGACGATTTGTCTGTGTAGCGGAGAGATATTTCCGCTGTCTTGCTTTGACATCCACCAGAGCCTCTCCGCTACCTGATCTAAGTCTTCCGAGCAAAGTTCCCTGTATAGAAAATCCCAGAGTCTGGGTAGGTCTTGGAGCAGAATTTGGGGATATCCAAGTAAGTGCCGTGTCAAAGAATTGCTCAGTTGGTGTGCAGTTGTGAATGGTGGTGTGGGTAGAACCTCCTCTATTGGTCTGCTCATAGTGGCTTAGGGGCAATTTAAAAAGGGGCTGAATAGCGACCTGTTTCGCTATTCGGGATTGGCTTTGTGGTGTAGCAACTGCCGGCACAGCCTTTCGGTAGCAATTTGCTTTTGATGTTAGAATAAGGATGACATTCTAAATTTTAGGTAGCAAGTGCACCTTATTTATAATATTTTTGGTGTGAGTTTGCCTGGCATGTTGGCTTGTGTCGACTGGTGTTAGGCATAAACTCTGTAAATAAGTTCTCATTGGGGAGAGTAACATTTCTCATTTTCTCGCAAATGCTAAGTGCATATACTTCACATAATCTTTACATCAAGGTCTCATGTACCGGTAGGTATCTACGAGATATTTCTATACTCAAATATGCCTAACTATAACGTACTAGATCATAGGTAGATGTTAGGTAAGTAATTGCCTCATAAGCTATACTTTATATTACACATAGGTGGTCAATATGCACCACACTGACTTCAGCTTGCCCTTAATACAAATTAACACGTCTCTAAACAATATACCGCAAGGCAGCCAAGGAGGCAGGGAGACAGTTTATCTTATTGTTCCAAGGCTTACTTGTCCTGTTTCTGCGTGCTATTAGAGGTAGTCATTAGGCAACAAACCTTCTAGGCGGCCCTAAATTCGATCTTCACTTCCAGTAAGCTACAGTATTATAAATATTGCCTACCTAAGTTATTTCCAGGTATTAAGACAATTCTATCTAGTACCCTAGGATAATCACACTCAAACCCCCAACGTCACGTATCTCATGGGGCCCTCACTTATATTCGCGAATAGACCCATTGAATGGCCTTGGCTATTCTTATGTACCGCCATTATTACATTTTTTACTTCACTTTACTTCTATCTTTATTCGTCCAAGCCAGTACATTCGAAGAACAATGCCAATCTGCTTGATGTTGAAGTTCTAAGTAGACCTGAGCGAACCTTTACTCTACGCATTAGGGCAATTCCTATCGCTAAGTCTTATGAAGCCGTTCAGGGTGACCTACAATATATTCTTACATCTAACCCTGAATTGAGTGAGGGTGTCAAGAACTTACTTATACATTCCGTTATCCGATTTGACAAGGATTCCTCCTGCGCTGTCGTTACTATCCGCGCAACAATTCCCCCTGATAGATTACTCGCTAGACTGAAAAGAGCCAGTAGCAAGCTTCCGTATCGTTATGACTTAGAGTTCTATGGAATTACGCCAATATACGAAAGTGAAAATGGTGCCAAGGTCGATTAAGCATATAGATTCCATTCACCTCTTAAAGCTTTCGCTTAGTTAACCATCCTCCTTCTATATGATAAAATAGAAAAAGTTCGGAGTTACCAAAGATTATGATAACTTCGTATATCAGCAACAGCACTCACTCTAGCGAGACAAGTGCTAAGGATAAATGCAAAGCCATTAGTTATCCCTACAGAGCTAGTCATGCTACCCCATTTATACACTCATTGATCTAGATAGCCAGTTGGAACTTACTCTCTTGGTTATTCAATACCCCCATTCTTAGGCGACCCCTGATACGGCGCGATAATCCATTGATTCTTACCAGTACGTCTCACAGAGGCTCATCACAGCAGCCAACGTAGCTATTCAATATCTCGTACGAATATGAACAATAACAATAAGGTAGAAGTACTCTATCTGGGCAAGAGAGTAGATATGACGCTTCGCAGATAAAAAAGAATAAACCGTTTCTTGAGCGACGAGAAATTTAGTAGAGGGAGTACAAGATTGTTTCATTCTTTCACATGTTTACCTAGGTAGCAACGTGAATAAATATGAATTAGTAAGTAAGTTTCCTCCGAGGTTACTTCATTTTTTTCTTGTGTACGGAAATAGTAGAGATCGCGAGCTATATAGAGCAATTGCTACCAGGTTCGATAAAGCATGACGGTAGAAAATGTGTGAAAGCAAAAAAGCCAGACCTAGGCCATCTCATTTTACGATGTATTATTACTAGAGTGCACTCTTTCGCTCTTATCATACCATAGATATAGCTCATACTTAAGAAGTTTATGTCGGAGAATTTCTAGGTGCTCTAGAGATGTTCTTGTGTAGCCTCATTTAATTTACTAATAATTATATTTCTGGCTTTGCAGTGCTAATCTCAACTATCCTTACAAAAAGATACCGCTATAGGTTATGCTGCCAATGTGAGACATAATCTTGGATATAGAATTTCATATGCGTCTCGCACTCGCGAGTAAGTTATAGCTAAAGTCGAACATACATACTATCTCATCTGTTAAGAAAGGTATTGATGTGACAAGGTGAGACTAGAAGAGGCGTAAACAATCTAGTTGTTCCGCAGGGGGTTCAAACCTAAGCTACACAAATCAACGGCCATCTAATACATACGGAAGGTATCTTTTGTTCAAGATGTCTCATCTTGAGTCTTGACAGCTACATCAATGCCAAAGTAATATAAATAGATATCATAATTACCTCGAGTCCGACCTCTATTATCATTATATTCCCATCATTTCTTATTTATCTCCAAAACAATGTGCAAAACTTTTCCATGTGCCAATCTGGGCAACCCGGCAACCGGTGCTGCCCTTCGTACTCGAAATATAAATCCTACTATAAACCAAAGAATCCACAGGGCTCCAGGGGTCCTCCCTGGGGGCCAAATAAACATCCCTGGATCTGACAGTAGTGAACAAAGCTATTTCCAGGTAGCCAAGTGAGTAATAATACCGACCGCCTTGATAGTGTATGCATAGTTTCTCACAACGTAGTATTTACAGCCGGCAAGTTTTCCCTACATCCAGCAAACAACGCTGGAATATATTTGAAACGCGGTTTGAAAGAGATATCGATCGAGAAGAAGTGAGTGTTAATTCTAGCGATCTAACCATTCTTGACAATAAACTAACCTAGGTACTTAGCAGAATGAGAAAGACTTAGGTAATAAACCAATAGCGTATGCTGCTCATCCAAGTCCTTATCTCAACCACGCAGATTCACGCAATTATGTTCACGGGCCTGCTATAATTCCCGTAAATCCCAGTCTAGGCTTGGGTGTTGACCTTCGGTCACATCTTTCAGAGGCCTACAACCAATTAGCTATGAAAAGCTGTGTTTCCCATGCTGTAGCCGGTGCATTTGAATTTGCGATTAGAAAGGCAGGTCGATCCGATTTTATTCCTTCCAGGCTATTCATTTGGTACTATGCCCGCTTGAATTCAGGATACAGATATTTATTCCATGAAGCCACCAACCTCAATATTGGTACTTCTGTTGAGGACGCTCTTCGTGTTCTGCCATTAGGTGTATGTTCCGAGCATCTTTGGCCCTATATATTTAAAGAGAGTAATGATGGGAGCACCTATAAATTCTCTCCTAGATCCAGGGCAGCAAACGAACCCAGTGAAAATGCAAAACATCTTGCTCGTCAGACTACCGCAACATACGAGGCGATTGAGATGGAACACTCACACCATAAGCTCATAGATTGTCTTGATAGCGGGTTTCCCTTCATTTTCTCCATGAGCACACGCGATTGGCTTTACAAGAAAAACCTTAATGAAGGTAACGGCTATCAAATGCGTATGTATATAATTAAGTCTAAATTTTACCCTTATCTAACGATCAATGTTATTATAGAAGTGCCAAAAGACCCAAAGAGCGATAAAAATGCAAACGACTGGCATGCATTCCTAGCGGTAGGTTACGAACCTCGGAACCACACACAGGATGGATTCTTTATTATTCGGAACTCATGGGGGACTGACTGGGGTGATTATGGCCATTTCTATATGGCCTACCGTCATATGCGGACTTACTGCCGAGGGTTCTGGACTGTTCGCTAGAAAATACACCAAGGAGACGTCTTAATAATGAATTCGATAATGCTAAGAGGCTTCTCACCCCTTAATGCCGTCTCTATTTATTCGAAGTACTCTTGAACAGGTACGGTTTCCACCTAGTTACCTTTTATACGGATTTCTGAACTTATAAAATATCTACCTTTTCTAGTAATTCTCGAAATGAGTTTGAATCGGTGCAGGGAATAGGTTTACTCTTGCCTGATTCCCTCTTAGTTGATGTATTAGGTAGTGTCTAGAGGAAGCGAAACGCGATAGCCAGCGCCGATATTATATACCTAGAGGCATTTATGTCCTTTACATTGAAATTGTCCGGCACGCGACTATTGAACATAGAACGGCTAAAAAGGTATCAAACAAAGCAGGTGAAATTTATTGTCTGGCATACGCAACCTTCTCTCCCTTCCTCGTACAAAGTAAAGTACCTAAAGCTATAAGAAAGACTATTTGAGTCATGTCACTCGGGTACCTTCAATTTTATCTTTCATCGTGTTTGTTAGAATTCTAGACGAGATATTCAGTATAAAGGATCTACCATTATGTACCTCTAAGTAGGTAGTAATCAGTATACATAGTTTAGATATAGAATTCCTTAGAAAAAAAAATTAGTTCAAAAATCATTCGCCTACTTACAAGGTATTGCTAAAGTTCGTTTATGGCCCGCCACTTCATCCCGATATTTCGTGATCAGTCAGCAGGGACATCGTGAAATATTCAATATTATAAAAAAAATAGCGAGTATATCTAATGCTTATTCAGGATTAAAAATCCACCCAGAGTATAACATTTCTACTGGCCGATCTATCCGCAGTAGGGACTAGGGAGCGGAGCCGAGCTAATAGGTCATAATATTACAGGTTACCTCGTATCAATCCGCCTTTAATAGAACAAGTCCAAACTCCATAACTCTCCGCACAAAGGATCGTTGGAGATATCTATACCCTGACTGCTTACAAACCATGTGTGTAAGTCATCTTAGGTACTTGGTATATATGGATAGGTACCTCATATGATTGACGAGGGGGAGGCGTTAGGATATCGTTCGAATGAACCCCACCTCACCATTGGCATTTTATGATTACACTTAACAGACATCTAACATATACTCTTTAAGAATATGGCCACTAACACGTCTAAATCCGACTACGTAACAACACCCGACGGCGTCCGCCTCCGCTACTGGCAAGATGGGCCCCTCTCCGGCCCCAACGTAGTTTTTATTTCGGGCTGGGTCCAGACAGCAGCCCAATTTAAAAAGCAGGTCGAGCACTTCAAGATCAAGTACCGCGTTACTACGTACGACCACCGGGGCCACGGCGAGTCAGATAAGCCTGCCTTCGGGTACCGCATATCGCGGCTTGCCGCGGACCTAGAGGCCCTGCTAACGCAACTCGACCTACGCAACGCCACTCTCGTCGCACACTCGATGGGCTCGTCTGTGACCTGGGCGCACTGGGATCTATTCCCACACGACCGGATTTCCAAGCTCGTCTTCATCGACCAGTCACCCTCCATGACCGTCAACCCAGCATGGACGCCCGAACAGGTCGCCGAAGCAGCTGCCATATTCCAGCCTTCGCAGCGCTTCGACATCGCAAATGCTCTGCGCAGTCCGCAGTGGAAGGAGGCATGGACTGCGCTGTCGCGCAGCTTCTACACGCCGGATGCGGACCCCAAGGATATCGAGTGGGCACTGGCCCAGTCGATGAAGGCGTCGCCGGAAACCGCGGCGGCGCTGATGGAGGACCATGTCGCGATTAATTATCGGGATATTTTCTCCCGGATCACCGTGCCCACATTGACGTTTGGTGCGAAGGGGAGCGTGTTCCCCACAGCGGCGCTGGAGTGGATTGCGAAGCAGACGGGGGGCCGGGTAGAGGTGTTTGAGAAGGAGGAGGGGGGAAGCCATTTTCTGTTCTGGGAGAATCCGGACAAGTTCAACCGGATATTGGAGGAGTTTTTGAGTAGTTGAATAATCATCTGTGTCAGTCATGAGTCGTGGTTGATTTGTGAGTGTGGTTGATCTTTAGCAATATAAAGTGTACTTATATTTCTACTCTATAGGAAATATGAGTATTTGGAAGAACATCTAAGTAGAATTATCAGTTTAAAGGCATGTAAAACTCTCATCATAGCGTGTGTAGGTAGGTACCTAGTCATCTCATACGTAAGGAATAAACACAACTTTTATTATGTACTAGACTAATATTTAGGCTAGTTAAGTCCTAAATATAATATGTATTATTGTTCTCGGTGACGTAGGAGATATGTGTATTAAGAGATGAGACCAAAGGGATGGCCATTAATACAGGAGCCTAGGAGAAGGTGTTAAGAGAGAACAGGGTTGTCAACCTTACTCAGACTCACCTATACGTTCTACTTCCCCTTCTATCTTTCTAATCTCTTCGATCTCTTCAATCTCTTCAGGACGTAAGAATTCTGGGTTTAACTGTCGCATCAATGTCTCCAACCATCCAGCCTGGCTATACTCCTGCCGTACGCGGTATCGATAGGCATTCTCATAAGATAAGTATAGGAGGCGCCGAGAAGCTTCCGGATCGCTGTGATCGTGACGGGCCCGCCATTCTACATAAACCGGGAGCATTTGCCGCTGCGATGATGAGTTGGACACATCTTCTACAGGGGTTCTAGGTATTAAATCGTGTCCATAGATAAATAAATAAGCCGCAAGCGTACCGACTAAAATGGGGACTTGGTATTTATTCCCTGGCGTTAAATACGGCCGAATCGCCAAGTCGGTTCTCTCTATCATGGTCCAAGTATACACTTCCCGCATGAAGGTCAAGATATGATGGTATGGTCGCTTTGGGCGTAGACTTATGAGTTTAGTACTCGGGTTGTCGACCACAGGGGAACATTGGAAGCTATCCGCGGCCTTCTTAAAATCCATACTGCTGATAAACCGGTGCATACGGTCAAACTCGGAAACTTTCGACCAATATTCACCTTCAAATTTAGATACAGCAAGCTGTATCCTTGGAAATTCGACGAACTCGATAATTGCCGCGGGGTCGACTTCCGGTAACCAGGTTGCGAGGCCAATCGCGGCACGCGTGAGTGGTGTGGTCCATTGTATATAACGGTTCCTTTCATCTTCGGAAAACACGACCTTAGTTGTAGTGATGTCTTCGCCTGATCGTAGGATTTCTAGAATGGATGGGTTACCCATTATGAATTATGAATTTTGGAGAGTTATTATTCTAAAACTTAACTTGAAAGAGATATTTAGTTATTACCTATGACTAGAAGTCTAGTTTGATTGTTAAATAAGCAAGACTACTTGCGGGACTAGGGCGTATATATACGTGTGTATATATACGTGTGTATAAGTTAGACAGTAAAGTTAGACAGGAAGTTAATCTACAATACATATCAACACATTGTTAGGTCACACAGTATGTTACAATCAGTTAGAAATTATAAGCATTAGTGACACAATAACTTTCAAATTGCCCAATGATAAAAGAATATCAAAGAAGCTGACAAGGCTCATACAAAAAACACTGTGTTTGGTGTATTGTATTAGGCACTAATGAGTGAAGTATAAACAAGTTCAAAAACAATTCTATTCATACACATACGTTAATTATTTGTCTTAGCAACTATCAAGATTGACCAATCAAGACTCAACGCCCGGAAACTTGATGCCTTGAAAGTAATCCTGGTGCCTAGAAGTACATAGAACATACCTAAGATAGATCTTCTGCAGAAAAGCAACCAATAAGATGTCTGATCGGGAAACGGGATCGTTAACTGACCGATCTTCTAAACTCCGTGACAGGGATATAAAGCTCTCATCCCGCCTAGACTCGGCCGAGCTACCAATAAGAAACAACACGCCATATACGCAATACGTAAGGCGTCTTTCAGCCAGCAATCATGACGCGAACACAAGGAGAAATCACCTTACGCTATAATCGAAAAGCATTGCCTAATAGAGTAAGGCACCTAGGGAGGCGAGAGGTAGGTATTAGAGTCGAGAATCTCACTGTTTATTCTTCGTCTTCTTTCCTTCTCATCATTCCCAATTGCGTGTAGACCACGATTAATTCCGGGTCCAATTCTTGTATCTCAACTGTTTTATACAGGCTTGATGTCGGTAGCCGCCAGATATCAATTATAGTATAAGACATCAATTTATAAGTCCCGAGCTTCCAAACTACCTAGACATTTATATAATTTGGCCATTCCGTAGATCCCGAACTTCCCAATTGCCCGTCTAGGGACTATCCATCGATAAGATGAGATATTCAACTACTCTATTGCCCCTCGCGGCCACAGCCGCCGCCTTCGTGATACCCGATGAAGCCACCTCTCAGCAGCTCGTCTTAGAGCCTGAGCAGCAGGCAGAGAAGCCCGTATCATCATCATGGTGGGACCGCACCCACAACCTCAACGACTTCCTCTCGTCTGCAGAGAGCACTTTCGAGACTGCCCTCGATGCTCTCGAGAAGCAGGCCAGCAAGCTGAGCAGCTCGCTCCCCAAAGTGGAGTTCGAAGTCGGATCCGAGATTACCAATTTCCTCGCCCCGTCCGACTACGCCGTCCCGGGGCACGGACATTGGCATGTCACAAATCTGACAGTGTATCAATCCATTAAGGCGTCGAACTACAGCAAGAAGTTCGCGGCTCTGGTTGATGAACACCCGGATATAGTTAAGAAGCTGAACAGCACTTCGGCTAACATCACCGCCTTCATCCCCACTGATCACGCTTTCGAAAAGATCCCCCACGATGACAAGGATCATAAGCCGCCTAAGGAGTTCCTCGAGAAGTTGATCAAGTACCACGTTGTTCCCGACTTCTACCCCGCTGGTCGCGTGCTCGCTCACCACACCCTACCGACTGCCTTGGAAGAGGAATCGCTCGGTGGCCGCCCTCAGCGACTACGGGTTAGTGTCGGGTTATTCGGCGTCAAGCTGAACTTCTTCAGCAAGATCGTCTACGCAAACTTGGTACGTCCCTCTCCATTCTCTTCCATCCCCTTAAACCCTTCCATCCCCTTAAACCTCTATCCTAAAAATTATACTAACGCTCCTCCCCTTATCTAGCACACATCCAACGGCGTCCTCCACGGCGTTGACAACATCCTCGTCCCGCCACCCCCAGCCAAGACATTAATCTCTCTCTTCCCAACCAAATTCTCCACTCTCGAGCTCGCCGCCGAGAAGACAGGGCTCAAGCGTCACGGCGACTCCCACCACGAGCTGACCGGCCTAACCGTCTTCGCACCCACCAACACGGCCTTCCAGCGTCTCGGCCCCGGCGCCAACGCCTTCCTGTTCAATACCGAGAAGGGCCTGCATTACCTGCGCGCGCTTCTCGCGTACCACATCGTAGCCAACGAGACGCTATACTCGGACGCGTATTACGGACCTAAGGCCGCGGGCTTCGCGCCGAGTCTGGATTTAGCGTATAACGCCGACGCTGACACAGCCGAAGAGGAAGACGGCGCTGAGACGAAGGGCGCTAAGCACTACCATCTTGACCTCCCGACCCTGCTTGATGACGCGCATCTTGCGGTGGATATCTCGCGCTGGTTTGGGTTCATTACTATTAAAGTTAACGGACACGTCGATGTCGCGATCCAAGATGGTCTTGCCCGCAATGGGGTGTTGCAGGTTGTTGATCACATCTTGATTCCGCCGCACAATCACAAGGGTGCCTGGAATGGAGAGGTCGAGGGTGAGATTAGTGTTGAGGAGTTGGTTGAGAGGTTGGAGCCTTTTATTAAGAAGGATATTGGCAAGGGTGAGACTGGAGAGGAGGGTATTGGTGAGTTGTAAGCGTGGGATGAAACCGGGGATCTGGAAAGAATTCAGTGTTCCCCCTGATGAGTATACGAATGGGAAAATGGAAATCATGCTTAGTAGAAACGCCACTCTATGTTATGCACGTTAGAGAATAAAAAGAGGGCTAAAGTAGGGCTTGTTGATGAGTGTGTATGCAGCATTATGCAAACGAGGGTGAAATTTGTTGGATCTAGTTTCTGAACGAGTATCATGTTAGTTTAGGCACCTCCTATGTAGGCTTATGAAGTTTTTTGGTTTGGGTTAGATAGATACCTACGTATAGCAACAGAATTATACTCATCTACAATTATCAAACATCCATCAGCGCCGTCGTCCAGGGCCAGTAATCAACAATCTTCCAAACACAGTAACAACCCTTCCGGGTTTCTCGTCCTCATATTTACCCCTAAACCCCCAAAACCGCATCGACAAACCTGACCCTCCCACGTACATCAACAGCACCCCATCGCTGCTCTCTACTCCTCCATATCCTCCTATTATCACTACCACTACCACTGTCACCATCCAGATCCTTACTCTCACTCTCGTCACCATCCCTATATCCCTCCACCCCCAACTCATCAAGCAAAACCTCCACAACCCAACACCACCGAACCATCCCCGACGTCCCCGCAGCCAACGCCTCCGCATCAGCCCGCGTCCGCGGCACTCGCGTGCAGAGAATATGCAAGTCGAGGAACTGCGCGAACGTAGCGCCGAACGCGGGCTTACTCTGCCGTCTACTACCTCCTGCCCCTGCTCCTATTCCAGGTAGAGGCGCGGGGAGGAAGATAGAACGGAGTGTAGGTTCCAGAGGACGATTCTTCGCTGTTGTTGCTGAAGCGAGGTTCTGTGGGACGTGGGAGGTACCGGTAGAAGTAGATGAGCCTGCGGATGCGGATGTAGATATAGATGTAGAAGTGGCAGTAGTACTGTTAAGAAACATAACAAGCGGTCCATCGGACGATCGGGCTAAATACCGCAGGTGCGAGGATAGTAGTTGCAAGGTGGTGTGTGCGCTGGCCTTGTTGTCTGCGGAGCGGGTGAAGAGGTTTGTGAGGAGGGTTGAGAAATGGGTTATGAGGATTAGGTCTGGGATGTGCGACGGTTTTTCTTGGGTGCTTGTAGGTACTGCGTTTGCGGTAGAGGTTTGTGCGGTTGGAGCAATAGGGGGAGGGGAAGGAGATGGTTTTGGAGGAGAGGATGGTGGCGGCGGTACGGATAGTTGTTGATCTTGTAGAGACGGTGGTGATAAACTTAGCTCTTCTTCGTCTTCGCTGTCTGCTACTTCTACCCGCTTCGTCCTAGGCCGCGGTGATGGAGGAATATCCTCCACTGCCTCAACCTTGCCCTCTCCTTCTGACATACTTGATGGGAATGAACCCAGCGGCTCAGCATGAGCCAGATGCTCCTTGTCTTCAGTAGTAGCCGTAGTAGAAGCTGCCTTTTCTTCCCTTTCCTCTAGAATAGCATCACGCCCAAGAGACGGCGGCGTCTCAAGCTCACTGAGGACCTCCCACAAGCCCTCGACATCAAAAACCCTCGAGATAGAAATCCGCTCGAGACAGCGTCTCACTTCGGCATTGACAACCTCCTGCTTCTGATTCGCCGCCGGGCCCAAAACAGCCTGAACCTGTGCTCTAATAACATCCCTTAGCGCGGGAAGTATCGCCGCCGGCGTCAACGTAGTAACGATAGCCGCCCTCTGCTTATTCGCACCCTCGAAAACCATCATATGCGCCACGGTCTGCAGCCCGACCTATCCCGTACTGACTGTCAATCCAAATTTCCATCTTCGTCGTAGTAGAACCCGGGGACGCGTTTAGTCAAAACTCACCAAAAGCCCGAACTCAATATCCTCAGCACTGACCCCCACAACGGTCCCGCGTTCCAAGCCGCCTAGCAACACCGCATCATCCACTTCGGCACAACCAGTCCGTACTCGTCCGCGACGCCTAAGAGTCTCGCGACGCGCTGACTCAAGCTTATATAGCGTCGCGCCTGAAATGGGCTCTAGTAGCGGGAAATGAGAGCTAGCCTGCGAGGCCGGCGGGCCCTGATCGACATCTTGGTCCATGTTTCCGCATTATTCGAAAGTATACATTTCATGAATTATGTTGTAAGAGAAGTTGAAAATGTAGTAAATTAATTAGTAACTAATGACCTAAAAAATGTGTAAGCTCCATTAAATATAAGATGATATACGAGTTGAACGTTTGTTCACATGAAATTTGTCTCATAGGCTTTCGTAATGAATTATCCAACCAAGGAACACTAATTAATACCGAGTTTCTAATCGCACAATAAAGTCTATAAATATATTATGAAGGTGCTCCGAAGTGGAGATACTTTACAACGAATGTCATAATCCTTAATACAGCATATTTCCGATATCAGCAACATGCACCACCGCATAGCCGAGCCTCGATTTGCTCAAGTCAATCTGCATGGATTTTTACTTAGGGACCGCCGGCAGTGTCTCTCCGTCTTCCATTGCGCCTTTGCCATTCCCACTAGTCATGCTCAGATTACCTAGACTTGCCCACCTCTCCCTTAGGAATTTAAGAGAACTCAAGAAACTACCTATCCTGACACGAAGCCGAGGCCTATAAAGTGAGTGTCCATGCTGTAGCTGACTAGCTCCCAACAGCTTTCCCCACGTCCCGTCTCCCAGACATATTTAACCTTGTATTTTAAGAAGAAAGTGTCGGAAAGCATATTTATCATAAGCTTTGTCCCACTAAATACGTGAACTCCAAGTATAACAGAGCTCCGCTACTGCTCAAAACATCTGGTAGGACAACCTCAACTTGAAGACGCAGCTACCAATGCCGGTTAAGTCATGAAAAATATTCCTTAGCACTATAGTGCACCAATCCTTATGCAGCTCACATCGCCACACCGGGGGCAGGGGGAACATCTCTGCTAGGAACATCTGGTCGCGGTCGTCGCCCTCCTTTCAAGCTCCTGACACGCGACATGAACCCATTGCCCTCTGCTCCATCGTTGGTTCCTCGGCGCTCAAGACTTGGCACAGGCGGCGTCACGGGAGATGTCGGGCTCGAATCCTTACGCTTGACAGAAATGCGCTCCTCTGCCTTACCGTCGAACTCTGCAAAGAACGGGTTCCTTTCGCCAGTGCTACTGCCGGTAGGCATATCGCCCGTCCTAGGAGTGTAGCGGTCACCATCGGCGTTGAATTCACGAGGCTCGCGCGGGGCGCGCTTGATGCTTCGGAAGCGCTGTACCACGGACTTCTTTCTGCCCAGTCCCTGCTCCAAGACCTCCTGCGCCGTCTCGGCTTGGTTGCGCTGGATCGCAGCACGTGCTGCTGGGGTACCTTCTAAGAATGTTGAAGATCCGAGTCCCAGTGTCTCTTCGCCGACGACGAATTCGTTTGCCTGCTTCGGATCGAACAAGGTAGCCTCGCTCTTGCTTCCTCCAGACCTCTCCTTAACCACGTTCCCATACATGTTGGAGACGTCATGAGGCTCTTGGCCCATGAACTGCATATGATCGGGCCTCTTATTTAGGGGACCCGAGCCTCCGATAGAATTGTTGGCAGAATCCTTGGCAAACGCTTGCATAGGCGCACGACGACTGCCCTTACGATTTCGGTGCGGGTTGCATGCATCAAATGGACCATCATGGTGAAATACTAAGTAGGATCAATCAGTACATGAGCCAGAGAAGCTCGACACTGTGAATACTTACGCCCTGTTCCGTAAATGCTCGTAGCATCAAGCTGATCGATGATATCGATTTTTCGGCCTGTCTTTGGTTTATCCTTGCCCTCGCGATGGCGTCGCTCGCGCTCTTTGCGTCGAAGCTCGCGCGCTTTCTTTTCTTCCTCCGTCAAGGGCTTCTCAATCATCGAAGAATCGCTATTGCGACGAGGGCGACGGTCTGTCTGCTTCCTATGGGGAGAACTAGAGAGGCCCTTCTCCCCTCCGTTTGAGGCGCTATGCATTCGACGAGCTCTTAAAGCTTCCTCTTGCGACCGGGTTGGCCTGTGAGATGAGGAAGGTGGCGCACCACGACCACGGGGAGGATTGTTTTCGCTACGAGATGGACCGGGAGCGCGGGTCGCTGGTCGACTGGGAGCCGGTCGGGTTTTCGCATCCCTACTACCATCGTCAAGCGTCAAGTTATCCTACAAACATCAATGTTAGCAGTCTGCACAGTGGCTGATAGCCTATAAGCTACAATTCGTGCATCGTAAATAGCTTACAAATAGATCCTCGGCGGTGAAAGATTTGTGTTCCTTAGCTGATGACATCTTGGCGGATGAATTCGCAGTTGCAGTACTGGTAGATGGATTATCGAGAAAAGGGTTTCTCGAAGTAGGTCGGGGAGGAGGGTCATCAAATGGAGAACGAGGAGGGGAGACCAAACTGTTAGGCGAGGCCGCACGGTTGCGAAAGGGGTTGTTTGACGAAAGATTAAGCGTCAGACCAGGCGATTGGGTGGACTCGCGATTATCAAAAAGACCTATTGAATAGCAAACAGATGAGATGATTAGTTAGTCGGTTCACTGCAGATTCACTATAGGAGTGACGACTGTGATAGGCAATTGTGAAACAACAATCTCTACAAATGAAACAGGACAGGCGACTGGTCCCGTAAAGTGGATCGCGACCAACTTGGATCTTAAATCTCCTTTATGGACAGTATGATATAATTATAAGAATAGGATAATAGGATAAGAATAGGATGAAAAGGAAGAAAAAAAAGGGGGCGGCGGAGCTAAGCATTATCTTGCTTTCTTTACTTACCTAGTAGGTCTGACGATTGAGTGGACATTGTGTCTAAATTTCCTTGTTTTTTTCTGGTGCAGGTTCTCCGTATCTTGCAGGGGATACTGCCCCGTAGCTGTGGTTGAGGGTTAGAATTACTCTCTCACGGATGTTGATTGACGGAATTCCTACTTTGTCAACCAATAGTTGGTTCGGTTAGGGGTTCGAAATAAACTTGTGCGATAGCGCAACCCGGGCTTTGCAGGAAACTTTGGCGTAGGTGGTGTGTCAGGGGTAGAAGGGATGGACAGCGATCTTCAGGGAGATGAGAGATAGGAGGGCTAAGGAGATGGGAATATTCGCCAAGTTTGCCCGTGACGAAGCGATGACGTTTTATTACTGCTTGAAACGTGACGCGGCGCGGCACCTTCGGGATGAGTAGAAAGATTAATAAGATACCAATCGAATTGATAGGTAAGCTTAGGTATGTATGAAAATGCGACAAGCGCTAGAAAGTGAAGGCTGAACGAGTTGAATTTTGGGTTTGGTGTGGTAAATAGTGGTGGTCAACTCGTGGGTCGAGAACGGATAGGTACGGTGGAAATGATTTAGATGTTTGTTACGGCAACGCGCGTTAGGCTGTTCTGCTTCATGCAAGGAACCTAGATGGAAATGCGAGTAGAAAATGATGGCGCCCGTTCAGATGCTTAGTGCAAATGTGACGAGGGCGAGTCAGGTCGCAGATTCTCGATTTCCTGTGGCACCAAGTATATCTTTTCGAAGTCTAAACTTGCAGCTCGAAAGCTTGGGGCAATGCAGGTGAGGAGGTTGCGAGGTTGTGTTACCGTCGGTAGTTGGTAAATATTCGATTAAATGCTGTCGGTCCTCTTTCCTTTGAGGTCGGGTGACGAGATTTTCCTTGGTTTAGCTCCTTAGCATTTCTCCTCTCTTTTTTTCCTTTAACCCCCCTTTTTACTCCGGGTTGATTGCGCTCGAAAGAAGACCCCTATTAACTAAGGGACGGTACTAAAATAATAAGTGGAAGGTTTAAGGTGGAAGGGTACTGTATCCCGCTGTGGACTCTAATTGATTTAGGATGGGGGGTTTTGTCCTTGCTCCTTTCTGACAGGATGACAAGGGGAATAACGGTTAGAGATCGACGAAACAGAACCTTGCGGGGGCAGTTCAACCCGTCTTACAACTTGGCTGTATTAATAATTGGTGTTGTAGACGCTTTTTTTTTTGTTGAAAAATGAGAGAATTACAATTCAATGCAATTCGAACTCAGAAAAGGACAAAAAGAGCTCCATCAATCGAGTTTGAAGACCGAGGTGTGGGCTAACCTTATATTATTACAACATTATCGAAATTCGGTTAGTGGAGTTCGTAAAGAGCAATAGGTGACCACAGTATCCCAGGTATCCCAGTATGACCTGGCCTGGCGCAAATACTAAATTGGAATAGCTAAAATGTTTAATAGGACATATGTAGGAAGTACCTGACCTAGCCTAACGCACGGCATATACGCAATATAAAGGTACATCTACTGTAGGTAGATAGGAAGCGCTAGGCTAACACAGTAAACCCAGTTAGGACCTACCTAAAAGGGCACTGTAAGCGCTGTAACCTGTAACTCGTATTAAATCTCAACAATCCTACCTACAGGACACATAATACAGAAAAGGACAGCGTCGCTTCATATTTCGATTAGGATGCGAGAAAGGGCAAAGGGGGTGAAGGGATGGATTAAAGGAGCGCAGCGTTCCGTAGTCGAAGCCGGTTGGCCGACAAGCGGTGACAGTACATGATGCATTAACAAATGTTGTCTCTGGCTATTCTACCTTGAGGTTGCCAAGCATTGTTCCGGGTATCTAACCTTTCTCTTTAATTATGTATGTAGGTGCCTGACAGTACTAATAGCTTAATGGCCCAGACTTCTTAAGCTTAATACCATGTATATAATATAGATATTACCAGGCCGTATTGGCTTCTTACACAGTTCTCGATCATTGACAATTAATTCCTCCTAGCTCCAATTATGAATCCCATGATTTCGACGTTGAGGAGTCCTGCTTGTTTATACTAATATAACTAATATAATTATCCCTAATAAGATATACTAATAAGACTAATACATACACTAGATATCGAACTACAGACACTTAATTTCTAACGGCCCAGAGAAAAAGGCTATTCGTTTTATCCTAAGAGCGGATTACCCCTGGTAATTGGTGCAATCTGCTAATATATAAATCTGCTAATACACCATCGCACGTGTAACACTGCTACTATGACCCACTGGCCAACCCACTGGTAGTCCACTTAATATGTATGTATGTAT